CCCACGTCCCCACGCCTCGCGGCCCTGAGCCAGCAAGTCGAAGCTCCAGGGCAGCGGGCGCTCGTTGTCGCGCTGGAAACCTGCAAGCGCTTTGCTTGGTTTCAGCTAGCCCAAAGGAAAGCACACGGCAAGATTGGCTGCAAAAGCTGTGGGGCCAAATTCATGTGTCCTTTTAGGGTAAATAGATGGGGTTCAAAAAGGACACCTATGGGCCTTGTTAGCCAAACCAGGGCGGCTCTGGTCAGGATACTGCGGGGTGAAGCTGGGTTTATCGCAGCTTGTAATGACCTAAGCTGCTTTCCCAAAGTCAGGTTTCATCCGTTGGGCTGATTGTAAAACAACCAAGACGAGATACTTCCCTTCAAATTAACATGGACCAGAAAAGGGGGTCCGCTTTGAGATTCCTTTCAAATAACGCTTCTTGAGTTCCATGTTGATCTGTAGGAGAGCACCAACAGCATGATCCAAAAGCACCCTGCTGAGGACAACCGCACTGGACTGCTATCAAGGCAACATTTGTTGAAACAACCAGCCTCTCGTGGTTCAAAGATGTCTAAACAGGGCTGGCCCAAACCTGGCTACCACCCCAATCATGTTTGCTCCCATCCCTTCCTAGAAAAAACAAAAAGGAAAAATGGTTGTCTTCTTTGGTTTCTCTTTGCCAGGGGCCAAGCGTCCACCCTAAGTTTGTGAGATGTTCGGTTTTTGCCACCACCTTTTTCCAGCCAAACCGGGGACCCTAGGTTTGTAAATGCTCACAAATGCTGCTCTGGAACTCTGGTACTCATTCAACCCTGAAAAGGAGTCCCGAAAAGAATGATGCACCTACCAGCCAGCATTGCTTACCTCTATCTTCCTTGGCATGTCGTGCTGGCGCATCCGGCAGCACGAGGGTCCAAGCGGTGTCCCGGGGTGCCAATTGGTGTCGTGCTGACGCTCCGTTGGTTCTTGCAACTCACATGAGCTGGGTCCTCCAGATTTGAGAGCTTAGAATACGTTGGTACCAACTTTTTTCAGTAGTACGAAGACTAGGTCCTCCAGTAGAGAGCTTAGTTTATAAGGGTACCAACTTTTTTCGGTAGTCTATTTCAGTAGGGGAACCCGCCCAACCAAAAACAACAGTGAGAAAGGGCACCAATTGCTGGTGCCCGGGCACCCTTCATGGACCTCTGTGACCCGTCGCTTTGGGGGAAGCCCCAAGAAGGCGCAGTGATTCTGCCAAAGATTCGGCTCTTGCGCTTGCAGGCAACATGAGGCTTGCAGCTGAAGGAAGGAAAAGCTCTTGAACGGCAGAAACCTGCAGCAGGGAACTTGAAAGTTTCCTCGAAACCAGCGCTCGCCCAAAGCTTTGCGGCTTCGGGCGGCTTCGGAAGCTCGGATTTTTTGGGGGGTTCTTCCGTGCTTCGGCCACGCTTCAGGGAACGAATGCGGCGACCGATTTCCCCGATGCCTAGATCTGCAAACTTCTCGATCTCGATCTCCTGCTCTTGCTCTTGCTCCTGCTCCTGCGGAGTGTGGGGAGACCCTGGCAGGTTGTGGGGAGGTTCTGAGGCAGTTGGAGATTCTCCTTAGGCCTTTCCCCTTGGGTCGCAAAAAGTCCCCGAAGCCAGGCGAGCCCCGTTGGGTTTGAGCACTGAAATGAGAGGGGGGGTGGGGTTAGGGTTGCTAGGGTGGCTGTGGAATGGAAAGGCCCGCAAGGACTACGATTCGCCGAGTGAAGGCATTGTTGAATGGAGCTGGAAAGACAAGATAAACGACTTTCCAAACACTTGGTGTCAAAGCAAAAATCAGGTTGTGGTGGAGCCTCGCGTGAACAGGAAACTAACCTTATCCAGCGTTTTCGGCCATACTCTTGCCAAGCAACATTCAGTGCAACGAGGCACCGCAATTAACGTCAGAAGCGCATGGGCCTGTCATTCCAAGGTTGGGGCTGGGATGAGACGAGCGACCTGGAGCTTGGTGGCTGCGGGCCCTTCCAGCCCCCTGGAGCCGTTTGCAGGCCCCAAGATCCGAGCATCACCTGATTCAACGCATCCGTTTCAGATGGTACATGTGATATTCAACGAGACCGACCCTTCCTCCCTTTCGCAACCTTGCTTTTCCTGGACGACATGTTCAATATGCAAGCTAATTTGGAACTTTTGCATGGTTGGGATTCCAGTTCGAGGGTGTTCCTCAGTAAACAACTTGGCCTCTGGGGTACACAAGACAACAACTACACACGAGCTTCAGACTAAGTCCACCCTAGAATATAAGGCAATTAAGGAGGAGACCCCAGTAAACTTCACAGCCAACTGAGTTGATCAGTGGATCCAAGTAAGTCACAGAAGGTAACCAGTGTGTGCTTCTCATGTTGCTGGCAGTTGTCTACTAGACTTGCCTGGATCCACAGGGTTGAGAAACAAAACACCATCTTTCTAGATGTACTTCTGAGCCAGACTTTCAATAGTCACTCATGACCACTAGCTGCAATGGCTCCCCTCGGCCCTGAAACGACTCAGGACACTTCCCTGTCACCATCACACAACCCAAGAAAGCTTGCTGGGTCGATAGGCAGGGAAGGAGCTCCCCTATATAACCCACCGCCTATGATTTCCTGTGAAGGAACCCCCAGGTTCATTCTCAAACCCTGGGGCATTCCCTACAGAGCACCCGCAAGAAAAAGGGAGATGATTTGTTCGGCTTCAATACGTGCTTGAACATGCCACTCTTCATTAAACATGTCAAAAAGAAACCACAAAGCTGCTCTCAAACCTGGGCTGCCCTCAGATCCCCCGCTAAAAGTGACTAACTTTTAGTGGGTCAAATGGAAGTTGCCACTAAACACTAAAAAGCTAGAAGGCTCAGGAACCGGATGGCTGGGAGCCACCAAGAAACAAAACCGCAAGCTCTTCCAGCCTGGCCTTTCAGGGGCCCCTTCGTCCCGCTAAAAGTCTGGCAGCGCGTCCCATTCCGCATCCCGGCTCCAGCTCAGTCAATTCCGCCCTGGCGCGCCTGCTCCTGCTGCTGCTCTTGATCAGCAGTGCTCACTGCCACCTGAAGATCCCTTCTGCCCAGTGGGACGCTGGGACCCCGGAATTCGGGTGAATCGGGGGCATCGGGGGCACAACATGGACATCTGATGGGATGGTACATGCCACTCCAACTTTGCGATATGAGTACTATGGGGGATGCTTGTGACAACCCCCCCCCCCCCACCCCCCACAGCCCCCCACCCCTCCGGTATTTAAGGTCTGACTTAGCCATATTTGATCTCAATAAGGCTTATCAAGCTCTCACCCGTTAAGGGGTTTTGCCCTCCCTGCCAAAAAAAGAAGAGCACCTTCCCCCGTTGTTGGCGGCGCCTGCTCCGCTTCTGGCGCGACTCCCACCAGCACCTTCAGCTCTTCCAACTGCTCCTTCCCCAGGAGCCTCGGAAAAGAAACCGAAATGGCAACCCCGAGGTCCATTCATTGCTAAGGTCCCTTTCAACCCAACAGGAACTAGCTTAAGCCTGGATGTTCAACTCACCTCGGCAATAATATGACGCCTGAGTAAGCATTCAAGTTGGAATGGCTTTCCCAAAACCGAGGCCTTGCTGCGTTCTGCGCAGGACTATCATCCCTTGCTGGATATCTTGGCTCCGGCGCACCCGCGCCTGAGAAGGGCTGTTGTGACTGGGAGAAAAGAGATGAGACTCCCGCGTAGTCGCGTAGTCCTGACCCTGCATGAGGCATAGGCCAAACTGAAACCGCCCCACAGAAATTTAAATTGTTTTGCGAAACCTCCGATGAGCCTTCATAAAATTGGAGTAAAACCTACGACACAGGCTCGCCGTCTCGAGATACCAAACACCTCCTCTGAAAAGGCGCGTCACAACGAGGCGGATCCCGCAAGGCTTGAGGGTTAAGCCCAATTTTTTGTTGGCTTTTGCATCTGCTTCGCATTTCGGCGTCCTTTGATTTGTTGGGTGGGGCAAGACAAGGCCAATAGGCCTTTGTCTTGGTTGACGTTGGAAGGGGAGCAACAATTTAAGTTTTAGCAGTTAAGTGGTTGGATTTCAACCACTAAACCACAATAAGCAAACATGTAAAAAAATGTGTCCCAACAACAACCATGTTGTATGGGTATTTTCAACAACTGGTTGGATCCCTTTCTCTCAATCCCAACCCGGCGCGCCGACTGCCGCCACGCAGCCATTCCTTATCCTTGGCCTTTTCCTCGATGGCTTCTGCCAGGCTCTTTGGCCTCAGAGTTGCTCTCAAGACCCCTCTGTCGGCTTGGCTTGCGGTCGGATTTTCTTGGAAGACAAGCCGCCTGCAGCCAAACCGGAATGTTCGAGCGGCATTTGAGTCATGATCAAAACCCGGTACTAAAAGGGTCTACCCAGAACCATGTAAAGAACTAAGAAGGCGGCCGCAGCTATTTATGGTTGGGATTGTCCATCTAGGTCCTCCAGAAGAGAAACTAGAATAAGGGTAGCAACTCTTTTCTGTAGTCATTTTAGTAAGAGAAATGTCAGGAACCCTCCCCCAAAAAAGGGTTTGCAGGGCACTATTGGGGAACCTAGCATAGCGATGTGGATCAGTCCAAAGAGAACATTTGAGTTTCCACAACGAAGGTCAAACAGGCCAATGAACCGTCTCTGGTCCTTTCCGTTGGGACAAGTTTGATCCGGCTAAAGCCAACTGTTAGCTGGAACGTGACAAAGGAACATAACAAGGGAGAGGCATCGGCGAGCTTTTGGACCAAAGCATTGGTTTCTCCGGTACATGGATGAATAAATCCCATCGAAACCAGCAGAACCCATCTTTAGTTTTCCACCAAACCAACCTAAACATAGGTTTTGTTCCACCAAACTAAGCTGAAAATAGGGTTCTTCCACCAAACCAAGCTAAAAATAGAGGATTCAGCCAACCAGGCATCTTCTTTTTTCAACCCAAACGCCACCTACGGGTAGTGGGGAAAACCCATTTTGGTCGTCCCCCGTACTAGAGCTCTCCGCCTGGGGATGGAGGACGCTAGGTCGAGGTCCAGCGGCTCCTGCGGTGATTTGAAGCCCCTCGGATTCGCCCGGCGACCCGCAAAAAAGGTGCCTTCTGTGGCTGTTGCCAGGTTTGACCCGAAAACAAAAGCATTTGTTTTATGATGTTCTATGGCTTTTCCGAAGAAAACAAAAGGCCTTTTGTGTATGGCGTTTGACCAACAACTTGTATTTTCTATAGTGTGTTCTCAGGTTTCACCCAGTCAAATGAGACATGCAACCTAGTGTTGATCAGGAGCGTACAAGCCCTGTGTCCACGCTTGATCGTTTCAACCTGCTTCAGGGTTGCTTCTTCTTTGGGGGTTCCAGGAGTTGGACGCTTTAGCCAGTGACCCACCCCGCTCTTTGGGCGGACCCCCGTTTTGTGGATCTGAGCTTACTGGCCCATTCTGAATCCAGGAGTCTTCTTTCTATACTAGGTCCTCCAGTAGAGAGGTTAGAATCAGGGTACCAACTTTTTCTGTAGTCTACTTTAGTAGGGGAACCCTCCCCCAAAAAAGGGGTGAGAAGGGCACTACTGGGGGACCTAGTATACTAAACACCCCGGGGAGTCAGCCCCAAGATTGTTGGTGGTATCAAACACCAAAGTTCGAACTTCTGGGCCACTTTGCGCCTTTCAGAACTCATCTCTCTCTCTCTCTCTACGTAAGGCTGTTCTTAAATATGCTTGAACCTTAAAAAGTACCTCCTGTCCATTAACATGGAACCTGACTGAGGGGTCCTGGAAGATGACTTTCCTTTAAAAAGGGACCCTTAGGTGGGTTCCATGTTGATGGACAGGAGGGTAACATTAAAAGAAAGCTGAGCTTGGGGATCCCCTGATAAATTTTGGAAGGTCCCTATTTGGAGATGTTCCAAACAACAGGTTTGATGCCCCCTGGTCTTTCTGCGCAGGGGGGTTCCCACTTGAGGGAGCTACGCCTTCAGCCTGGTATCGAGCAAACAAAAACCCACTCCTTTTGAGCAGCCACCCACTTGAAATGAACAAAGGCAAAGCACAACACATACAACTCGAGTCTAGGGGTTCATTCCTTGTCCATTCTTTTCAACCATCGTTCTTTCCCAAAACCGGATCAGTATTCCCTGGGTGTCAAAGGAGGTTTTCTAGAAAGAAGGATCCCTTGAAAGAATGGGGTAGGTACCCCCAGAACAACAAAACCAATAACAGTGACTGATTTCCTGTTGACACATCTCCCACAGCAACGGATTTCCGAAAGCTCCTCGAAAATGTCGAGGTGCTTCTTCGCCTGACGCTAGGATCCAAAGAAGGCCGCAAGTTAGGGCTGACTTTTCTTGCTGATGCTCAGCAGGGAATGAGGGAATGACTACTAACTACAAAGAATCCCTTGTGGTTTCCCTTTAGGAATCCCCAGGTTGATTTCCAACACCCTGTGTCATTCCCTGAGCACCAGCAAGTTTTGGGAAGGGGGCGGGCACGGCCATGCCGGGCTTGCAGGAACAATTTGCATCATTCGCACACAAGAAAGCCAGATGAGGGTAAATGGGTGTGGCTCAAAATTAAACAGGAGGGGTTACGCAAGCTTTGGTCCATGTTTCCACTTACCAGGGTTCCAGTTTGGTACCGGTTTTTTGAGCCACAGCCAAAGGGTCTAAGGCTGGAACCTCACAAAGGAGTATGAGCAGGGCACCCTCAAATAAAAAGCCATACCCACATGCTTATATATATATATATAGCCTCACGAATAAAATTAAACGTAAGCCCGTTTCCAGGCCGTGGTAGGCCTGAAAGGCTTTCCAGTTGATCCAGGTTCAACCAGAAGCTCTGCATGATAAACGCGTTGCCATCATGTTTTTTAGAATCTCCTTATCGTTTTGCAGAGAGATGTGCCAGTTTTGGACACAAGAGAGCTCCGAACTACTAGATTTAAATTAACCATGACCTATTTTTGGTACTACCTCATGTAGTGTAGACAAGTGTAAGGGTCCACGACAGGACGAACGTGTTCAAACTGCGTTTTCATCACACAAGGAGGAAAGAAAACAATCCAGACGTGCCAAAGCGGCGCCAGGTTGGTTATCCCCTCCTCGAATAGTGGCATGGTTCGTCAGAAAACTGCTGCATCCAACCGCGGACACAAACACAATTTGCCCATCCCATAATTAACCAGAACAGGTCACCCTAAGCGCGCGCATTTGTGTCGTTGAGACCTAATTGAGGCCAAGTTTGAGCATGACAACCATCTTGTTGCTGGTCACAAGACACATGGCGAAGATCGGCCATGGCAAGGCACCCAAAGTCTGGGCACGTTACGGTTGATTCTGTAGAACTTCTAGGTGAGCCAACGCATGTTCAACCATGTCCAACGGTGGTTTAACATGAGGTAAATTCTTGTGTTTCCCTTTCCTCGTTCCCAGACCGTTAAAGGATTTCCCGGGGAACATACAGGTGGCGTTTTGGTAGATCTGCAGGGAAAGCTCCCCTCCGAAAACAAGTTGGAACAACGAGACTCGGCCGGAGGTCCGGGACTTTCAATAGCCTAGTTCAGAGGCGACTATTTCTCAAGTTCACTCCTGCATACTTATCAGTGTTTCACAGCGCGTCCAGGCAACCCACTAAAGAAACACAAACCATTGAACAAAATTTGGGGGATCCCACTTGTCTTCCGCGGAGTCGCGGAAGAGCTGAGACCCACAAGGCTTGTTTGGACAAAACAGTGGCAACGCAAGCAATGGGCAATGGAATTCGAGTGAGCCTAAACTCCACCAAATAATGGCTTCAACCATGGTTCCGGTTTCGGCAAAAAATGGTGAGCCCCACCCCTTGTCCCACAATCTGCCCAAGTCCTTGCCAAATATGTCGCGTCTCCGCCAGGGTTTCGGCGCTTTAAGTTTGGTTTCAAGCAAGTTGATATGTTGTTCGCATCCGCCATACTTGATTCAGGCACCCAAAGCCCCCAAAGACCCTCGGGACCCCGTAGGGTTCTTTGCTTTGGACGTATTCATTGGCTCCAAGCGAGCTGTCACAAGAGAATAACAATTGCCTGCCCCTGCAGAAGAACACATTTGGGTGTGTCTTTTGAGAGGATGCCCCTTGTTTTGGTGCGTGTTAAAGCAACACCCGAAGGAACGCGACGAGTTTTTGAAGGGCCCCCTTAAACCAAATACTTCGTTTGTGTGTTTTTTGGACAACCACAAGGAGCACCACCATTTTGGAGGGGTCTCCCCCAAACCAAAAAAACAACGACGCCCAGTTCGACCTGGCTTGGTGAAGCCCTTTTCTGCCTCCTCAGTGGCTGCCTCCTCTGCGTGCTCTTGGAGCCAAACAAAGGCCGGCCTCAGCGCGCGGTTTTTGGATTTGGTCGGTGGGAAGAGGGGCGCGCCCCGTTTTGCTCAACATTGGGTAGTTCCTTTTGGTTGCGCCGTTCGCTAGTTCCGCCACAGTGCTCACGAACCCCCCCCCCCCAATTGGAGAAGTGGAGTCCAAATCCCAGAGGCCAAAGTTGACTTGAAAGAGGGGCCCTGTGCAAAGAACCACATTAAGGCTCGATTTTCTGTGATATCGCTCAGTGGGATTTCCACCCGAAATCTTCATGGCTTTCAATTGAGTTCTCATCTTGAATTTGGATGATGGCAATCCTTAGGTAAGCAGTCGTGGCTATATGGACCCCCAGTGTTTTTAACGGTGGCAACTGAACCCCAGGGACTCAAGTGCCTGCTGCACCCACCTGCCCAGCCAGGCAACAGGAACACCACGAGACAGGTGCCACTGGGATGAGGAAACATCGGGGGAAAAAAAAAGAACACAGCCAGTGATGCAGAAAACCGCAAGGCAGACTCCACCCTTCAGACCCGGACCCCAAAGATCCCAAAGATCCCAGCCTTATGAGGGCCAAACTTGCTAGGGGTTTTCGTTACTGCCATATTTCGTAAATGATATCAAAACAACCGTTCCCATGTATGAGGTTTACTTTCCCAAGTGTCCATAGAACCTCTTGGAAGATTCGGGTTTTTCGGTGGATCAGCCCGAAAGGGCTGAAAGCAAGGACAGCAAAGGGAAGCCGTCCAGAATAGAGATGACTGGGCTATCCCTCCCACAAAAAAACAAAACATAATAACATCGACGAGTTTCTAGCCAAAACTTAAAATCCACCCTGACTTCGTCAAACATAATGAATCATCGGCTCAGGAGAAATGACTAGAGTAATCAAAGGAACAAGGAGGGCCGCTGCGCTGCTAACCTTTAGAACCCTTGGTATGGCCTGTCAAAACATTTTGTTTTTGATTCCCCCTGCTACAAATGAACAGAACCAAAAACAACACCTGAACCTTTGCCAACAAAAATGACGTAACATCATCTCCGACCTTCCGATGCGAAAGGACAAAATATGCTTGTCCGCACCTGCGCCACAAAGTGTGGGAATCTTGCGACCTGGCGAGGGATCGAGGCGAAGGCGAAGGCGAAGCGGAAGTCAAACGGGGGAGCCCTGTGAACCCAAAACGCGCTTCCTTGGGAGGTGAGTTTGGGGTGCATGGTGGTCCCTGTGCCTTTCTTGGAAGGCTTGGGACAAATCCATACCCTTTCCCGGAAATCCAGAGTTCCTGAACTTTGGAGGGGTTGTTCCCCAAATAGTGTTTACATTAAGGGGTTCTTACGGTAAGAGTTAAGGCCTGGTGTAGATCGAGGTGTCGGCTCAAATTGCTGGCCCTGTGCGTAAAAAGTTGTCTTCGATGCGACAGCCTCGCACGAAATGGAGGTGTCAGCTGGTGCGTGCGTCTCGCTGTGGCGCCGTTCGCACTTTTCAGCTTTTGCTGGCAGGGGCAACAGTTGGGAGGTGCGCGCTGCGACGCGGGGTGTGTTTTTTGAGGAAGCCTCGTGCCAAACGCGTTTTTTGAGACCAAAGTGTGTTTTTTGATGGCAGGGCCGCCACGCGGTGATATCTTCTTGTCGGGTCAGGCTACCACGCTTGGACAATCGGAGCTCTAAAACCATGGCAGTTGTCGCAAAAAGTTGTCTCGCGTGCGACAGCTTCGCACGAAACGGACCTTTCTTCAAAACTGCGCTCTCGCTGTGGCGCCGCGCCGATCTTCGGATTTGTGTGTTGCCGCAGAATTCCATGGCCAGCGCAGCATTCTGTGAGACTGCCGTGCATTTTTCGTGGTGGGCGCATCGTGCGTGTCGAAGCGCGCTGGCTGTGGCGCCGTGCGAATTTGTCTTGAGCTCGGCGAACCCTCTGCGGAGGGAGATCGTGCGTGTCGAAGCGCTCTCGCTGTGGCGCCGTGCGAATTTGTCTTGAGCTCAGCGAACCCTCTGCGGAGATCGTGCGTGTCCAAGCGCTCTCGCTGTGGCACCGTGCGAGGTGCGACGTGCCCTCCCGCATCTCCGGCTGCGCAGGCAACGTTTACGTACAAAGCTGGCGCGCAAAGTGCGCTCCCGCATCTGCGGCTTGAAGTTCTCAACTTCTAGGTGCAAAAAGTAGTACGGGAAGCGCGTTCCCGCAGCTCCGGCTGTAAAACCGCGCTTTTAAAGTACAAAAGTAGTACGCGAAGAACACTCCGGAGCTCCGGCTGCAAAATCAGAATTTTTACGTTCAAAAGTAGTACGCGAAGTGCACTCCCGCAGCTCCGGCTCCAAATTCGCAACTTCTAGGTACAAAAGTAGTTTGCGGAGGACATTCCCTCAACTCCGGCTGAAAGCTCGCAAGTTTCAAGTGCAAAAGTAGTACGCGAAGAGCACTCCAGAGATCCGGCTTGCAAAATCGCAATTTTATGTACAAGAGTAGTACTGGAAGTGCACTCCCGCAGCTCCAGTTCGAAATTGGCAGGTTTTTAGTGCAAAAGTCCTACGCGAAGTGCGCTCCGGAGCTCCAGCTGCAAAGTTGCAACTTTGTATGAGTGTACGAAGTGCGTTCCCATGGCACGAGGCTCGCAACTCTTAACTCCAAAGTTGTACATAAAGTGCATTCCCGCAGCTCCGGCTGCAAAATCGTAAATGGCAACGTGCGCGCGAAGCGCGCTCGCGCGGTTCAGGTAGTATGCGAAGTACACTTCCGCAGCTAAAATTGCCAGCAGCTGCTCACAGATATGGACAAGAGAGTTTTTCAACAGAGGACATGAAAGATTTGGCAAGAGAGGTTGCAGAACATCATGCGCAGCATCATGCGCTGCATTTCGCGCAACGTCATGCGACATCGCGCGCAATATCACGCGCAACATCACGCACAGCTTCGCGCGCAACATCAAGCCACAGCATCACGCGCGCGAGAAGTTCACAGGAGAGATTGTGAAGCATGATGCTGAGGTTGCTCATCAGAATCTACGCTTGAGCAGGGGCACCGACGTGTTTACGATCTCATTAGGTGGGAGAGGCGTCAGTGCTTATTTAACGTTTTTCTATGCTTCTGGGCCACCTGTCGTCAAGTTGGACGCAATACTATTTGGGGTCTCTTGCCGGGATAATTTATCAAAGACTTCCGCTACTGACCAGACCAAACCGCTGACAGTCCGGCCTTATTTAGAGCTTATGTATCCCTAGTTTGAGCCTTGTTTTCTGCCAAATCCTTGCGGGGTGTGTTCCAGAAATCAGATGCTACAACCTTTGAGTTTAAGGCTATTTGCAGGCTCACCGATTTCCTTAAGGGCGCCCTCTTCTGGGCTGAGTTTTGCCATTGGAGGCTGGCATGCGTCTTGTCACCGTTGACCCTGGAAATCGAGCTGGACTCCCTCCAATAGGATTTCGAGGCAGTTCAATGTGATTTCTTCGAAGGGAAGCTGCGGCAAGGTTGGCTTCAGGACCTCTTTCTGTGTACAGAGCACAAGGAGTAATCCGCTGTAAAGTGACAAGGTAGTTGTGGGAACGAAACCTGCTGCTATCAACAAACAGGTCCTTCTAAACAAAATGCCCCTTAGGGAGTGTACGGAAGCCTCCAATAAGGAAGGCTTCTCGCCGTACATACTGGAATAGCCTTTTATTCCCTGGTCGGAATTTGCCAAGAACAGGGAAGGAAAGGAACATCACGGAAACCAACCAAGGCAAGCAACTCAAGCGGCAACTGGCAGTGGGCAAGAAGCAAGATACACAAGGAACCCCCGTGAGGTCAAACCTCCTTGAGGTTTTGCCTCCCAACCAAAGACATACATGGTCTATATTTTACTGAACCCACACAGTGCAACATGAGTTCAAATCACACAATGCAAGAACCAAATGAATTCTAAAGGCGCCAAACAAACAAAAAAAAACAAACAAACATGGAACCCACCAACCCGCCAGCCCCGTCTTTTCATTTCGGCCCATCGAAGCGAACAGGCGGCTGGCGCGCGCCGCGCGCCGCGCGCCGCGAGCCCCGCGCCTCAGCATGCCCGCTTGGACCTTCTCGGACCTCAGACCGTTGAGCACCAGCCACACCACCAGCCGCACCAAGGGCGACCTCGGATTCCGCGCATCCCGGCGAAGTCGCCGAACGGGCGGCATGCCGAAAGGGCGGGGGCAAAACGGCGGGGGCAAAACGGCGGCTGCCTGGGTGACACGGCTTGGAGGGAGGGAAGGGTGAAAAAAGTGTTGCGCTTAGGCTGAGTGTGCGAAACACATGGCTTTCAGTGGACAGTGGTTTTGGACAAGGGAAACAACACAGACGCTGGAGGGTGCCGGCTGAGTTGTCAACTGTTTGAGGGCTTTTGGGCTTTACATGATCGTGTTTGGGATAGACAAGTTCAGACTTGTTTGGGTCAATTCCACTCACGACTGAAACCAATGCCTCCCCAAGGGAGCCCCCAATGCGTCCTTGTTCTCCATTGGTTCATTGTCCTCATGAAAGTACCGACGCTACGAACAAACCCCGCCTGAGCTGCTTCTTTCAGGGTGTTGGATTACTGTGACAAACATCAGCTTGGATGCTCAAGCTACCTAAGACTTGGCCCAAAACCATGTTGATCTGTGACGCCCATCCTTTTTTAGCTGGTTCTGCCCTCCAGGGTGCTTTTGGCCTACCTGTTCCGTTTGACACAATGGGGTTTTTATACCAATACTCAAACATCAACCCGCCTTAGGGTGAGATCCGTTGTCCTTTCAGAAAGCCCAAAGACAACAAGGTTTCAAGGAAATCCTTGGACGCCACAAGTGCAAGAACGCCTTCTGCTCACGCAGCTTCTCATGTGGGATGTTGCATCGAAGGAGCCGAGCTTGCAACTTGTCGCATGCTTGGGGTTAGACTCTGGTGATCAAAAAGAACGGTATGCATGACATACATGTACCGTGGACGGACAAGATCAAGCACCACATTGAAACCATGCGAAACCATTGTTTGTTGGTGCTTACAGGGGAATCATAGGGCATGCAGGATTTAGTCAATCCACAGTAATTATGTGCACACACTCATATGGGTATAAACATATACGCATCTGACTTCAAACTTCCTGAGTTGGTTGGCATTCAATTGCTAGCCTTGTCTGATATTGCCACCAACAGGGTCTTCACAACATGTGTAGAGTCCAGTGATACAGGAACTCAGACCATGAGACATTTCATGGTTGGCGTAACTCTTGGTCACCAGAGGGCATATTGGTTGGACTTGACAGCTTTTCCATTGGCTCATCTATAGGGGCGCGATTTGGCCATGGGGCATAACCTATGGCTCCATTTTGGGGTGGAAGAACATCCATTTGCCAGCTATTTTGAACATCCATTTGCCAGCTACTTTGATGTTCACCAGGGGTACAGGGTTTTGACCCACAGCCATTTGTGGCTTTCCAAATAATTACCCCCTTTTAGAAAAGAGGAAAGACGGGCTTGCCCGTCGACCACTTCCCTGGCAGAAATCAAGTTGGCCGCCTTCCTTGAAGGCTTTTCCAGAATGTCCAACATGGTATCTGGTACCAAACCTGTGATTGGGACCATGCGCACTTTGGCCTGGAAAAGAAAGGTACGCAAAGGGCCAACTTTGGGGACCTGAACAGAACATGAGCCAGACAAAAACAACAATATTCACAAATGATATGACATGTCGAATGACTGTGCACCGGGGCCAAATGCGGCCTTAAGCGTCGCTCCCTGCAAACCTGGGTTCCCTGCCTCTTCGCGTCTGCGCGGATGGCCACGTCTGTGAGCGCCTTCTCCACAAGTTTGCTCACCTAAGCTCTGAGCAACCCTAGGTCTCTCTAGTAGAGAGGCTAGTCTACTTTAGTAGGGGAACCCTCCCCCAAAAAAGGGTAAAAGGGCACTACTGGGAGAGTTAGCTACAAACGACCCTAAAGATCCCCCCTCCAACGGTGAGGGGACAATGAGCTTTTCTACGGTTGAAAAAGGCCAAACTTATACTGCCTGAACCGTTGGGGGCGGTCTTTGGCGGGGTGGTTTGTGGGGTGAATGTATGATCCTTGAACCAACGCTCAACCCGAAACCTTATAAATGTTTGCATGCATCATTGTAGCAAGGCGCAAACTTATCAGACTGACGCTACCAAACGATAGCTTTCGAGCAAAACATGGGGCGTGGAAGCACAAAACACGTGCTCTCGCAAGGAATGCCTCCAGGAAACACCTATAGAACATGCCCAAGCACAACAAAAGGGTTACTGGGGCGGTTGAACTGATAGCCTTCAAACAGGTCAATGCGTTACAAGTCAGTGGGACATGACATAATTTTCCGAGACCCTACCCTTGAAACAAGGATTGAAACAACACAACGTGGAGGAACTATATGCCTGGCTTTCTTTCGGCCCTCCGGTGGCAATGGGGATCAAAAGGTTGACCTTGCTTGACAATTGATTTCAATGAGTTGATTGGCCAAACAACCTCCTTGAACTTTTGATTTCCCACCAGCATGGTCTCCGCGAAAAAGTGACTAAAGTTCAGGAACTCAGAAAGTGAGTCAAAGGCAAGCCCTTCCAAACGGGTACCCTTTTTTTCTGTAGTCTATTTTAGTAGGGGAACCCTCCCCCACAGAAGGGTAAAAGGGCACAACTGGGGGATCTAGAAAAGGAAAAAGGGGCGCCACTGGAGGTCTTGTGAGAAATCTTCGACTCGCCGTGTGACTCGCTCAGCCGGCGTTTCGGAGAAAAAAACGCTTCTGCCACGAGACCTCTGGAATGGCATAGACCACCACACGCTGGCCACGGTTGATGCCGCGCATTCGATATGCGCCCTGAAGGCAAAGGGCAGTCCCATGGGATCCTTCTCACTGGAACATGTGAATTCTCAAAACCTGGGGTTCATGTTCTTCCCACTTTGCTTCTAAAGCTCTGAAGAAAGCTCCTTAGAAGGCTCCTTACAAGGCTGGTTTGCAAAGTGTAGAAAAAGCAAAGCCTTCCATACCAATGGTTCTATGTCTCCGGTGAAGCTTTTGTCGCTGATCTTGTGTTGGATTTGCCAACGCATCAACAAGATATCCTTCGCTTTCAGAGGAATGCAGCCTACCTTCAGGCTCTTTTTCTGTTCCGATGGTTTGGGTGTTGTCCATTCCAGGATTCATGAACCTTGAGGTATTTCAGATAGGAAAACACACATCGGAAGAACCTTTTCTCGACCCTCGGCACCCTCTTTTTGGCCCCGCGACTGCACCCACCGCAGCTCCCGGACGCCAAACATCCCACAACCCCGTTTTTGATGCCGCGATAGTCAGCATTAGCACTGGGGCTCCTTTCGACCAAGGGAAAATCTACCGATGTTCATGGCTGTACCATTCCTGGACCAAAAATTGTCCCTTGCCCCAAAACATTCACCCAAGTACTTTCCCCTTCCCCCCCCAACCAAGGAAAAGATCAAAGAGTAACAATACATCCGACAGCCATGATTGGACACTGTTGCAAACTGAACCCACTTTTTGAGTGGATTCGCCACAATAAGTCTAAAGGTTTTGCTTGCAAAGAAATGGTCAATCCAAACTTCCATTTGCTCAGGTCGCCTGGACAAAAACACCACATATTTCCAGTAGTGATCAATTCCCTTAAAACCAACAGGAGAAAAATGAAAATATTCCTAGGCACAGGGAGGGCAACAAATGCAGTTGGTCCAAACGCGTGGGAGGCAAACAAACATTTTGCAGGACTCCAGAAACCATGCCTCTAAAGGAACCCGGCCACCGAACGAAGATTGTCGCATGGTCGGATCTTTGGGGGCTCGGGCGGTAGGCTGCCTGACATTTGGCTGGTTGATAGGTTCAAGCAACGGCGCTTGTGACCGGCGATTGTGTCTTCCTCTAGCCCTCCCAAAACCATTATAGGCTACTGCTATAACTTCATGCCATGATTGAATAGCTTGAACAAAGGAGCTGGACATAATTCGTTGGTCATTGGGCTTGACTTCCAAAACTGGGCTTGTGACAATGGGAGCATTGGGAACACCAAAACTCGAGATTTCCCTGTATCCTCCCACTTCTGCCTTTTCCGGGGGTCCCGTTTTTGGGCTGGTCTAAAGGAAAACCAAAAGGACACCAACCATTTCGGGGTCTAAAACGAGACACACCCAGAACCCAAGAGGTCGAAGTCATTTGTCTTTGGGCAGGTCAGTACGCAGAAGACGGTAAAGGAAGGGATTCGGCAAAGACGGTCAATTACGTGAGGAAATACGGCAGAGGGAGGAAGTCGTAAAGGAAGGAGTCGGTAAAGGAAGTCGTCGGAAATCGCCGGAAGACAAAGGGCCCCGCCTGACAGTAGTCGCGCCAAACCATGTCCTGGCACGGAATACACGGTTTGCGACAAGAGGTCTGTTTCAACACCCTCCCCAGCACGATGCTCTCAAACCCAGGTTTGGTTGGCTCCCGCCTGCGTCGGCCGCGTGTACCAATGCTCTTGTTGCTTTCAGTCAGGGGCAAACCACGGAGATAATAACGGCCCCGCAACGGATGTGGGCAAAAGAACCTGCCCGTAAGGCCCTAAACTTTGCGGACAGAATGGGAAGGTTATAAGAGTACTTCTCTGAATGAATATGGCTGTGGGTCAAAAGTGGGTTCTCAAAAATGCAACCCTGAAAAAAATGGAGCCAAGGACTAAAACCTGCGGTCCCTTAGTGGTCTAATCATAGGTGGCCCTTTGGAAAACTAGATGGCCCTGGTAATGTTACATCTGCTTTAACTAAATTCGCCTCTATTCTGTATTTTTTTAGTAATTCAAGATCATGTGACTGTTTTAGGGGTCCGCTATTGTGGCATGTTTTTCTCCTCCCCCAAAAAAAGCAAAAAAGTACAGGCTTGTTTGTTTTAAACTCTCTGGTCTGGGCAGGCTCAGGTCGGGCTCAGGCTAGACTAAGCCTTTGCTGCTGTTGAGAGGGGTTCCTGAAATTCCCCAACCAAAAGCCTGGGCCTTTTACTTTTAAGGGTGGCTTCCTAAGCTCTCCCCAGCTCAAAGGTTAAAGGCCTGAGGTCTGGGAAATCCATTTTGCAAGTTGTGCCCAAACCATCAAATTTATGATAACTTCTTTACAAAAAGCAAGGTGGATCAATCACGCAAAGGGGGTTGCCCACAACCAACCCTGATCCTTTTTAGTGATTGTTTTTGGGTCCCCTTTAGTGTTCAACTGGTTTTAGGGGGTTCCTGAAATTCGCAAATAACGGCTAAATCAAATGGAAACTCAGTTCCAAATCTCAAAAGGAAGCTCCAGCAATACTAAATCAAATGGAAACTCAAGTCTACCAATACCAATACTAAATCAATTTGAAACTCAGTTCCAAATCTCAAAAGGAAGCTCCAGCAATACTAAATCAAATGGAAACTCAAGTCTACCAATTACTAAATCAATTTGAAAGTCCCACCCAGACCCGCAGGGTTTCCCTAAAGAGGGTCCCGCTGACTGGTTCCATTTTTTAGGGGGGGGGGAGTCACATTAAAGCAGGTCCACCATTAAATGAAATAAACCCCATCTAAACCAGGGCCCTCTATTATTTAAGCAAACCAACCAAAAAGGCCACCTATGGGTCTAAGTTTGGCCCGTACCCATATGGCTTTAACCACTCTCAAGCCACACCCTCGGCCCTATTTGGGCTCCGCTTTTTGCCTCGGCTTGCAAGAAGGGACCCCCTGAATTCCACCCACATACTTCCACTCCTTACTTCCACTTCCTTCGTGGATCGATCACAAAACGCGTGGATTGGTCACAAAACGTCCTTGCGTTGAGCAAAATAACTTCAAGTTCAGAAACTGGTCACTGGCGAATTGACTGTTGAGGGATTCGAGGGTGAAGCCATGAAACAAGAGAAACAGCTTTGGAAGTTGCGGCAAAAAGAGGGCAAGAACACAGTCGGTATCTGCAGTTAAGCCATTCACAAAACCCACCACCTGGTGCAAAAAAAAATAATATTCCACCAAACAAAACCAAAAAATCCACCAAAAAAACGGATTCCACCCAACAAAACACCTTCTTGCCCAGCCCGGAAAATTGGCCGCAAGCTCCGAGGTGACCAGCCTTGCTGGTTCAAGGGGATTGATCTGCTCTTGCCTTTTTCGACCAAGCGAACAATATGTTTGATCCTGATCCATGAAAAAGGAACCTTTGCAAAAAAAGTCCAAAACTCCCAAGATCTCAAGGGGTTCTGAAGAAAGGAACCTTTGCGGAAAAAAAAACAAACAAAAAACTCGCAAGATCTCACCAAGGATTCCGGATCTGTCTCTTCCTCCTCCTAGCCCCGCTCCCGGCCTTGCCCAGGGTCAAGATAGCTCTGGCATCCGGCTTATGCTGGATGTCCATGCCTGTCGTGTGCACCTCGAGGCGTCGACTTCAACGATTCTTCTGGGCACAAAGAACGAGAGAGAGCCCTCGTGGGCCGCGTCAAAAGCGCGCTTGAAACCAACCCAAAGGCGTACCTGAAGGCCTTTATGATATTTTAATATGGTAGGTCGCCCCACTCTAGTTACTCTAGTTCGACCATGATCCTTAACAATGGTGGGAGTCACCCCTTAGGTCCTTGACCGGTGTCTGAAGCACTGGGTCCCGGCGACAAGCAGCAGACCTACATGAACCCGATCGGTCTAACCTGCTGGCTTTCGTGGTTGGAACTGTCTGTCCTTCTCGTCCCACAGCAGGCCAACGATATGGTGGGACTCATGTGGCCTGTTTCACCTGAGCTGACTTTTGGTGCTTTCTGCCTGCGGGAATCCTGGATGTACCTGTGGACCCATGGAAGGATGATACGCTAAATGAGAAAACCGGAGAGAAGTGCAGGTGGTTTAGCTCGGACCATAACCGCACTCAAACCAGGTAGAAAGGTGGTGAGTTCGGGTTTTGGGGGGCTGCGCGACATCGTGACAAGCAACCTCGGAAAGTCAGATGAATCACAATCAAAACCTGGTACCGAAAAGGTCTACCCAAACCCATGTAAGAAAATCAAAAGGCGGCTGCAGCTATTTCTTGCTGGGACTGCCCATGACTAACCTTCGTCTACCAGGGTTGTGATTGTGGCTCAAATTCCTTGGGCATCCCCCCTACCTTAAGGTTATCTTAAGGGGGAGGGGCGTGGCTTCCCCACAAAAGGGAAAATGGAACCCTAAATGGAGATCTCCAGGATTCACCCCCCTCCCCCAATTCCCTTTTGAAGGGGGTGGGGATCTTGGGGAGAAAAAGGAGCAGCATATTTAGCATAGCTGCAGTTCTGACGAACTTTGATAGAAATACAGAGAGGCCGGGTAGGCTTTGTTTTGGAACCCTCAATCTTCCATGTCAAGCCCCAGGACCCTCAACAAACGCATGTATGTATATGTATGTATAGAGAGGTTAGACTAAGGGTACCCTCTTTTTTTCTGGTCTATTTTAGTAGGGGAACCCTCCCCCAAAAAAGGGTAAAAGGGCACTACTGGGGGATGTTGTATATGTATATACGGATATATATTTGTGTACGGACATGTATATATATATATATATGTAGCACATTGTAGCACTAAATGTAGTATGTTCATACAAATATATGCTTGTCTCAATGTCTCTATTCTGTGGGAAGGGCAAAAGCAACCGCACCACTCTCCGCCTGGTCGTAGAAGGCAAAGCGCTCCGTGAGCGGGATTCCGCAATCCTCCAGCTTCATCGACGACTTCCTGAGACCAGCCGTCAGCCGTCGGCGGTTTTTGCTTCAAAACAAACTGCTCCAAACGGCGCCCAAACGTTTGTTATTTGGCCATGGGCTTTTCAAAACCCAAATCGTACCCCCAGTGAACATCAACCAATCCAACCACTAGAATAGGTTTTAAAATGGGCGGTGCACCGAAAACCCCAAAATGGTACCATTGGTTTTGAACCATGGCCATAGAAAAGCAAATGTCTCCAAAAGACACCCGAAAACAGTGTCTAGAGTGAAAATGAGAGCCGCAAGAGGAGGAGCTAGTCATTTAGGGCAAATTCAGTGGTACGACCTTCAGGGTATGACTCCAGTAAACATTCCTCCCTGCACTGTTACGAACCGTGCCTTACGCTTACAACCTCCCAAAAGGGTGGCCAATGGAAATGATCGACCAAGTCCCAAATATAACACCCACACATTCCAGAGCAAAACCGTTCAAAGGCCCAAAGTAGGGCTTGGTACCATGGCAGTGCACTTTTTGTTTTGTGTGGATCTGCTCGGGCATGCAAGTATGTATGTGCTGTTTGCTCTTGCTCCGACTGTGTTCCAGCTGCTGCTCTGATTGTGTCTACCTCTTTTTGAACAACTACAAAAAGGTTCGCCGATTTGTACAGGACATTCTAATGGAAAGGATATCCTGCATAAAGTACTAGTTGAAATGGGATAAGTATTGACTAATTTCTAGTTTAAACTAGAAACTATGATTGGATTAGCTCCTTGTTAAAACCGAACGAAATCCAGCTAGAATTTGAGTAGACCTCTATAAGGCATTAAGACCATATAACTTCATAAGGAAATAAATCAGAGGTCCACAACTCGTGCCTTTACTAAGCCCCCAGTACTACCATGGCCGAGCCACGTCTTCTTGACGTAGATCATCTTCGAGTCAGCCTCGTTGAGATAGACGACCTCATTGGCGATCACGGAGTCATGCGTAGGTCCATGCGAAATCAGGATAGGTATCCTTTTCGCGGAAATAGATGGCCCTGGTAGATGATTGAACCACCAGGTAAACCAGGGCCATCTATTTTTCCAGCAAAACAACCAAAAAGGACACCTATGGACATGGCACTGTCAAATTGTTCATGACGATTAAAGTCGATTAGCGCCACCCTGAAATCAGTATGTATCTATGCTCAATCAACGTCACCTAAACGGATATCCGTGCTGCCGTGATTTCATCGAAGACATTCCGTGGTTGCGGACGGAAAGTGAGGAACAAGCCGAAAGTGCTCGTGACAACCATTGAACGCTGGACACATGACTTGGATTTGCATCTCAAAAATAAGAGAGTGAAAACCATATGAGTTTTTGTTTTTGGAGGACACCCCCCGGTGGTTTTCCCTCTGGGGGCACCCTCAAAAAAAACCAAACTCAACCTCTGTATCACGTACCCAGTGAGCCCTAGGGCCTCCCGAAACCTTCCAGCGTGGGTCGTTGGCCAGCGCCCAGAGACCGCCTGTAGGGTTTGAGGGCTTTCAGGCCGTCAGGGGGAATCAAGGCCGTGGCGTTGAACCGTGGGGTGTTTGGGGGATCTTTTCAGCTTCCCCGACAGGTGGGTCCTGGGAGGCTCCGAAGACCCACATGGCATTCGCACGAGCAGCCGCTTGCTTCTTGAAGTTCTTGTGGCCGCCCAGGAATTGCGCCACCTGCCAAGGCTGCCAAGGTACCAGACCATGGATCTGACACTTTCTTTGAGGAAACCTTCTCTTACCAGAAAATGGATCGGGTCCCTTTGAGGCGACCCCGTCTTCGAGTCAGAAAAGGGGAACCGAAGGCACCGGCACCGTTGGCCATTTCGATCCCCCCAAACCTCCAGGTTGGACATGCCCGTGATGAGCGCCCCGGTGTCAATCAACGCTTCCGCGTCCTCACAGCTCACAAAGCACATCAAGCTCTCGTAGCGTTTCTCGCAAGAATGAAACATGTGTATGTACAATTAAGTACAAATCTATAGGCAAATAACGAAATATATCTATCTAACTCTCTCTCTCTCTCTCTCACTGCACATATATATATATGTGTATATTTCCCGCAGACCTGTTCTTGCCGGCAACAGGTCATTGATACACCTCCAACTAGATCATGAGTCAACATCATCAAGCTGGGAGTAAGCCGGGCTCAAATGACGTTGCTGCTGCCATTCCTGCCTTTATTAAATATAGGATTCAGAAGGGACGCTAGACCTTGGAGGTTATGGCTGGGGATGCAAAAACAAGACATGGTTCGCAGGTTTCGTCCCAGATGCTAATGGTGCTTGGGCGGCGCTGACACAGCATCACCTGTGTTTATTGAAGAAGATGTTTTTCCGATTGCCAATCGCAAATAACATAGGTAAAGTGGCCGACAACCGCAGCATCACTAGTTCTTTGGTACACATATCATCGTCATTCTTGAAAAGGAATGCGAACAAAACATGGGTCGTTTTCACACCCCTGGCTCCAACGTGAGATTCTTTGGTTGGCAGCATCAGTACCCTCGAAGCAACACACTTAAATACGTGTCATCATCATTCTCACACCTATAATCATAATCATCATCATTCTGATTCTAAATATTAGTACGTGTATGAATGTTGTGGTCGCCGCTAGGCAATGTGCCTACTAGCTTTAGCTATGGGGCTGCACCCCTGTGCTGCCGACCCTCGGCACCTCCGCATCACCAGCTCGGGCTTTCGGCTTTGGCTTGCCTGTGGGAAACCCTTGCAAAACATCGTGTATATATATATATGCTTCAGCGGGGCTTGGTCTGCATCATCGAGGCGTCCTTCCAAAAAGCCTCTCAACCCATGAAGCACTGTTTTTTAGAAGGCACCGCGGGGATATAAGCAAGGACCTTTTTCGCGCATGTTGGTGCCAAGCGCTGCCGGGCATGCCGGGGATGCTGGGTCCTTGCTCTACAAAACGCCGTAAATACCGTCAAAAACTGCTATGCTGAGCGTTGGGCTGATGTTCTGATTGCTTTGCTTCTGCGTGCGGCTGTTCTTTTTCAGCTGGTCGTTCTGGAGCCTCTGGCGCGCGCGCGCGACCCCATGTGATTTGACTCGGTTGGGGCCCTGCTGGGGCTCAGAAAGCTGGCATCCCAGCATCATCTGGGATATGTTGATGGCTGGAGTGGGCAAAATGCATGATCTAACCAGACATATCATGGCATAGGATACGTTTCACACACAATAATTTCACACAACAAAATGCCATGCCATGGTCTAGGCTAAGTTTGCATCGCAGATCACTGTGCCTTCAAAGAGGCGTAGCCAGCTAGAGGCCGCAGGCCCAAAAGATAAACCACTTGATTGCTTGCTTCATGTTACTTACTACTCCTTGCTTGGATTCTTAAATGAGAGGCGCAAAAAGCGTGAGGGGCCTTTGGCCATCCTCTTGAAAAGCATGGGGTTTCACACCTCTAGGAAACAACAACGTGTAGACAGCAACCATACCTGAACTAGATCCCCCGCTAAAAGTTGAACTTTTAGTGGGTTGAATGGAAATCCCGACAAAACACTAAAAAGCTAAAAAGGTAAGGGGATGGCTGGGAGCCACCAAGATACATTTGTCCAACCGGAGAAGTCTTTCAGTAGGGAACTGGGGTTTCTACACTTTCGCAGCTAGGCATGCCTCACAAGGCCAAGGGAAACCCGCCACGTTCTGAACAACTTAAGATGCCGATCAAAGGTCGTACACTACACTGAGACCGTCAAACGCGTGCCAAGACCAAGCGATTCAACTCATGCCCACGTGGCCTTTGAAAGGCTATATGTTGCGTCTGCTCTCCCTCTCACTCACCTCACACTGGCAAACGTGCCAAGAAAAAACGCGTATCCTTACACATGGGATGTGGGTCAAACATATGTACTCAACATGGGTTGCCCTGCTAAATGGAAAGCAGTCAGTCTCAAAAAAATGAAACCCGCTTTGTACGGCTTACACAAATCAACACAAGGAAACCGCCTGGACACCTGAATGGGGTTTCCTCATGAGGATTCATGATTCGAGCATGCAAAGCAACGAGCACGGAAACTAGCCGGAAAGGCAAAAGGTAACCCTCTGCAACATAGCATGGACGCCATTTTTTGTGGGTGCGCCGGAAAAGGAAACTCCTCCAGACATCTTGTTTCTGTTGGGTTTTATGTTTGATCGCTCAACGGCTTGACCCTCGGCAATGGACCAGATGGGTCCTCTGCAACAACCTCCTCCAGCAAAGTCTCCACCGTCCAAGCGCCGTCGACCTGCGCAGGTTTTTCGGGGGCTACAAGAACCCAGACTGAAGGTCACTGTCACAGGAATGAGGTCTCCCATCGCGCTAGTTTGCATTTGTGCCCGTGAAACGAGGTCGGACCAGAGTTCCCTCCAAAAAGGGAGTCAGTCAGTCCCAAGTTAGCTTAAACCAACCAGGGATCTCCGCTCTGACATTCCCTACCTTGAGGGGCCCATCTTCCAACCACGAAAGGGACAATGGAACTTCCAAAAAATAGATCCAGGAGTCGAACTCCTCCCACCTCCAGTTTGCGATAGGTGGGGCTACTCAGCAGTGTCCCCTTTGATTTGGACCACCTCACTTAGCCAATTTCCAGATACTTGAAGGGTCACAAATGTCCAGAAGGCAAGAAGGGCACCACTGCGTGGGAATGCAGAGGCGAGAGCGTGATGCTTGCTCCTTGCTTGCCTTGATCCGAGCGCCGAAATAGTTGAAACGAAAGGAATCTGCACCCCACCCGCAGGTATCCCCACTAGCCACTATACCGCACATATTGAGTTGGTTCATCTTTCGCTGGAGCAGGCCTGCATGATGCTGGATTGGACCTTCCCAAAGAGTTGCAACAATCTTTAAGAATGCAGCCCATGCTTCAGAGCACGAGCCATGGATCCATGGTCAACTGTGGGTCAGTGTCACGCGTTCTTTCAGAATCAGGGTTGTGGGATCAAGGGGGTTCTCCCCACTTCTGTGATACAAGGGAATCCCTCTTTCTATGACCACAATAGTCTTTGGAAAGCCCTTTCCGTTGTATCACAGAAGTGGTCATTCCCCACAGCCCTGTTCAGAATGGAAGCCTTGTTGTCGACAGTCCATGAGCAGCCCAAAGCGAAACTCGAAACAGGGACTGGGTGAATACTAGGTCCTCCAGTGGAGAGGTGAGAATAAGGGTACCAACCTCTTTTTCTTTCTGTAGCCTATTTTAGTAGGGGAGCCCTCCCAACCAAAAAAGTTGGTGACAGGGCACTACTGATGGGGCCTAGGAACCCGGGCATCGGCGAGCCAAACCACCTGGGGCTTTTCAGGCCCTCCGAAAGACAGGGCCGTGTACCTTTTGGTCTCCCTGACCAAACCCATCGGCACACAAACCACCCACGCAATTTGTACAGGTGCCTTTCTCAGATCTGGAAACGACCTCTCTTCTGTAAAGGGTTTGTAAGGGAGATCGGTTTGTGAGGGACGGTCAGTTTCAACATGTCAAATCTGGCCGACGCACCGCAAGCAGTGTCCGGCCCGCCTGCTTCAGAGACATCACTCCAGGATCTGTCAAGGTGGTGAACATCGCGGCGTCGTCTCCCGGCCTTCAAAGCCAATGTTGACTTTGGAGATCCTACAAACCACACCCACAAGGACCCTTCCCAACCAATGCCCTTGTTGGGCGCCTGGTTTCACAGTTTCACCTGTCGGTTTCTTATCTCAGCCTTGGGGTGATTTGAATTCGGACTTGGAAGGATTGGATCGACCGCGCAAGGGAACCTGGGCCCAAGGTTTCTGCGAATTCCGCCGGTGTCCGGAGGGCGTGGCTGATGGACCCGATCTCCCAGTACAACACCTCGAACTGCTTCAGAACTCCTGTCGAGTTTTTGCCCACTGCCCAAATGCGAACAAAAAGCTCCCGGAGCTAGATCCCGGTGGCGCAGAGATAGGCTTCACGGAGACATGGCTCAAAACTTCAAGGTCTTCGGGACCCAAGGACCCGGAGGTTTAAGTCACCGGAAAGCAAAAACCCCTGGCTCGTGTGTAGGACCACCTTCGTTGGCATATCTTGCCAGCATCAAATCAGACCATGGCGCCTTGGGACCCTCTTTTGACCTAATTACACAGCTGCTTTGTTATGGGATGACTTCTCGTTGGCCACAACACTCTTGCTCCCGCTCAATGCAGCTCTCACTTGCAACCTCTACCAACAATGGAAAAGGGAAAACCAAAAGGTCAAAAGGTCGGCTTGAACAACTGCGAGTTTCTCTTGCTGGTGCTCAGTAGGGAGTTTCTCCTGCTGGTGCTCAGTGGGAGATGTGGGCATCAACCTAGGCTGTGTTCCCCTTAAAGGAAATCATGAAATGAAGGATTGTTGTAGGGGTCATTCCATTTCTCATTCCCTGCATCTCTCGCACCAGCAAGAAACCGCTATCAGGGCTTCCATCAGATATACAGCCACCCTAAAACGCCACTGTTTCTAGGAGTCTATACTGCAACTGTTGCCCTGAAACTCGTGGTTTCCCCCACAAAGCCACTTTTGTCAGGAGTGCATCCTCATTTGTTTGCTCTAAAAGCAGCCACTTTTTTTAGGAGTGTATCCTCCAATTTTGCCCTGAAAGTAGTGGTTTCCGCTACAAAGCCACTTGTTTTAGGAGTGTATCCTCCAATTGTTTGCTCTGAAAGTAGTGGTTTCTTCTACAAAGTCACTTCTTTTAGGAGTGTATCCCCCAATTTTTGCCCTGAGAGCAGTGGTTCCCCCTGCAAAGCCACTTTTGTCAGGAGTGTATCCTGCAATTGGTTGCTCTGAAAGTAGTGGTTTCCCTACAAAGCCACTTGTTTTAGAAGTGTATCCTCCAATTGTTTGCTCTGAAAGTAGTGGTTTCCCCTACAAAAGCCACTTTTTTTAGGAGTGTATCCTCCATTGTTTGCCCTGAAAGTAGTGGTTTCCCCTGCAAAGCCACTTTATTCAGAAGGGTATCCTGCCATTGTTTGCTCTAAAAGTAATGGTTTCCCCTACAAAGCCACTTTTGTCAGGAGTGTATCCTCCATTTTTTGCCCTGAAAGTAGTGGTTTCCCCTACAAAGCCACTTTTGTCAGCAGTGCATCCTCCACTTTTGCCCTAAAAAGCCTCTTTTTCTATAGGGATCCTTACATTATACACCTGAACATTACAACTTGTAAATTGTGGTTTTCCTTTATTTTGGTGTGGAACAAGCCATGTTTCAAATGGTTGAAACATGTATCTTTCTAGGGGTTGATTCCTTGTCCATTCTTTTCAACCATGGTCTTTTTTCAAAAACCGATCGCTGTTTCGCCTGGTTCTGATGGGCTTTCTGAAAAGATTCGAAAAGATCCCTGGGTTCAGAATGGACATGGAAGTGTCCCCTAGAAATCTAAGGAGCCCTGTACTATAGGCTTGGTTGACGTTGGAAGGGGAGCAAAAATATTCAAATCTTAGCAGCTGAGTAGTTGGATTTCAACCACTAGACCACAAGCAAAAAGGTAAAAAAACATGTTGCCCAACAACCATGCTACTCACCTGAGGCCTCTAAAGGATGAGGCTCTTTTATCCTGAAGATTGACCAAAAGTAAAACAAACAACAAAGCAACACCATTTTTTTGTAGCAGATGAGCGTACCAGGAGCCAAAGGACACCGCCCGCGACTCCTCGGCTCGGCTCCCGGGCGCGAAGTGGCAGCGGCCCAGGCCCTTGGGCAGCAGCTCCGTGGGGGTGCCGCTGAAGCCCACGCGGCCTGAGCTGCGGAGCCCACGGTCCGCCCCCGAAGGGTTGAAAGAAAACTGATGCAAAACAAACTTTTGTTTAGCAAAAAATGATGCGAATTGATGCGAAATCCATTTTAGCTGCAACGTTTCTGCTAAGAATCAGAACAACATGAAAGAAACACTTTCTCCAACTGTTGATTGCCCTTCAACACAACCCCAAGCCAGGGAACAGAAAAACATATATTTAAAAACACACACACACACACAAACAAAAAAGGAACCACGGAAGAGCCAAGAACTTGGTTGACTCATCATTGACCTTGAAAGGGAGCAAAAGTCTTCAAATTTTCGCAGTTAAGTGATTGGATTTCGAAACTTGGGGAGAAGGATCCCTCGAAGGCCGTTTAGGCGGTGATTCGCCCCGCGTTGATGCGGAAGCGAGTCATTTGAGGTCCAACCGGATGAGCGTTGAAATGGCAATCAAAGAATACTAGGTCCTCCGGCAGAGAGGGTAGAATACCCATTTTTCTAAGTCTATTTTAGTAGGGGAACCCTCCCCCAAAAAAGGGCAACAGGCCACTGCTGGGGGACCTAGAATAGGACGTTCAGCCGCTGCCAAAACCAGCAGCTGGCATAGGCTTCCCCAGCAAAAGATGATTCGCGTTACCGCACATGCACAGTGATGCTGAGCTGGGAGCCGGTAGGGGGATGTGTGAGTGGTAAAGAGTCTTTAAGGATGAAGGGTGGTTTCCAGTCATATCAGGGTTCTTCGGGGGAATGCACAAGAGTGCACTGCTGAAATGCTATGAACCGGCTTTTGCTTTGCCCTCGCCAAATCACAGCTTCCACTTGCTTAAGCCCACTGGAAAAGATCAACATATTGCAGTAGTGATAGAGTTCCTGTAACAGCAACAAGTGAAAATAACAAGTAACATTTCCTAGGTCCTCCAGTAGAGAGGCTAGAATAAGGGTGCCCTTTTTTCTTTAGTCGATTTTAGTCGGGGGTTCGCTCTCCCCCAAAAAAGTGGTGAGAAAGGGCACCTAGCTGGGGGACCTAGTTTCAGCAAACGGCAGACTGCTCGTGTCTTGACCGGATTGGACTCCCAGTCGGCCACTTCCAAAGTCGACTCGAAGGCAGGCGCCCTGAAAGCGCCGCGCACCCCAGCGAGTGCCTAGACTCTGGCGAAAAGAAAGCCACTCGCCACTCGCCATGTCTGTCCGCTTTCAGATCCCCTATATGAAAGTCTAATTTTTAGTGGGCGAAACAGAACCCCTCCAAAAAAATAAAACGGTAAAAAGCCAAGGGATCGCTGGGAATCACCAAATTGAGGGACGACAAATTTGGCTTAACCACCCCCTACCCCCTTTTGAGAATTCCTCTCCAAATCTTGGCTGCTGTAGCGACCCCTCTGCAAAAAGTGAACTTTTTGTGGGTCCAAGTCGGAAAACAGACCAGCTTCACCCAAAAATGATATAAGTCCAAAGATTCGTTACCAAACAGCCATAAACAGAAATAGCCTTGCTTTTCTGGCTCTTGGGCGTCCACATTGTTCGACGACGACCAAAAGCCACCACCCCACCCCACCCCACCCCACCCCACCCCACCCCACCCCACCCCACCCCACCCCACCCCACCCCACCCCACCCCACCCCACCCCCACCCCACCCCACCCCACCCCACCCCACCCCACCCCACCCCACCCCACCCCACCCCACCCCACCCCACCCCACCCCACCCCACCCCACCCCACCCCACCCCCACCCCACCCCACCCCACCCCACCCCACCCCACCCCACCCCACGCGCGCGTTGTTTTTTTGCTTTGCTCTTTGCGGCCCAAGAGGCGCGCGAAGAGCATCTCCGCGCCCAGCTCTTGGCCGCTGGCCGAGAGCTTCTTGCACTGGAACCTCCGTTCGAACCGAAAAAAAACCGGCCCCAAATCGCTTTCTTGAGCCCCGAAACCGAAGGGAACAAACAGATGGGTGTCCTTTTCGGGGAAAAATCGATGGGTTTCCCTGGTAGATGACGATTTTTCGAGCGAAACAACCAAAAAGGACACCTATGGGAATAGGAGCTCATAGGTGGTTTTTGGTTAAAAATCAATGGGTTTGCCTGGTAAATGGAAAAAAACAACCAGGTAAACCAGGGCCCTCTATTTTTTAGGCAAACCAACCAAAAGGACACCTATGCTTGAGCCGGGAAACCGAAGAGGGTTTAAGAGAGGGATTCCACGACAAAAATATCTAGTTCGCTAAACTTGCCAGTGCTCAGGGAACATACACCAGGGACCCGCCAAGATTCTGAAGGGTCGACCCTATAACTGTTGCTGGGGACAAAGAAGAAACACGCAAAGCAAGACAAGGGTCGCTGGATTTCCCCTGCAGGTGCGATTTACAGGTGGTTTCCGTTGAGACTGCCACTTTTAGGAGGTTCCAATTCATGTGAGGCGGGAAAGGGTTCAAACATATCAAAATCAGTGTGTGGGAAAGACGCCCTGCTGGATCCATCGGTTGGATTCCACTGCACTCGCATTGGACTAGTATCATTGGAGTCCATTACATTCTCAAATGGCATGTTTCGAGCGGCACTGGGGGTCAATGGTGAATTTCTGCAGGGAACCCTGGAATCAGTAGCACTAGAAAACTCAAAGACACCCAACGTTCGAGAAAAAAATATGTTGGGGAAAGCACCAACATAAAAAGGGTTAGTGTGTCTTGTTTGGTCAGGGTACCCCCGTTTGTCGGTTGAAAGGAGGAAAACTGATATCCGTGTTGGGGGGTCCAACCTTAAAAAGGCACACCCATATACGGGTGTGTGTCTGTGAGGGTATGCCAGACTCAATTTGTTCCCTCCTTCTCAAATGGACTAGAATCTTCTCACCACATCCTCAGAGGGTAAGCAACTGCGAGAAAAAGAAAGAAAGAAAAAAACAACTTGTGTTCCGCCGTCGTATGCAGATGTCAAAAACTAAAATTCACCAGCCAACTAGAAACATCTCCCGTCTGTGGAACCTGGCTGGGCCTGGATGATGATTTTACTAAAGGGACCTTCTGGTGGGTTGCATGGCAACGTGGACAGGAGGTAACCGATATGAACATTGTTCCCAAAAGGGCCGTGGGCCCAACACTTTGAGCCGGAGAAATCCGGCGCCTCATGTACTTGGGGAAGACCAACTGCTCCAAGTACCACTGGATCACTGAGGTGGACCCGCATAGGAGCTTGAAGATATCCTGCGATCGAGGGCCCAGTGACACCCCCTATTTGTGGGGGCACAAAACCAAGATTGATTTGGAGGATGGAATCTACTGCCCATGCAGGTTTTCCAAACAACTTGCAGGATAACAACATCTTTCTAGAAACCCGCACAGAAGCTTGAAGATATCCTGCGCCGGCCGAGCCGTGGTCAATATGCGCAAGATTCCTGTGATAGACATGGGAATGTTGGGTCGTCACTAACTTCAATTCAGGAATCCCTATGGGTGAGCTCGTGTTCCTTCTGCTTACGGTCATTCAGAGCCTGTGTTGCCCGATGGGACGATTAGGGCTCGTCCTGCTTTTGAACCCTCGCCAATTCGCTATGATCGATCGGCTGACAAGGCCTTACTTAGAGAAAGCAGGGGGCTTTGGGCGGTGGGTGCGGCTGATCTTTGGGCGACTCCGTCCGAACGTCCTTCATCTGCGTTTCGTTGGAGCGTTGCAGCAGCGCCAAAGGCGGCACACCTAAAGCGGGTGTGGAGACAACCAAAAGAAAAAAAACACGCATAGATTGTGGAATCCCAAGGCAGGTAGGAAAAGGGGGTGGGGGGTGGGTAGTTGAGACTCTGTTTTAGGGTTCCCTACACATCCCTAGGGTTCCTTAGTAAAGCTTCATGAGCCTTCCCCTTGGATTCGCTAAAAATCAGTGGGGCCAGACTTTGAATTGGAAGCCTTCCGATGAACAAAAGGAATGCCCGCAGGACTCTCTGGTCATTCTTGCGCTGAGAGCTCCAGACGGCACCTCTGCATTGCACTTGGCAATGCGCTCTTCAGTCCCTGGAGTCTCCATACCCGAAAGCCAAGGCCATGACGCCCGTCTTGTGGCATACGACTCCAACTTTCAAAAGGCAGGTGGCTCCAAATACAGCGGAAAACACCGAGAAGTTTAGGACAACGCGTGCATGTTGCAAGTAGGGAGCACTCCCAAATGAAAAGAGGCTCCAGATGTCCCAAATGATATCCCGGACTTGGAATGTAGCGGAGAAGCCCCAGCAACAATTGGCATGCCATTTAAAGAGCTTTAGCCACTCTGTCTTGTGTTGATCACGCGCTTGATGCGGTCAAGCGCTTGCCCCCTTCAACCACTCGGCAATAGGCCTGTGAGGCCAACTTTGCAGCCCGCAAAAAGTGGCGAGCCAGGCGCAACCTACACCTTATTTGTCTAAATGTGCGTGTTGTGTCCTTGAAGCTGCTTCCGCCAATATGCTCCTCAATTGTTGCGGTAAAGGCTCAAAGTCGGAGACCCAAAAGAAACAACACCAACCCTGCACACAGACACCCACCTTTTTAGCAAGGTCTGCAGGACCCCTTACCCGGAAAACGCAGAGTCATTGACCCGAAAAACATCGCAGCGTATCTGACTCACTGACCTAAGCTCCATTTTTCGAATTGGAGCTTACTTCCCGCGTGGATTGGCCAAACAACGCCCAAACGTTGTGCTTACCACTACCAGGTCCTCCAGTAGAGTGGTTAGAACAAAGGTACCAACTTTTTTTCTACAGTCTATTTTTGTAGGGGAACCCTCCCCCAAAAAAAGTAGAAGGGCAGGAAGGGAGACTCCAGGCATGCTGATCAACTTGTTTGCATGCTTGGGGATGCTTTTTTCAGCGCTCCTTGCCATCAGTTTTTGTTGACCCAACCAAAGCAACTGCCACGCCTTTGCCACTCTGCTTGGGCGCGTCCGGCACAGACGGGTCCTCAGAAGGGGCGCTGTTGGGCACTCTGGCTCCCGCATTTCCTTTGCCCTAGGGTTCAACCCCCATGAAAAGAATGGTCGACCCAATTAGGTGACAATCACGAGGTAAAAAGTTGTGGTTCTGTGAACCCCATTGTTTTAATGGTTGTTTGAATCCCAGGGTTTGACTTTTGCAGAACCCAGGAAGTTCCGGGCTACATCACTGAACGTCTACAGCTATTGTTGGGGAAGTCCGAGTTGGAAACCAAAGAGGGTCACAGCATAATCCTTTTCCACGGGTGGAACAATAGGTTTTCCTCCAAAGAAAAACACTGATGAGGCAATTGAGCACAGTTGTCAAACCTCCCATTCTGCCAAATTCCCAAATGGTTGAATCCCAGCCCCATGCCTAGATCACGTTCAATGGATTCCCTTGGCGCAGACGAACAAGCTCGGGCACCGCACACTTCAACATCATAGCCAGCCGATGGAAGTCGCTTCCGCTCGCCCTTCCGGCTTCCGGCTTGCATCTTCCGGGCTGGGCGATCGCCAAAAGGTAAGAACAAGGAGCTGCAGGCAGTTGCATCTGTTGAGCTGCGCAGCCCTTCCGCCACAGATCTCGGCATTCAGGCGCTCTGAGAACTGGGCAAGGAGCTCAGAGAGTGCGTCCTTGCAAAAAGCTGCAGGCACCTGTAAAAGCAGCTGTGCTTGTCTCAAGCATGTGCCTGAAGTTGTCACTGAACTGCAAAGAGTCTCCAAGACTCTTTAAAAAGCAGAGTCACTGGCCCAAAATGTGTGGGTTTAAAAGGGTCAGAAAGACTCCAAGCAAATTTGACAAGCTCCGAAAACTGAAACAAGACAAAACGGTCAAACATGTTATTCTCACCAAGCACGGGCAGCCTGTTTGAGCGTTGGCTATTTCAGGTGTGCCCAGCATGTCTTTTTAGCCTTGTTTTGAGTTTGTACAATCCGAGAAATACACATAATGGCCCTTTAAAAGCAATGGGGGTTGGGGGTTCCCTTAATAGTCAATCAATCACGCCTCAACCCATGCTTACCTCAATGCGCTACACTTGATGGATTGAATTGGCTCATTTGTTCAATTTGGCTATCTGCCATTGGCCGTAGTGTTAAACCAGAGGCAGCCCGAGGAGCAAGAAACATGAGTCTAGTGAATGTCTGAGAGTTATGTTGGACCTCCTGTAATAAGTGGGGCCGCTGTTATAGACAGTCTTTTTCCCCAATTCAGAATCCTGTACACGGACTGTTTTGGGCTTCGCATAGAAAGCCAAAGTTCAGGCAATAAGCACCGGAACAACGCCTCAGCCTAAGAAAAATGGCAACTTATCCGGCTGAGAGTCTAAAGGCCTTGGATAAAAAGCAAGAGTCACATAAAGGGGGTTGCCCACCAGAGCCCCTGACCGATCCGTGTATCAGACGGTTTCGGGGTCCGCTTTAATGGCAGCCTTTGTTGTGACATCAACGCCTTGACCTTTTTTAAAGGAAGGTTTGTCATGTGAGGTGCTGAATAGAGTAAGTCTTGGCAAGACTAAACCCAGAATTGGCAAAGCAATTCTAAGTGCATTACTGGGATCTGAGATTAGATATTGACAATACTCAATTTGGAATCCGCAATTCAAAGTCAAGTACTGGGAATCGGAGATCAGGTCTGGGGAAAACTTAATTCATAATGTTGGGCAAGCCCAAGTCCAATTCACCAACACCCTCCTCGTTTTCCACTAAAGACCAGTGGGGGTCATACTAAAGAGGCTCCAAAATTCACACCCTGGAAGCAAATCCTCTCAGCACGACCCAGTGACGAGTGGTTTCAAGTTCCAAACCACAGGTCTATGCAAGCGTCAAGCCGAATTTGGCAGACTTCACCCTTCAGCGTTAGGTTTTTTGGGGCAGGGTCTTGAAGTCATTGGATTTCCCCCCAAATCAGCAGTTGATCAATTAATTTATCCTACAACCAATCAACATGGAACCTGACATTCGGGGGGTCCTGGTTTGGATTCTTTCCTTTTACAGGGACCGGGTCCTGAACCTCAGGTTCCTGCTGGTACAGCTGGTTTCCCCTGACTTCCATTTGATTCCCCTGGGAAAAATGAACAAGTGATAAAGTCCCTTTGAAACCAACAGGGGAAACAACCACAAATCGACAAATCCCTTGAACACCAACAGGTCTTCAAAAAAAAACAAAACGCCAAATGAGTCTCAGCTAATGGAAGCAAAGAACCAAGCCGAGCTCTGGAGCAAAAGCCAACGCCGGGCAAACCGCCTGGGGCCCTCGCGCACAGGAAGCCGCCGGCCTGGGCGAAGCGCAGCCCGAAGTCAAATCGAGGCATCCCTCGCTGGCCCCGAGGGGCGAAGATCTCAGCCACGTTGCCCCAAGACCCTGGCTGAAGGGAATCCATTTGGCTGCTCCAAAAACTGGAATTCCAAAATGGGTTGGCCTAAGTGGAAACATGGATTTTAAAGCCTGCGGTTTGCCCCTCCTGTTTAATTTTGAGCCACGCCCATTGCAGATTCGACCCTCTGCAATTGCCCAAAGGACCTGCAAAATCCAAGGTGCACCTTGCGGAACTTGACCAAACATAGACCCAATCAGGGAATATAGAACATGGAAAATGACCTGGAAATAAAAGGTGATCACCTTTTGGGACATGACAAACATGGACCAAATCGGGAAATGCAAAAGGCGAAAAGGTCGATTTGCTTTGGGAAGGCGAGAAGCATTCCACGTTCAATTCTCCGTACATTGATCTCTTAAACCAGACACAAAGGTCCAGACGCGCCGTTTGGTTTGCCCAGAAAAGAGCGCCAAGTGCTCGTGCTCACAAATGATGAAAGGCGCGTTTTCACCAGGTGACATCCACTGCATGGGTGCTTTATTTGGGTGTGGCTCAAAATTAAAGAGGTAGGGTTACTGTACGCAGGCTTGATCTTTAACTCCATTTGCCAAGGTGCCATGGTGGTACATGTTTTTGAGCCACAGCCATTTCAACCCAAGCATTTCTTCGCGTTCTCAAATATAGACAAATACATCTGGGCTGTCCTCAGATCTCCCGCTAAAAGTTTAACTTTTTGTGGCTTAAATGGAAATCCCACCTACACACTAAAAGGCCACAAAGCTAAGGAACCGGATGGCTGTGAGCCACCAAGATATGATATATGGACAAGAAGAGTCCCTTGGATTTCGCACACGCACGGATACACATTGACATGAAGCCACCAAGCTGAGATGCCCGGAAGTCTTCAGTCAACCGGAACGGCGGTTCCGGCCTCTGTGACCCAGGTCCGGTACAGCACAGCAGAGGGTCTGTCCTGACGCGAGAGGCGAGTGACTCCATTTCTAGGGCTACCTTCCATTTCCATTTCCAGGGATCCTTCTTTTCAGGAAACCATCAAAAACCCAGGGGAAACAGCCGGCTTTCTAAAAGAACGGTGGCTGAAAAGACCGGGGAATCAACCCCTAGACCATTGGGAAAATCTGCGGGTCTTTGGTCAGCTTCCCTCCAAAAAGGGTGGTTTGGATTAGTGGTTTGGTGGTTGAGGAGGGGTTTCCCATTTACCCTCTACAAGAACCAGGGCTTCAAAGCCAATGACAAATTCCAAACCACCAATCCAACCCACCAATTCAGGGCTACCTGATTTAGCCTGTCCTGAAAGAACGACTCGGGCCTGGGATAAGCTGATCTTGTCTATCTTCCAACTTTCATTTAGATTGGGTTGGGCTCAACAAACCGCGGCGAGTCTCCATGATCTACCAATGTGGCCATATCCCCAAACTTGGGGTGGCATAGCCTGCTGGATAAATTAGATGGGCCACTATCGAGGCTCCGAACTGTCAACAGAAAGGCCGAAAGAATCCAAATTGGGGACGAACAGCTGGCCAACCCGGATAGTCTCTACAAAGGTGTCACACAAATAATGCATCTCTTTTTGCACCACCCCCTGAAGCTCCAAAGGGCTCCCCTGCTATGCACCATGTTTGAGAGAGGCCCTGTCCAATCTCAAACTGCAAACAACCAATGCCCATGCAAATCAAAATTCTGCACGCGATTGGCCAACTCACTGTTTGCAGGCCTCCCGAATCGCAACATGAACCGAAACCAACCTGGGCTGGTCGTTGACAATTCATGTTTCTGACTGGCGGGGAAGCAATCATTTTCCATATTCCCCCATTGGGTCTATGTTTGGTCAAGTTCCAAAAGGTTAACCATTGATTTTCAGAGCCCAAAGATCTGCGAAGCAGATTGCCAGCCGCACTAGGCTTGACCGGACAGGCTGCGTTGAGAGAGAGAGAGAGAGAGAGAGAGAGAGAGAGAGGGAGAGCGCCTTTGGGCAAGTGAGGGTCTTCCAACTAAGGCCAAAACAAGGCTTAAATGGGTGTGGGTCAAAATTAAAATCACCAGGGGGCCGCAGAATTGAATTTCTGGTTCCATTTACCAGGGTTCTATGTTGGGTACCAATCTTTGACCCACATCCACATCACTTGCTCGCAGCCAAGCGGAGTCCCCTCAGCCTACAGCTCGAAGGGACCCACGACCCACGCGCCCCAAAGCATCCGGCCTGTGCCCTGCCGGGCTCTTTGCGCACGTCGTTCAGGAGCCGCACCATGACCTGCTCATGAGACATGTTAGCTTGAGTTGGGTATAAATTCTAATTAGGGACCCTTTGGTGGACATCATTTAGGTGGGGATTTATGTCCACCAACCACTTTTGAGGGGGCCCCCATTAAAATTCATAGCTATTTTGCTTGAGCTCACCTAGGTCCGCCAGTGGAGAGGTTAGAATAAGGGTGCCGTTTCTTTTTTCTGTAGTCTATTTTAGTAGGGGAACCCTGCCCCAAAAAAGTTGGTGGAGAAAGGGCACTGGGGGACCTAGTCACTTTCTCTTTGTTCGGGGAATTTTCTCACGTCCTTCCGGACCTCCGATCCCCCAGCTCCACGAGGCTCCCTTCCAACCATCAGTCATCGAATGCAAAATCTTCGTGAAGTGATGCCACGTGCATGGAGACTAGGTGCAGCCACTTTTTGAGACAGTCCAACACGTAAAGTGCATATTCCCAAGCCGGCAGGGTTCGAGTTCGCCCTATGTTGCCCTGAAGCATCGCCAAACTAGAACAAACGTTCGGCCCCGAAGGGCCCATATGTGTTTTGGTCATCATTTAGGAGCCCTCGCGCTGCAGACCATATTGGACAGTCAGATTTCAGGGTAGATAACTCCTTTTCCGAGTAGTGAAGTTCTCAGAACTGCCAAAGGACACGCTGCACCTGGCCTCAAACGTGAAGGGACACCTTCCCAAGGGAACAAGGAGGTCAAGCCACCTGCACCAATCCCTAAAAGTGACCAACCTGAATTCTTGAACCTCGAATCCTTCATGGGTCGACTGTGCAGATCGATCCCCTGCAGCCCTTCCTCATCGATGTCAGCCAAGCGGAGATTCTCGTAGCGGTAGCCCAAAATGGTGAGACCAATGACGATGTCCGGGTGAGCGAACCTGGGCGGAACGGATCTCATCATCTCATCCTGCAAGCCCCGCAAATAAACTCTCAAAAACCAAGCGGTAGGGGCCCTATAAGCTCGGTTGCTTTCTGCTCCCCTGCTAAAAGTTTAACTTTTGGTGGGTTCATGGAAAACCCATTAGTTGGCAAAAAGTTGAAGTTCTAACATCCAAGCAAAATGCACCAAAGTGCACCAAAGTAAGGATTCGCGTGGCTCGATTCTTTGCCAAATAAGGCCAAATCAAGGCCTTACCAGCTGCTTCTGCTTCTCTCTGGATCTCCCTCTTGCTCGAGCTGATTGTACAGCGTCCGGACTCTCGCTGAGCACACCTACCAGTTTGCCCCGTCAGAAGGAAGAAAAGGACCTGGACGGCCACGCAAAGGACAAGCTGCAAGTCGTCGTCAGCGAGTTTCCGGTGTTTCCGGAGGTGGTGGCATGGACCGGGAGTGTACCCAGCAGGTTTAAAGCCAAGCAACATGCGGCTTTGTTGCTCGAGGTAAGGGTCAATGATCTTACCCCAAACTCAATCGTTGATCCCAACCATTCCTGGCAATTTGCTCTCTGCCTCACAAACAGCCGTTTTCTGCCAGGTTTTGGGGGTGGTTTCTGTCTCAAGGGAGCCAAGCACGATCCATCAAGATGCTTAGAGCAATCCAATGCAGTCCAGGCGTCCTGGTTAACTTAGCATGGCAAATTGGGAAAGAAGCACCGTCTCTAGGTCCTCCAGATTTGAGAGGTTAGAAGGGTACCCGATTTTTTTCTGTAGTCTATTTTAGTAGAGGAACCCTCCCAACCAAAAAAGGGGAGAGAAAGGGCACTACTGGGGGATCTAGTTTTGTTGGTAGTTGATTCAAGAGGGGTACCCCTGCAAAACGACAGCTAAACATGGAAAGCACCCACCGGAGCAACCTGAAGGGATTCGGTTTCCAAACGCTCGGCTCCAGGTGCATGATCCCAGTCTTTTTGGATGCTGGCCATTGCTTTTCGGACACCTTCCCGAGACTCCCTTCCTGGATCGGCCAGAAACAGTTCAAACTTAGTGTTTTCCTCCAAGATGGTCCTACCTAAAAGTGACGAAAGTCCAGGAGCTCAGCAAGAGAGCCAAAGGGACATTCACTTACCGCCCTAGCATTCCATGGGTTTCAGGCTAGTTCATGTGCCGCATCCGTGTCCATCCCAGAGTGAGCCTTTGGATTGTCTTGAAAAGGGAGCACCAAAAGGCCCAGGTCAAAGACCACAACCCAGTTCACAAGATCTATTCAAAGCTCCGCTTATTGGCCCAGGAAGATTTCTGAAAGTACTCCCAAGGTCGCCAACAGCACATGGGGAGGTTCCATTGTGCATGAACCTCCAAGCTTCCCCTTTTCAAGGCAGCCAAAGAGCTCCTTGCAAGGGGCAGCTCAGTTTTCTCTGACTCTGCATGTGAAGATTGATGGAAGGTCCGGTGTGGTGACCATTGGTTGGAAAGCGACTAAGATGATATTTCCCACATGGGGAAAGTTACCCATGGTCAAAACTGGGGTCCCTAAATGGAATATGGCTCAACCCCCATGTGAAGGAGCCAAAGAAGTCAAGGCCTCTCGGTTTGGCCCTTGGCTTGAGAAAAAATGCTGGGGCAGCGGCTCGTTTGTAGGCGAAGGCACATCTTTGCCAATCTGGGCCGTCACCCCGTTGCCCACGGACACATAGAGTGTTGTTTCCAGGACCCCAAGAGGAGGGACTGGGTCCTCCAGTAGAGAGGTTAGAATAAGGGTACCCACTTTTTTCGGTTGTCTATTTAGTAGGGGAACCTTTCCCCCAAAAAGGGGTGAAAAAGGGCACTACTGGGGGAGGAACCAGCTGAACAACTGAAAAGGCTTGGAATGTATATGTCCCTCTCCACCCCCGCAAAAGAATTTCCCCTGAGGCTTCCCTCGGAGGAGCAGCCCTTGGTGCTTCCAAGCAAGCCGCCACAATACCATGATCCAAGCATGGAAGTGAACAGGGGATCTTTGCTTCCATTTGCGTTGTCGCCCCCCTGGGAAAAATAAATATGCCCAGTAGTGATAGATTCCCTTTAAACCCACGAGATGAACATAAACAATCTTCTTAAGCACATGAAGTTTGTAATTAAGATGATGGTCTGAACCAAAACTTAGCCGTGCTCTTCCGTTGGAACGACGGTAATCAACGCCATGTAAAGACTAAAGAGATAACCCATGGATACCGGTTGGGCTTGCAATGATATCACTTGGACGTACTGGGCTTAGGCCGTAAACGAGGAGGACCATGGGAGAAGACTTGGAACACCTGGGATGGAAGAAGAATGAACAGAATAATTGGAACACCTCCATAGCATCACTTGGAACACCTCCCTACCAGCCATGCCCGGGCTGTTCGGAGGATTTCCTGGGCCGATTTAACAACGAGGTGACGAGGCAAGATTGTTTCTAAATTGCACAGATTGTGTGACCCTAGAGAGGGGGCTGCGTATGTGTATGCTTTTGTTTGTTGTTTTCCCTCTTTTTGTTTCTTCTTTTGTTGTTGTTGTTGTTGTTGTCGTCTTATATATATATATATATATTTATTTTTTTCCCGGATCCCGCTTTGAAAGGGAAGCTTGATTGCGAGCGGTTCCTTCAAAGATCTTTCCAGCTGCCAGGGGCTTGAGGAAGCGGACGGATGGTGCCTGGAGAGAGGGGATAGATTTGGGCATGGTTCTTCCATTTGCTTAAGAATATATGTTTGTTTTTATTTCCCCCTGTTGGTTTTAAAGGGAATCGATTTCACTATTTGCTTCAATAATAGTAATTATTAGTTTTTTTGGTTTTCCCCTGTTGGTTTCAAAGGTAATCGATTTCACTACGTAAAATATATTTTTTTATTGTTTGTGTTTTCCCCCAGGGGTCGCAAAACCAAATGGAAGGTTCGGTTGGTTGTTTCCTTGTTGCCAAGCTGTGGAATGCCATCGTCTAAATGTAGCCCGCCAATGCCCGCCATCAGAAGCGATTTCCGCCTGGCTAAACGCTTTTGCACGCGAACCTAGGGGAAGCTTCCCTGTGACGTGTCAGAAAAAAAAGAAGAAAACAAAATGTAAATACCCGAAACCGGCGGCTTTGTCAATAATCGACCAGTCCCGTGGAACCATACCAATCAGAATAATCCTGCCTAGTATGAAAATAGTAGCCCCCCTCAAGGCGAGCAGCCCTAATTAATCAGTATGGTCAGACCCAAAGTTGACAATTATATCGGGCACTGGTCCAACTGATCATGCAAAACGTGATCCACTTGTTTGGCTCGTGCGGTCATTTCCCACTAATGAATGGGTGAAAAAGAAAGCAACCGTGACTGGATTTGCCTTACAGACTTTGAATTCCCAAAATCCTTTCACAAGCCAGAACTCGATCCTGAGGTCTGGGTGATCGAGTCTTACCACAACAGAAAATGGAACTCCAAATGGAGATCAGTCGAAGTCCCCCAAATCCACCAGCCCCCCAATCCACTTTCAACGGTGACCCGACGCCCTTGACTGCACGCATCGAGGTTCACTGAAAAACCCATTGATCTTCGGTTCTAACATGATCGAAAAAGAAAGAAAACAAAAAGCGAAAAAAGACAATTGAAACATGATGGTCTTCGTAGGGCTCATCATGAAGCTGCCTGCAAAGCTGCAAAAACTCCGAGGCCACAGCAAAGGGAATTGCCAGCTTGCCTCAGAGCAGGACTGCGGCCGGTGTGCAGAAGCTGGGCCGCTCTCAGACTTCAGCCGCAAGTGAAGACTGCTGTTTGGCTCAAGGGAACCATGCTAACTTGCTGGTGCTCGGCAGGGATAGAGGGAATGACCCCTATAAACCATCCAACTGGTGGTTTCCTTGCTGGCTAGGTCCTCCAGTAGAGAGGTTACTATTTTTCTTTTTTGTCTATTCTACTAGGGGATCCCTCCCAACCAAAACAGTTGGTAAAAGGCACCTAGCTGGGGGACCTGGTAAAGAAGCGCGTAAAAGGTAAACAGTACACAATCGAAAAGGTACGTCTGGTTTCCTCTGGTGACCGGAGGCTAGCCATGCGCCCCCTCAGTCCATGCCCAAACCTATGGCGCGGCGGCTGTACCATCCCTGAAAGTGGTGCCTTCAACACCAAGACAGCATTTGCACTTTAGTTGCAAATGTGTCAAACCTTGGCTGGCCAGCTACCGTAAGCCTAAGGGAAGAGAATAGAGGCTTACCATGGCCATCATTCACCTCCCTATCCCATCTTGGCTACTCCTGCTGATCTTTGGGCATCTTCCGTGGTTGGTGGAGGTCTTGAAACAAACTTCCAACCACAGTGTGCCAAACAATGTGCTTCTGTCTCCAAATCAAACAATTGGTTTCCCATTGGTGTCGCTTTAAGACCATCTCAACAAGCGGACCCTCGGAAGACAAACCCATGATATAAGCCGCTACGAAACGGCTCTCTCATGAAACCGTCAATCAAGAGCAGTCGGTTCAGGCTTTAGGTCACTGTTTTAGTCAAGGAATCCAAGCCCCACCATGATGTTCTTAGCAGAGTTCGGCCCAGTGGGTGCGTCTGTTTTTTTGGCAGGGTCGCAGTAAACCACAGGAAGCCACTCACCGAGTTTCTACCCCTTTGGATCATGTTTTTAACAAGAGCTTGGAGCAATGTCAAGCTTCGCACAATCACGCGCACAGGGTTCCTGATACTTCCACTCCAAACATCAACCCCAAAAATACTCCCTGAACATGGGCCGTAAGAGGTGAGCATAAAACATGAACAAAGCCCAAACCCGGTCCTTTTGGAGGAATTGGAAGAAGCCCCTTGCTGGTGCTCAGAAGGGAATGAGAAATGGAATGACCGACCCTCATAAACCATCCCTTGTGGTCCCTCGTTCCCTACTGAGCACCAAGGGGAAGCAAACGGACTGGACCAGCGCAGAACACCCGGCCTCTCGAGAGCGGCATGTTGGGATCGGCCTCCAAGGCCCTCGTCAGATCCTGCGCTCGGATCGGCCAGCGACAGGTTCGGCAGCAAAAGTTTCGTTCGGCGACCCTGGGCTAGGTCCTCCAGTAGAGAGCTTAGAATAAGGGTGCCCTTTTTGCTGTAGTCTAGTTTATAGTATGGGAGCCCTCCCTCAAAAAAGGTAAAAGGGCACTACTGGGGGACCTAGTGGGACCTACCTTGGGAAGCTCAACGGCTGTTTCAACATAAGCCCAGGGGTATCCCCAACAGCCCCTAAAACCCCCTGAAACCCTAAAAGATGCGTCCCTCAAAAGCTGCCCCAAACCATCCCTTCTCGAGCCCAATTGGGCCTATCGACCCCCACAGCTTTCAGCTGAACAAAGAAGTTGAACCCAACTTGAGCCCAAAGAGGGGTGGTTGTAACTCCAATTGTGGGAGGGCACCAAACCCAATCAGTCAGGCCCCTTGTTCATTCGGCCGATTGCCTAAGTATCGCACATGCACCAACCAAAAGCCAGATAACATGCACTACAATGACCAGGGCTCTGGTTCTTGCCGCTTATCAAGTATGACGGCTGTCTGAAATTCCTGGCCATCTTCGCGAGAGAAAAAGTTAACTTTCGCGGACCCCATCGCAGAACTTTCGCGGGGCTGTTTTCACAACATTCATCACAAAAGTAGTACACAAAGTATAGTTTCGCAGCCCCAGTTTGAAAGTCGCAGGTTTTCAATACGAAACTAGAACACGAACTAAACTTCCGCAGCCACAAAGGTCAAAGCTTTTATAAAAACGAAAGTAGTACACGAAGTAAACTTCCGCAGCCCCAGCTCGAAAGTCGCAACCTTTCAGTTCCAAAGTAGCACGCGAAGCGCGTCCTCGAGAGGACCCGTTGGCCTCATGTCCGGACTGGCGCGGAGGTCCGTCGACTTTCGCGAAACTTTCGCGGATCTTACGCCAAACATTCGCGAAAATTCGCCTGGAAGTTGCAAGCTGGTTTCTGCTGGCTGGGAGTTCTTTTTGCTGCGGCGTATTCTTGCGGCGACCCTCAGGCTGCGCATTCCCCGACCAATTTCAGTCTGCGGGCATTCTGCGCGCACTGCCGGTAAATACACATGGTTCATCACTCCAGTTTGGTGTTAGCAAGCCACCCTTACACAAAACGTTCGCAAACACTTTCGCGACCCCCTTCGCGGAACTTTCGCGGAGGTCAACGCTAAGACCAAAAGGTCTTCCCCTTAACAGCTCAATACAAGGACCTTTCGGACGACTCGCATATGTTTTTGATTGATCTCAGGTGTCAAGAGATGGCTGCCAGTGACGTCAACTGCAATTGCAAACCTTTTTGTGGTTTTCAAGGGACCAAAAGAAACAACCATCATTTTGGGACCCGTGTACCCTGAAGAAGACACCCAAATTCAGACCCAGCGACCCGACCAGTCAACAAGTGGGGTCTCCTGATTTTCAGGGCTTGATGTCATTCTTGTGTCCCAATCCCGAAGAGCAAAAACCGCGAAATACTCACTGAGCCAGGTGAGCCAGGGCAAATTTCCAGGAGCCAACCACCACGCCACCAAAGGACACCCCGATGGTTTGGGCGCACTGAGCCGCTTTGGTTTGCTCACTTTGCCTTTTTCTCCCTTCTGTAGCCTTAAGGGTTCGCTTTGGGCGGGCGCCCTTTCGGGCAATGGTCTCCAACTAGGTTCGTTCCTCGCTGGTCATGATGCCGAAGGAGACCCGGTCGATCTTCGCCAGGCAGTGCGGCAACAGCAAAGAGAGCCAGGCCTCAGCTGAAAGGATCTGAAAGGTCTGTCCGCTGAACCCCGTGAAGGCTCTGTTGGACTCACTTCCCCAGTGGATTGGCAAAAAAAACAACAAAACTTGTTTACCACTAGATCGGTCTTCCCCAAAAGCACAAACTCCAAACTCGGGAAGTACGTGGACCACTTTTCTCACTTTCCATTGAGCCTCCTACGGGTAGGTCTGGCATAAAAACAATCGACAAACGGGTTGATTGTGGCTTCCGGGAAAAGGGACAACTCAACGAGCAAATGTGAAGATTTCCCTTCTGGTTTGGTTTGAAGTTTGGAGCCACAATGTCTTTTACCCCACACCCCATCTGCAAGAAGCTCAACCCCCCAGAGTCTCCGGAAGGACCCTCAAAAAAACGGGTGGTCTTGACCCAAATCTTAGGCATACGTGTTCAAACGCTCAGAGAACGACTCCAGGCGCTCGTGGCTTACCGTGTCATGTGTGGCTTCTGTCTTACGGTTCCCATTGCTCAGCGCAAAGCGCCATCTTGGAGCCAAGTCTCGCCTCTGGGTTGCTTCCGTCTCATGATTAGAGTGGGGAGCAGTTGTAGAATGTATATTTCATTGGTTGCTTCACTTTGAGTCACAGGAAAAATGTAAAATGTTTCCTAAGTCTACCCCAGGTCTGAGCTAATGCATTTTGAAATCTTGGGGCTGTGATTCATCGGGAACGGCTCGGAAGGAACAACGCGCTTTCGCGGGAGTCCAAGCAGTTGCCAAGGGCATCTCAGCGATCTCAGATTCAGAAGGCTTGCAGACTTGGTGGATCTCCGCAAAAGGGAAGGATCGCCTCTCAAATGGAATACCTATTGTCAGCTCCCCTATGCTGGTGGTTTGGATTGGTGGTTTGGTGGTCTTCCGGAGGGTTTCCCGTTTGTCTTGCAAACCCTTCACACACACGTTGGGGCACAATTCAAAGAAGCTTTTTTTAAAGGCAGCATATACACAAGGGTCCCCAAAGGGACAGTCCTCTTGCCATGTGAATAAGCTTGGCAGAGGTATTGCAAAGGGCTGAGTATCTACACGCGTTGTTGTCCTATGATGACGTAGTTGCGTTTAATATGTTCCTCACTGCCCCGAGCCTTGCAGTATGATGGCCTTCCTTTTGTATGTCAAGGGGAAGGCCGGCGGCATTCCATTCAGGTCTTCAAATGGCCAGCCTGTTCGGGGTTGGCTTAAAGAAGAGTTGTGAGAGCTCAGTCTTATTATCTCGAGAGGCCAGTCCTCAAAGGTCTCAAAAAGGGCAAAAATACATATCTCTCGAAAGGGACGTATCTAAAGGACTGTCTTGAAAATGCGGTCACCAAAGGACTCCTAAGAATAGGGCAGTCTTACAGCTCAATCCTTTGCTTGCTAAGACTTAACTTTCAGTGGGTAAATGGAAACCCACACTAAACCCCAAGCTAAAACCAAATGGCTGGAAACCATCAAGTTGAAGTACCGTGTTACCACTTTTCTTTTGAGGACGGGGTCTGGTTCCAAAAGGGGTCCTTAAGCAACCACTTTCTTTATCACAACTGCTCGGCAAGCGGCGTGAGCCAAGTTCAGCATCTTCATCTCCGCCTGGGAAAACCCCAGCTGAAAGCCACCAGATGAGTCAAAACTGATCGGTACCGTGGATGGAGGAAATCCATTCGCACCACTTGGAAGCCATGGTTGAAACCATTGCTTGCTCGTATTTGCAGGGGAATTGCATCATTCCAGCTTCTTAGGTGGTGCGAAATGGATGTTGGCCGTCCACAGTATGAACATGGTGTACTCAAACACAATGAACAGAATGAGACAAAGGCGGCCGCACCTATGGTTGAAGCTGTCCCTTAGTAACCTTCATCTACCTGATTTTTGAGCAAGTGACTCAGATGGGTTTTGAAGAGAACCAAACACCCCACCGCCTGTCTGTGAGAAGTAGGGAGCTAGGCTCTTTCTGCAAACAACGCTAATAGTGGTTCGTTGCCATTCCCATTGCTATATCTTGTTCCTTGGGAGATTCTCCATGGCCTTGATCAGCCGTATTAACCTCCATTCTTTCGGGATCTTGGGGTGGGTTTTGTCCCACCTGTCCCGCGGGTGGGCACCAAACATCCGAGTATTTAGAACCCCCTCCAGAAAGGACAAACAAATTCAGCCTAGTGGCCAGCGGCCAGTTGAAAAGAATATCCCGACAACCCGTCGGGTGGAGATAGGTAGCCCTTCGTTCCACGTGGCAAGCACCCCTCTCGTTTCGATGGCACTTCAGGAACCCTTCGACGACAGGATATTGTCCAGCTTCCCAGCGGGTCGCCCAAAAACATGTTGGAAGGTTCCCGCCCTGGATTTGCAATGAAGGAGGAATCCGCGGAACACCCAACATTTCGGTAACAAGTATGTAAGCAAGCAAAAAATAAAAATATAAACGGAACAGGAGAAAGCACCCTTCTTTTCACACAAGCCATGTTGGTCAAGCATTTCTCACACCATTCCCATGTTTCCACATGTCATGTTCCAACGTTTTTCAGGAAAAAGTATGTCCTTCCTGGTCGCGTGTCGCGTTCTCCCTGGGCCCGGCACCGCCGGGAGGTCTTTGAAGGCTTCCTCCTGCTTGGGCGAAGCAGTGAAGCTTCGAGGGTTTGGACTGTCCTTTTGATGTGGGCCTTTGTCTGTGTTCAAACACGGCTAAACCGAGCCAGCACCCCCCAAGCACGGCTTGAAGGGACAGTACTTGCGATTTTGGACAAGGGGAAAAATACAAACGGTTGTTGGGGGTGCTGGAGAAATATGAGCCAACTGGCAACTTAATTTAGACACGAGGAATCTCCAAGACATCGTCCCAACCCACACTGCTGTCGCCATTTGTTCAGCGTATTGCCACCGGAACCACAGACTCTAGCGCTATTTTGGATGTCCAGTGGCGCATTTCAGTCCTAAATAAGGTCTTATTAAGAGCTGAATAAGGGCTTATTTGGGCTCCCCCTCCCCTCCCTCCCCCCCAGCCCCCATGATTCGCAGACCACCGAAGACTCTCAAGTACCATCACGATCCTCGAACTTTCGGTATACCCCCCCCCCATTTTCGAGCCAATAAACTAAAGAGACTCCAGGTACCCATACCGCTCCATCACGACCCCTCACTCCTCTTCCTTTGCCGCTGGCTGATCGGAGCCTCGCATCAGGTAGCCTTGGATCGCATCACGCTGGAGGAATTGAAACACTCGTCTCTCAGCTTCCGGGAAGCACTCACCAGTCTGCTTCAGCGGACAAAATGAGAAAATATATTAGTGAAACTGATTCCCTTTAACCCAACATGGGACAATAAATAATATTCTTAAGCAAATGGAAACCACGGGGTAGTGATTTCACATGCTTTGTGGAATTATAGCTCAGATATGATTCGCCAAATAACATGGCAACAATTGCAAACTTGTGGAATATTCACCTGCAATTGCCCATGTCCGTGCCCGAGTATATATTCGGAAACAATGAGGTCCTTTCCAAGTGCATCTTATGTTCTTCTCCAAGTGCCCAGCTCGTCCTCCACCCAACAAACTAGCAATGACGGCAATGACTCCTACAGTCCTCCAGTAGAGAGGTTAGAATAAGAGCACCAACTTTTTGCTGTAGTCTATTTTAGCAGGGGAACCCTCCCCCCAACAAAGATGGTAAAAAGGCGCTACTGGGGACCTAGACTCAAATGAAGATGCTTTGACTTTTCCGATTCGATGTTGTTGCCAAGAGGCTGCTCACCGTGGCCGTGCGCAACTTCTGAGCGTTTCCTCACGAGATCGTGGAGCATTTTCCCCATGGAAAGTGGCACATGGCTGGAAAAGGAGTACTGAACAAATGGCCATGAGTAAAGCCCGTACCCCTAGTGAACATCCCAATCCCTACTAAAATAGACTAAAATGGGTTACCCCAAAATGGTACCATTGGTTTTGACCCACAGCCAAATGCCACATCCCCTTTTGGCTTCCATTCGGACAAGAACAATTACGGACTATTCATAACCCGCTAGATTGTCGTTGCTTAGGGAGCCAATGGCAGTACTCAAACACTTAGGAATCAAAAACTTTCTTCTGGACATGAGACAGTTTCAGAGTTCCCGTTTGGTGGCGTTCGCCTCAAGGAAAGTAATTACACTTTGCTCAAAGCTTTCGACAACTTTGTCATGTTATGACCGGTCTGGGAAGGAATCATGTCAAACTCCTTAAATATCTTACGATCTCTCCAGAATCCTCAGCTGTGATCTTGGCCAACATATTGGAATTCCATTGAAGGCAATGTTGAGCTTTTGAAAACAGTCAGGCCATCACAACGGGTTTCTTCAACTGCTCCTTCTTTTCGCTTCAGGGGAACAAGTGGGCTGCTGAAAGCATGTTTTCCGGCGCCATCCGAAAAATGTCCTTGCAAATGGATCTTGAGAGGACCAACAGTAAGTTTGTCGGGTCCCCTGTTTCAGGAAACATACTCACCTTGTGTGTTCCATTCCTTCTCTGCGGCACCAAATGTAATGTAATGTATGTAATGTAATGTCCAAGCACCACCCCTCAGCTGTGACAAGCCAAATGCAATTCACTTGAGATGTTAAGTTTCGGTCCATATTTCCGGGTGACACTAGAGGCATTTTGCGCCCAAGCGGAGTCTGCCAAGGTGACAACCCCACACGTAAGGAGCGAACTTTGAAAGCGGCCTGCAAGCTGGGCTGTGCTCAGATCCCCTGCTAAAAGTCTAACACTTACTTTGGGTTAAAGGGAAACCCCCACTACACCCAAAAAAGCTAAGCTGAGGGGATGGCTGGCCACCAAGAAAAGGGGGACTTGACGCCAAATTCGCCTTGGGCCTTTTGCCTTTCAATCCCGAGCCATCTTCGTGATGGCTCGATAGGCAGGGAATGAGAAATGGATGACCCCCAGGAAAACCCATGCCCTATGTTTCAGGGAATCCCTGAAACCGGTTCATTCCCAACACCAGGTCTTGGTCATTCCCTACCGCTCGCCACCAGCAAGTCTCCTCCCTAAGCACAGACTTCCAGAGCATCTCCCTTCGACCGACTTCCCCGGCGCCTCCGGCATCCATGACACCCTCAGCACAAGCCCAGGCTCCATTGAAGCAATTTTTCAGATATGGCTGTGGCTCAAAACCAATGGGATCCCATTTTGGGGTAGGTGCACCACCCATGTTAGTCTATTTTAGTGGGGATTGGGATGTTCACTGGGGGTACGATTTGGCGCTTGATCCATGGCCATATGGGTACGAACTTTGGGGGTCCCCTTTGAGTGGGCATCTACATGGGGATAGCTGGTCCATGAGAAAGCAGAGCCGGATGCGAAAAACGAAGCCTCCATGCAACATTCAGCACGACAACAGCTGGCTGGGTCCATAAAGTAAACCGGTTCAAGGCCAAACCAAGAAGAACCGCAAGTACCAATTAAAGAAGCACCCAAAATGGAATGTTCAAGGGCCTGATTGCTGAAAGGGAGTCACTTCTAAATAGATCGGAGGGGAGGAAAAGTTCAAAGCAAACATCCAAACAAATCACACATGCGCCATAAGCGAAGTTCAGGAATGCTCAAATATCCTTGTATGGGTCTGAGTTTCCATTGCGGACCCTTTGGTGGACAGAGTTCGGTGGTGGTTTCTATCCACCGACCACTTTTCAGGGGGTTCCCGAATTGAAATTCATGGCCATATTTCGATAGAAACACCGGGCACCGCTCCATGCCCGTTGTTTAACCGACTCCATGTCCCTAAGCGCGTGCGCAAAACGAGGTGGAGGGCGGGACCCGTTGGCTTCCCCGTTGGTTTCCTTTTGAGCCCAGGATTCAAAAGGTACAAACAAACAAAAAAGGTATCCCCAACCGCTCCCGGAACCCCCTGCTCAAGTGCCAAGTTTGGAAGAAACGCATTGCTCCAAAGCCATCGTGCGTCACGAGTCTAGTTTGGGCTTCGGAAGGAAAGCTAATTTGCAGGCAATGAGAAATGGAATGACCCCCCAAAAAAATATATATGAAAAAGTAATGATAACAACTAATAATAATAATAATAATAATAATAATAAACATAATACGTAGTCATAATAAGCATCCCGTATGGTGTCCTTTAAGGGAAATCCCAACCGGTTCATTCCCAAACAGCCCGTCTCGGTCATGAGCTACTGATCACCAAGCGAAAGGGCATAAACTTTCGACGGTTTGGTCATTTGAATTCCCGTTCTTGTTTCATCCTCGGGTTTTTTTTCTCTGTCTTTTGCTCAATCTGTTCCCTCTGGCCCCTCTGAGGCTTGCGAGCCTAATTGCTTTCGACACGTGTTGTTTGGATTCTATTGAATCTCATCTTGCCAGCAGTTTGAATGAAACCCAAGGACCAGCTTCCTTGACATGTTTCCTCTAAACATCACCCCACCTGCACACCTCCTCCTTCCCCGAGTGGATTGGCCAAAAACCAGTCCAAACTCGTTTTTTCACCACCAAGATGGTCCAAAAAACCCCAAAAATGTTCGAACTTCCAACCCAGAACGTCGGCCTACGCAAAACCCATGGGCCCCTTGCGGGGCTTTGCGCTCCGGAGCCCGGGCTGCCGGGCCTGTGAGCGGAGCCACATCAGCAGCCACTCGGTGAGTAGGGGCTTCAAGTCCTGGCGATGGCAAGTTCCAGGGGATGTGGAGCCGACATGAAAAATCCACGTCTGCTCGGTTGCCCCTAGTAGAGGGGTTTGAATAAGGGTACCAACTTTTGGTTCTTCTGTTGTCTTTTTTCAGTAGGGGAACCCTCCCGCAAAAAAGGAGTGAGAAAGGTCACTACTGGGGCACCTAGGGAAATAAAAGGCTAACAACCAATTTTTACGGCTATGGCTAAAACTGGACCATGGGGAAACCAAGAGGTCAAGAGGTCGGCCGTTGTTTGTTTCAATTTGTCCCTTTGCAGGAGTTTCAGGGCCAGGCCGTGCCTTACTCCAATTTCGCGTGGCCCAGTTGGTGTGGGTATCAAAGGCTCCAACGAGGACCTGATGACAAGGCTTCTCCAATTCGACCCGGTCGTCAGGGTAGCAATTCGGCTGGAACGCAAATCACACACACACACACACCAATTTCCGGCTTAGTTTCTTAGCCTCATGGTGCTGCACTTGGCCAGCGGAAAAAGGAACAATTTTACAGATGTCCTTTAGGATCAAGTTGGAACCCTGGACAGAATTCTTCATAGGAGGGTCACCCCTTTATTTCCCCAAACAGGTCCAAAAAGGGGGTTTGTCTTTAAACAGGCGAATCAACAAGAATATGGTTTCGCTTGTGTTTTCCCTAAAACTGAGACCCAAAGGGTACCCTCAAAAAAAAACCTCAGACCCAGGAAAACCTAGCTAGGTCCTCCAGTAGAGAGGTTAGAATAAGGGTACCCTTTTTGCTGTAGTCTATTTTAGTAGGGGAATACTGGGGGACCCAGCTAGAGGTGAGCCAGTTGTGTGGGGCTTTTCGCTCCGGCCTCGTTGAAGAACTCCTCCTCCAGCAAAACCAAGTGTGGCGATGCCTGCAACGCCTGCGACTCCCGCTGTGAAGCCCAGCGAGGACTAAATGGGCTCATCCCTTTTTGAGGGGACCATACCCATATATAAGCATATATATAATTATATATAATATATACATATATTTGTTGAGAGAGAGAGAGAGAGAGAAGCGGGGGTTTAGGGTGCACATGCACCGGGCCCAGCAGGAACAGTGACCTGCGATCGGCGCGATTGGCAACAAATGAGTTGGAATGAACTCCTTGCAAACCATCCAACAGGTGGTTTTCTTTCAGGGGACTCTCTTTTGGGTCGGTGCGATTCGTAGGGAAGAAGAAATGGAAGGAAGCGGTTTAGGGGATTCCCGAATAAAGGAAACCACCAGTTGGATGGTTTATAGGGGTCATTGCATTTCTCATTCCCTGGGCTGTGTTGCATAGAACTCATGTGGGGACGAGGGCCTAGCCAATTAGTCATGATCATAGGGGCAGAATGCTTGCAATTATCGGAAAAAATCCCGACAAACTGGTTCTGCAAACTTTTTGCTTCAGCAAGTTTTCAAGGAACCCCCCCTTCCAAAACAAGCCACCAAGGGGCACCACTGGATGTCTGGGATTGGACTTACGCCCTGCTGTTTTCCGCACACCATTCTAAAGGCATCCTCCTTACTTGTTTTACCTCTAGGCTTGACATGATGGAATGTCTGCAGTATGTATGCGTGTCTTGTGATACCCACGCTCATACTATATGGCTGTGGCTCAAAAAGCCGGTACCAACATCAACCCTGGTAAGTGGAAACATGGACCAAAACCTGCGTAACCCCTCCTGTTTAAGTCTGAGCCACACCCATATGTAGATCATTTGGAGTCATGTCTGCCGGCGAAGCAACACAAACTCCAAACGGGTCACCGAGTGCCTGTGCATCGCTCCATGGGATCTGTGATCAAGGGTGTCCACCAAAAGAAACGAAGCCGCACGAAACTTTGGCAGTGGAGGGCTTTTGGCATGACAGTGAAGCCCCGGTCAAAAGCGTACAGAGCACTCAAACAAATACAAGAAATACATCACCCCAAGGGAAACTCACATTGCGCCAAACCAAGAGAGAAGGATCAGATCCATTTTTTGAGTAGAAAGGATTCCTCAAGCCCAACGCTTGAGAGGGCATAGCAGGTAGCTAAGGCGTTCTTTGTTGGGACTGACTTTATTTGTTTGGAGATGTTTTGGGCAAGGGGTGCTTGGGGGCCACAAGCAAGCACGGCCCACACTTGGCAAATCAACAACTCAGCTTTGAATTCCTTTTCAGGTGGAGGGAGAGGAGGGATTCCGATTTCTGGCAAATTGGGGAACTTGACCAAGGAGTCACTGGCTCATTTCCGGAGAGCAAGTCCATTCGAATCATCCTCTCCATCCGCAAGCTGAGTCTTGTTTTTAGTGATGTCTCGCAACATCAAACAAAGCTAGAAGCAGTAAGAAGCCGAGGTAATTATCCCCAACAGCCCCGGAACCCCACACCCTTCAGCTGGGGAATAAAGAGACGATCCCCCAACTCCCTGAGCTACGTTTCACTGGTCAAACAAATGCTGCTCGATCACGGCATCGGCCTATCTGTGGAGCTACCCCCATAGCATCGCTCCTGTTCCCGATAAAAGAAGGCTGGCTTCATTTAAGGACCAATCAAGCCGAGAACACTGTTCTACATCTTGCCCTATGCTTTTCATCCATTCTGCTCACCACCACACGAAAAACATATGTCCTTTGGGGCATACAAGGGCTGACTAATTATGATGGGATGGGGTACTTTACAACCACACTAAGCCATGGTCATATGAGACTAATGTGTAATTATTTGGCCTTTTGTATCTTCTGAAGAGAACAAACAAAACAAACTGTTTCCTGGATTCAGCTGGCTGCTGATGCCAAGGCGGTTTTAAGGTTCCCTCGGGCACAAAGTGAGACGCCTCCGACCCGCTGAACCTCAAAGGACCCTTTTTTTCGACAGGGGCTGGTCACACAACAAATTAGGATTGAAGAACAGGGTGCCCGTTGCCCTGTTTCCACTTTGGAAAACCAACAAACACATCATCGGCGTGGTCGCTTACGGTTGACTGTTGCACAGTTCACGAAATCTGCGCTACATCATACCCTTTGAACAACCTATGATTTTGACAATGTACCTTTTCAAGAGGACGGTCCTACACAACCCCTGAGCACTTCCATGATTGGCAACGGGGAATCAAAATAGATCCCTGTCCAGGGAAGTCATTGCAACTGAGAGGAGGAGGAGGACGCTCATGACCATCCCATATCTCTGTCAAGTTGGCTCAGTGTATGACATTTAAAGTGGGTTCTGTGGTGTACATTGATCAAACAAACATGGATCTATCAACCTAGTGGATCAATAGAGCTTTTGCCAAACAAAAAGTGAACGATTCCTTCTTGAATGGGACACTCGATCGACAACCAGTGGTTTCCTCTATTTCGGGATTCGCATTTCCGATCTATTTTATGTCCACTACCCGTGTTTGAGGGTGTTCCAAGCACTGAATTTCAGTCTCTTGGTGCAGATGAATGTCCGGAAAATAAACTGATCAAAACAGGTCCCCTAGCAAAATTATTTGAGTTCATAGCTAACCCATCTGGCCATGGGTCAAAACCCCGTACCCCCAGTGAACATCCCAAAAAATAGACTAAAATGGGTGGTGCACCTGCCCCAAAATGGTACCATTGGTGTTGACCCACGACCCATCTGATGAACTCAACCCCTGCCTTGCTGGCATAGCCCTTGGCGATGCGCTTGCTGAGCCCTACGGCGATCTCCTGAAAAGGAAACAACGACTCACGCAGCGCTCAGCGAAATGGGCTCTATCTATATGTATATATGGAACCCCCCCCCCCCACACAAAACACACTCACACACACCACACACACACACACACACACACACACACACACACACACACACACACACACACACACACACACACACACACACACACACACACACACACACACACACACACACACACACACACACACACACACACACACACACACCACACACACCCCACACACAAACACCACACACACACACACACACACCAACAGAGAAATTGACGGTATTTACAGTACTTTTGGGTGATTTCCACACCTCGATTTGGATGCCCCAACTGTGGATGCCACCGATTGGTTACTCCTTTGGCACTCTTTTAGCATTCTCAAATGCGAAATCCACCAGCGGGGCTTTCGCAAACACAAGCCATACATCTCAGCGTACCTGAAGGAAGCCTTGAGTTGATTGCGTTCTCATTGGCCTTCGATGGCTGTATGGCAAATACACATAGCCGCAAAGCCGGTCAGGTTTTGGGGGCACCAGGGTTTCATGAGTTTCATGTATGAGATTTGACCGGTTGAATGTCGACTCAGAATGGCGCCGAAAAAAACTTTTCCAACCAAGGGGTCCCATTTACTGCTTGAACTTCACCTGCACTTCCAGCTGTGGAGAAAAGGCAGCCTGAATCCTCACCAACCCCAAAGTTTTCAGAGTCCTTTGAAATGCCTCCCCCCCCGCGCCCCGAAATCAACCAGGGCTTGCTTCCCCCCCCCCCCCCGCTCCGAAAGTCAACCAGGAGGTTTATTACTCAACCGGCTTCCCCCCAAGTCAACCAAAGGTTGCCCCCCGAAATCAGCCAAAGGCTGGCCCGCTTCCCCCGAGGTGAACCGGATTCCTCGCTTCCCTTGCGTCGCCCACGCCGCGCATTGGCTCGGCTCCTTGTACCGCGTCCCCTGCGCGCCGGAAAGCTGCGCCTGGCAGGCGATTTTCGAACCAACAAACATCTCAGCGGCGCCTTAGGGAGCAGAAGGCAGCCAAAGGCGATATCACCCTTTTGGGGGGGCCACAAAATATGGACCAAACACGTAGATGTCCACCGAAAGGGGACCCCCCAAAGTTCATACATAATATGGCTGTGGGTCAAAAATGTGTCACCAAAATGGGTTGCCCCGGGAAATGGAAACATGGGCTAAAACCAGCGGTCCCCTGGTGGGTTAGTTTTGACCCATACCCCCATGGACCAAACACGGGAAAGCCGAAAGGCCAAAAGGCCAAAAGGCCAAAAGGGCAAAAGGCCAAAAGGCCAAAAGGTCAAAAGGTCAGCATTGAACAACCGAGAAGTCGGAACACACAATAAAGTCCATTTCTGGGATGAGCTCGTTTTACTAGGTGAGCTTGTTCTCATTTACCCCATGTGGGGCCATACGGGTCCCGCTGGCGAAGGCCCTAGGAGGCCCTACTGTGGGTGGACGAAAGTTGCACCACTTGGGACGGGACAAGTGAACCCCTACAAATAATACGGAATAGGACAATTTATGTAACCTACCAACTGGTGCGAAATGGATTTGGTCCATCCGCACTAGTTGGCCCAAGGCCGCTTTTTTCACCAAAAAACCCTCTACGTCTGGGTTCGGCGCTCGGGCGGAAAATCCGATACCACGTACCCTGATCCAAACCAGATCCACGGTTTTGCTCTGCATGGCAAGGCAGTCTATGTGTCCCCCTTCAATCACCACCGCGGCAAACGGACACGCACTTCAACTCGGTGCAACAAATTGTGATCACTGGCGAGGTCGTTCACCCACTGCACACAGCTTGTTTGTGTTTCATAGTTGGTCGGGAAGCAACTTTTATGTTTAAGGTCAAGTCAAAGAGAAGAAACTGATTCAGCGGCCAAGGGCAACTGACAAATGTACTCGCTGCCCCAAACATGGAAAACTTGGATTGCCTTCACCCCCTGGTGTTGGTGGAATTCGTTGCCTCCCTCTCTTCCAAGCCGAGCATAGACTACCAACAATATTGTCAGTCATGTCAAGAAGGCTGGTTGAATAAACAAAGCCACTCAAAGCAGAGGGATGTTCTAGTTGCGAAACAAACACCCAAGAAATGGTCATAAAACAATTCATATTCTTTCGTGGCGTCCTGCTGTTTTGTTTTGACATACCCTCCCACCAACTCCCATGGAGGTGCAAAAAGGGAGGAGTCTGTCGTTTTTCTACAGGGGTCTGTGCACCAAACCATGTTGGCTGGTGGGAGGGTAGGCGAAATAAAAGCCAGGTCACGGAAGGTTCACAACTCATGGCGAAGTAATAATAATAACAATAATAATAATAATGACAATAATACAACTAATACTCATAAACAATATATATTTTTTTTTTAAGGCCGCGCCTCAAGGTGCGGCGGCAGCTTGCCATTCGCCTTCAGCACGGCCTGCGAATGCGGAATTTTCCGTGCACGAAAACAAAGACTGAGGGGCCGCTTGTTTTGTTTCTTCTCTGGGTGGATTGGCAAAAAAAACCAACAAGCTTCATGTGTACCACTAAACTGGCGCAAACCCAAGTGACTCGAGTCCAAGGACTCAGGAGGCAAGTCGTTGGGGTCTAGGTGAGAAGCTCTCAGAGGGGTCTTGAAAGATCCAAAAGTAAAGCAGCCGCTGGTGGAGTCCGTTGGATCCCCTGAAACATCATTGAAAACGGCGTCCATTTCCTCCAAACCCCCCCCCCTCCCAACCCCTGCAGACTAACTCAGACCAGCGCCTGTCCCAGGAACAACGCCTCGAAGAGGTGCATGGGCAGCGTCTCGGCAAGGCGCCCGGTGGGTGGAGTCTGATGGGTGCCACTTGCGACATCTTTTCACCAATTCCCAAGGAAATCAAGTTTTAAGCCCCTCCTTTGCTAGTTCCTGCAGTGGAGAGGCTAGAATAAGGGTACCGTTTCTTTTTTCTGTAGTCTATTTTAGTAGGCTACGTGCGGATATTTTACGCTGGGTTGTTTTGCACCCGCCCACGCCCACCCGCGCTCTCTTTTTGCTAGTCCTCGGCAACTAGCATGTTATTTTGAATGTTGAAGTTGCCACAGAACATCTCCAAGGATGTGACGGGACATCTTTGGGATGATCTTTCATCTCACCTTCGAATCGTTCAGCGTGCCAGCACGTTGCTTGTGGCTGTTGTCAGCCCACCAATTACTGCATCGTAACATAATCAGGCCTGCACTTTTTTCTTGAAACGTGACAGACAGGCTTTCTAGGAACTCGGCAACAGGGACATCTTCCCCATTTTGTGGGTTTCAACACTTCGTCAGAGCAATTGCACCTGCTGCAAACGATTACAAAAGCCACGTACCTAATTGCCCCCCCCCCACTCCCCCCCCCCCAACAAAAGAAGGGACCCTAGCAGTTCGACTGGTAAAACACAGAGATTTGTGAACACATGCACCGAAACCACAAACTGACAATGCTGATTTGCGTGGGAAAACACAGCAAAAAGACTGGGAAAACACAGGACTTCCACCTGCACAACATGTTGAACATGCAGAATAATACAGTGTAAAATAACTACCCGCTCCCTTCTCGTAGGGGAACCCTCCCCCAAAAAGGGTAAAGGGGCACTACTGGGGGACCTAGTTTCCATTACCTCGAAATCTCTTGTTTGGGGGCACTAGCAAAAGAGGGTAAAATCTCTCCAAAAGGGAACCTTGTCTGTGCCTTTGGAAACAGTGTAGTATTTCGGGAGAAACCAGAGCCAGGAACAAATGGGACGGAACCTTCTTAGAACGGGTTATTTGCCTGCTGATTGGCGAGTGGTAGGGATCCCCTGACTAGCAAACAGTGCGTGAGATCAACCTCTACCAAAATGATCTTACAAAATGGGGGAACTGCTAGCTATCCATTCAAACATGGCAGCCCCTGTTCAAGTTGCCTCTTCATCTTGCAGAAGTCATGATATTTCCCGCCTAAATGTTGCAACGATTGAGCAGGAACCTGCTTTCAAACCTTCCAAAGGAGAATATGCATTGGGGCCTATGTGTCGAAGCTCCAACTCTTGGGTTTATCACAACATCGTCTGTCCAAAAAGCACAGGGATGGGCGTGAGAGGCGTCAAAACGGTAGACTCAGGGGCAAAAACCCATTGTACACATCCCCTTCTCATCACGTCTTGTGGGTTTTGCAAAAGTCCCCCAGTTCTCCATTCCAGAAACCACAGAAACGGGGGGACATTGTCCAAAACCCAGTTCCATCCCCTTATCATCACGTAAACATTTCGCCCCCACCCCCGGAAACGACCCAACCGCGGCGGAGCGGATTTCTCGGCCGCCGGGCCCAGCGGAAGGCTCTGGGCGATGAGCCGTCCAAAGGCTCCTGGTCAAAATCTGCGGTGCCAGCCATCTGCCAATTTTATGCACCAGACAACAACAACAACAACGACGACGACGACGACGACGACGACGACAACAACAACAACAACAACAACAACAACAACAACAACAACAACAACAACAACAACAACAACAACAACAACAACAACAACAACAACAACAACAACAACAACAACAACAACAACAACAACAACAACAACAACAACAACAACAACAACAACAACAACAACAACAACAACAACAACAACAACAACAACAACAACAACAACAACAACAACAACAACAACAACAACAACAACAACAACAACAACAACAACAACAACAACAACCATCAAGAAACACACGTCCGTTTTCTTTTTTTCCTTTACGGGCGGAAATAAATGGTTCAACCCGCTTCCGAGAAACGGGCGGGTTCCAGGGCGATTGACTTTGTTCCGGGGGATGGAATGTGAGAGAGCGGGCGAAAAAACCAATGGCAATGTGTGACTATGACAGGAGCTCGCAGGTAGAAAATGGGTTTTCAGCATAAACAACTCCTGGTGTTTCTGCTCTTGAAACGAGACCCCAACCAATTTGCTCCCAAAGCCTCCAAGGCAAGGTCTGGTGACAGCTAGCCTTTGCTCTGATGGAGTCCTTTCTTTTCCTGAAAGGCACACAAATTATGTTTTTTGAAACCAGACCGCACCGTTCGAAGTTGCAACTTTGAATGTCGTTGGCAACTCAGACTTGTTGGAATCTGTTGGACATGGTTTGGCACAAGCTAGAATTGAGTTTTGTGCAGTTGGGCATTCCGATTTTTGAAGAACCCTCCCACTACGTTTAAGGGCCGGTCGGGGGCCGGTTTTGGTTTTGTGGGACATGTACATCCGGTTTGTGGACTGCCAACGTGTAGTAAGCATAACAAGAAACCACCCTGCATTTTGTCCAGGGCCATCAAAGCGGGTGCCGTGTTTGGTGTTTCTCCCGCGAGGGAAAGCGTCGAAGTCTGGGGCCCTCTGGCGTGAGACCCTGGGGTCCCCATGGACCCAACATGGGCGATGACTTGTGCTGTCTGAGGCAAGCGCCAGGAATTCTGACCACGACATTGATCAAACCTCCACAAAACCAGGCAGCGCGAAGTGGGAGTTGGTTTCCCCTGGTTGCTCCCTAGAGCCTAAAAAGGGGCATCCCGAGGCTTGCCCAGAATGAAAATGAGGAGCCCACGGGCATCGCGCCAAGGCCCATGACCACAGCCTTGATTCTGATTGGCTTCTGAGAACCCGAACCGGACCGAGAACCCGAACCGGACCGAGAACCCTTCTGGCCAAGGATACGGATCCCTACGTCTCTCATTAAATCGATTCTGACTCTTGTGCCGCATGGCGGCTGAACACGGTAGATTGGCAGACCAAGGAACCACGGTTCAACCTCTTAAACTACATCAGCTTTTGCCCCATGGGTTCGACTTTCTCCCTGGGGAACACCACCTGAAGTATGGTCCACTTCACTTCGCCCCAAAACCAAGAAGCAACCTCAGGTGTATACAGGACTTAGATCATCCTGAACATGAACCCCAAAGAAAAAAAACAGTTTCCTTTTGGCCCGGGGATCGATCATCGCAATGTTTCCATTGGCGTAAAGGAGACATCTCCCAAGTCCTTGGGGCCATAGGGGAAGTTCAGCTCTGACTTGAGCGGGTGCAACACCACATCCACCTGGCGAAGGCTGGAGACATTGGCAGCTTGCCAGCACCAGTCGTTGGGTTTTCTAGGGTATGGGGGCTGCAAAATCGCCCAGTGGGGCCTTCTCTTCTTGAAGATTAAAGGACCGTGACTAACAGAACCACATGGGCGAATTTCCATAGGGTACAACCGAGAAGAATGACCTTCCTCCGGCAGGGGTCAAAGTTCTCCAGTGAAGGATTCTTTACGTTCACAATAACGGAAGCCTGGCCCCTTAGTTGCAACCAGCCACGAATAAATCTCGTTTGGTTAAATGTACTCCGTGTTGGGGAACCCACCAAACTGGATTCAAAGGGTGCCACAGAACTATTGGAATCCTGCACCTGCACCACTTTTTAAACCATGGGCCACCATGTTTTGTTGGTCTTAGGTTGGAATCCTCTCACTTCATCTTGGGTTTCTTAGGTGCGGCATGGGATTTCGCAGCCATCCACACTATGTCGCTGAGATAACTGGGGCAACTGGGGCTCAAAAAAGCTTGATATTCTGCAAGCCCCGGGCGCTGGAGGATCCTTTCTCGTGGAACACGCCGGTCTCTTGGCTTTGTCTTCTTTGATCGAACACCAAAGGTAAATCACCTCATTTTTAGGGGACACAGATCCACATGAGACATTGATGGTTGAACTTCCGAATGTGTCAGACTCAGGACGCTCTTGTTTCACACTCGTATGGTTGCGCTTTTAAAGAGGCCAGTCTTACCTCAGCTTCCGCCCCCCCCCCCAAAAAAAAAAAAGATGACAAGAAGAAGAACAACAGGAAACACATGGAAAGGACCTTAAGATACAACAAAACAAGTGACATGATTGTTTCTGATTCAGAAGTGAACAAGTGACATTTTTGATACTGGTTCACAAGTGAGCCTTAACATAAACACGGCTTCAACAAAGACCCGAGATTCGGTTCGGGGCACTTGCAGGCTCCATCCGTGCGTTTCGCGCGTGCCTCGTCCATGAGGATGGCACCATGGCGGAAGTGCGATAAGGCCTCGAAAGCGAAATGAGGTTTGCATCGGGAGACATGGGGTTCACTGGCAATGTGCGACTCCTCATCATGAGGGCTGGGGGAGGGAGGGAGGGAGGGGAGGGGGAGGGAGCCCAAATAAGCCCTTATTAAGCCCAAATTGCTTTCTGCTCCCCTGCTAAAAGTAGGCTATGAGCATGACACACGTGACAGTCCCAAAATGGGAGCCGTGGTATCGGGTTCACCATTTTGGTAGGTTTTATCTCGGTTGCTCCAAGCTCCCCTGCTAAAAGTGACTAACTTTTAGTGGTTTCATGGGAAACCCCATTGGTTGGCAAAAAGCTAAAGTCCTAACATCCCAGCAATATGCACCACAGAGTGCGACTCACAAGCATGCTTCAAAGATCATGTAGCCCCTGTACCCATGGGGTACCCTGAAATCTACCAAACCATACACCTGGGCTTGTGGCTGACATACTTTGAAGGCCTCGGCCCCACCCTTGGCAGTAGCACGTGTTAAAGGCAAACAGGCATGCGGCCGATGTTTTGTTTCATATCCTTTTCAGATCGTACCGCAGTCCCTGACCGCAATCCGTTTAATGACCATTTGGTATTTTTGTTGTTTCGTCATTGTTGAAAACCATGTCTTCCATGCTACATAAATCACCATTAAGGTATGAAGGCTCATATACCAGAAATATCAGCTTGCAAAGCAGTGTAGGGCTTCGTGCATTGCGCAATATATATATATATATGTATATATGTATAGCCTCCAATTATGCCCACAGGACCTGGACATAGAAGATTCAATGATTGGATTTAGACAATTGAGCATACCTGAATTTAACTTGCTTGAGTCGCCGGGGAGAACAACAAAACACTCCAGTTGTGATACATTTCCTTAAAGGCCACCAGAGGAAAATAACACAATTCTTAAGCAAATGGAAGCTGAACATACCTCAGCTTTTTAAATACAGCTGGCCTTGGACAGCTGTCGCACTTGCGAGCGCGTCTCCGTCACGCTGTCGTTCGCCTCCTGTGCGCTTGAAACTGGCCGAGTTGACACTTTAGCCCGTGAGAAGTGATGCCTGGCACCACAAAACAGGCTGAAGGGAACTCATTTCGGATTCGACCATAGTGCCATAGTGGGACCCTACTCAACAAACCAAAGGGGTGTCACCGAACAGCTGGAACCATGTCAGACCCAATGGATGAAAAGGACCTGCGCAGCAAATTCCAGAGGTCACCTCTTTGATCCTTTTGGTAATTGGTTTTAAGGAAACCCCTTTGAGCATAAGGGACAGCATTCTACTATATCGCTGCAGGTCTGAACTTTTCTTACTGTACCCCCTCAAATCAAAACTCTGAAACGGAAAGCGCACACCACCCAGTTTGCCCGAGTGAGTCAATTGAACTTTCAGCGGGGTCGGGGCCTGTGAAATGGATTCATGCGGCACAAATACCAACAGTACAAAGAGGGCTACTCTGCGAACCAATGACAGATTTGTCTCATGTCCGACTTGCCACCAAACCACCAAACCACCAAACCCAACCACCCACCAAGCCACGATAATCAGGTGCGACCGGCATTGCGACTCGGAAAAAGAAAAACAAAACAAGCGACAATACGCGGAAACAAATCACCAGTCAAGCACGACTGGCATATTTGTTTAATATGTTTTGACTGGAAACAAAACGGAAATCCACGGATCGGCAATCGCTCCTTGCCCTTGGCTTGCAGTTTGAACATCAGCTCCTGGGCTCCAAATTGCCTTCGAATTGAGGCCTGATTTGGGCTGTCCGTTTTCGGATCTCCGGCTAAAAGTAAATAACTTGTGGGTTAAATGGAAACCCCCACTAAACGCTAAAAAGCTAAATGCTAAGGCGATGGCTGGGAGCCACCAAGTTCGGTCCCTTCCAAAGAAGTTTGACTTGTTGCCAGTGAGTTTCACCGGGCGCTACCTCTGATTTTTAGCTGCGATGGCTTCTCCTTGCCTACTAATCGATTTACTGCATCGTGGAAGCCTCTGCGAAGCCCGTGGGAAGCCGTGTTCAAAGCAGAAAGTACAGGAGTGCGATTCCTATGCTCTTCCATTCCGATAGACAAGCATGGACAAAACTACAAGATCAAAACCGGTCAAGTTGCCTTGCATGCTGAGTTAGTCATTCCATTTGCGTGAGGCCCCACTGGATAAAGGTGGCAAGGAAAATTAGAATAATTCACCATCTGGATCTAAGCAAGCTAGCAACGAATCTTCATCATGGGTGAGCGTATCATTGTTGTGCGTTGCCCAGGTCTTTACCTGTTTTGGCTGCCCCACAACTAGGCTCTCCAAGGTCGGGGTCGGAATCGCGCCCTTCGTATGAGGCCCACCAGGAGTTTACGCAAATCCACAAATCCAATCATTACAATCTCCGTCAAAGACAAGTGGCGATCGCTCGCACAATGTGACTTCCCAACCTTGTGGAGCAAGGTGCACGGGTCTAACTTGCGAGATGTTTCGACCACCTCGGGAAGAAGCTTGGCATACCTTGAGGAGGAAACAAAGAAGGGACATCAGTACATGTTTAAGAAAAACAATGTACTGTTAACGTGGACATGGGTCAAAATTAAACCACCAGGGGAGACTCTGTAATTTGACAAGAACAAGGCTGCGACATTTGAACTGTGAATGTTGCGAAAACCATTTCCCACCACCTAAGAAACCCTGGGATAATGATTGCCCTGTAAATACCAACAAACAATGGTTTCCCCGTGGTTTCAAAGTGGTGCAGGATTTCGTCCATCCACAGTATGCACTTGTAGGTTCGGTTGCAGGTGCTCATACCAACTGTACACTCCCTCAACAGGGGGTCCCTTCAAGAGGAAATTGATCTTCCAGGTATCTCAGGTGCCATGTTAGTGGGTGGAGACATGGGAACCCCCAGTAAGAACCTTCTTCATGGGCCGTTTTACGCCCGCTGGTGAGCTCGATCCAACGTGCCAATTCCTAGCGTGGGTATCAACACATCCTTATTTAGGGTTTGGCAACCATTCCTACCGACTCCAACTTTTGACCAGTGCGCAGATGGCAGTGAAACCATCTGTCGGGCCCGTCAAATATCAGCCGCGTCTCGAGCATCCGGAGCATCAGTGACTTGACGGACGTGGGAACCGTGACCACCGCGGCACCTGACTGCTTGGCCTGCGAGCAGCCCAACTGTTCGGAGCTCTGTTCCAATCATGACAGCGAACAGGGACGGGGGGGGGGAGGAGTGGGGGAGGAAGGGGGGGGAGGAAAAGGCTTTGGACAACTACCAACTTCCTGAAAAAGGTCCATTTAAGTCCACTTCCAGATTTGAGAAGTCAGGGAGCCGTGGCATGTTCCCCCCTGAAGGATTGCTCCAACTGACTCGGTTCAGACACGAGGCGTTTTGTGAGTCATGGTCATGGTGATCAAAAACCGAAGCCGACGGTTTTTGTCCAAAGTCGCTCAGGGATCCATGACCATGTTTGATCACACCAAGGGTATTGGGTCTAGGTGTTCACAGTTCCGCAATCCCTATCGGAACATGTGCTTTCAAACAAATGGAAACTCTGAAAAGGAAAATCCGCGGGAACCGTTCACCATATTTCTAGACACTTGAGGATGGTCGCCTCTTAAACCCCAAAGGAAACTCAATGGCGGCCTTTTGGACAAGTATCGAGGGTCTGGACCCCCATCCCCGAGGCCTCTCCAGGGGACCATGCCTTCTCAATTCTTGGAACCGCTCTAAAGGGCGCTACACCCAAACATACATTTATTTGATGATTGCTTTCCCAGCTGTCCCCCCCTCACACGAAGGTTCAACGCACTGAGTACTCTTTCTCTTTAGGCGCTGTTTCACAAGCAATCTGGGCCCCTGGGACTGGAAATGGAACCCTGTTGTTTTCCCTGTGGTCAAAAACCAGCTAGGATTCCCAAGAAATCAAACAGGGGATCCGATCAGGGCGACGCAGAACCGGCTGGGGGGAACCGCCCGCAAAAACTTTAAAAAAAAAAAAAAAAAAAACAATGAGAAGGCACGATACGCGTTTTTACTGTAAGGTACCTCGTTTTTGGCCATAGGCTTTTCCCAAGTGGACAGTGCCTTCTCAACTTTTTATTTTATTGAAAAATAAACATAAAAATGAGCGAGCACGCAGGGGTTGGGGGAGCACGCAAACCCGGAGAAGGCCCGCAAAACCGGAGAAGGCCCGCAAAACCGGAGAAGGCCCGCAAAATCCGGAGAGGGCCCGGAAAAATTATGAGTCTGTTTTGTTTGGCGATGTGTGACGTGCAAATCCGCATCCATGGCTGCTGGTGATGCCTGTGCTGCTGCTGATGCTGGTTATGCCTTTGATGCTGGTGATGCCTCTGAACTGGTAATGCCTAAAAGTATCAGGCCAGAGCCAAGGCTGACAAACCAACATGCCAGCCCTTGAGAAGGCACGCTTATCTGGGGGAACCCGCAAAATCCAGAGGACGCGTGTCCAGACTTCCGAAAGTAGATGGCACTAGCACATGACTAGAACAAACCTAGAAGCAAACCAAAACCGGTGGAATCCATCTATCTTCAACCAATATCACCCGAAAGGACACGCATCATGTGAGGTTCGCCTCCAAATGGAACTCCAAATGGGGTAAAGCAGTCCTAAACAAGTGTACTCTCAATGACTGGAGTGCCAAAAGAATGTCAGATCCTGAGTGGATTGGCCAAAAGGAGCAACCTTTGTTAATTTACCACTAATATGGTCTTCCAAAAAAGCTTTAACCTCCAGGAACTCAGGAAGTGAGGAATTGAATATTCAAGTCTACCTCGAGTTGGCCCAATGTTTGACCCCTCTCCTTTGCAGAAATACGCCGGACACGAATCCACTTCCAACAAGCCGAGAAAGTCCTGGAATCTGCGTGTCTGTCGACACAAGGAAAGACGATTGCCAAGCAAGCTTGTTTTTGTCTCGCTTTTTTGTTTACGTTTAAGAGACACCCGTTCTAAAAGAAAGGAAGCAGGAGCACGACTGGAGGTCTGGATTGCATTGCAACACACTCCATCCACCTAAGCGCAACAAGTGAGCAGGACCGTTGCACCCATTGACTTTTGGCTCTACCAACATGGTGGCCGACATGGTGTTGAATCTGTTCCCATCATACCAGCATGGTTACAAAGGCTACCCCAACGTTGAACTGAGTAGAACCCTTCTGGAACAACAGTCAAAAGGCTTGGCCAAAAGAGCCTGCAAAGGGATCCAAAGGTGCAACCCAAGAAAAGTGATGATTCAAATAGGGGTGCAATTAAATTTCTGTAAAACATCTACAAAGTAGCAGGGGGGGTTGGGGGGGGGCAGCCCCCCGATGTTTGAGGAAGTGCATCCATACAGGCATACATAGAGTACATACGTACATACAGACATACAGAAACACAAATATAAAGAACACTTGCCGGAGAGGAACTGGTGACGGGAAGCCAAAGCCAAAAACCAATGAAAGGGTGCAAAAGCCAAAAGGCCGCGGGAGGAACTAGGAATGCAGAGGATGCGAAAAGCTAAAGCCACCAAAAGCCACAGAAACCAACAAGAAGCCGAAAAGCCAAGAAGCCAAGAAGCCAAAAAACCACTAAGCCAAGAAATTAAGAAGCCAAAAGCCAAAAAAAATACGCAAACAATTCCTTAAAAATACCCGTCCATGTACTAGTCCGTCCAATAGAAAGTGCAACTTTTGGAGGTTCCAAAAAGGGAACTGCTCGGACAACTAAGATATTGACACCACCCATTGACTTTTGATTCCAAAATGTTTTGAAATGCAGGTTTCTGTGGGCAGTACTCAGCAATGCCCAAGCTGGAGACAGAAGAACCCCTCGCTCAATTGGTCAAGAGGGACTTTGGGCGCTGCCAAGTGTGGAGGGTCAGCGTGACAGCTTGGAATAGCCAACTCACCAACAGTTGATTCCGTAAACAGGATTGATCGCTAAACGAGGTTAAGAATAATATCATCAAATATATTGCAAATTTGGCCCATCCCAAAAGTCTTGGGTGAGCACTGCATATTAGAAGCGGAACTGGACACAAAATGAACAGCCTCAGGCACTACAAAACTAGGACCCGAGGCATTTGCAATTTGAATCCTGCAAGTGTTGTTCTCGGTGATTAAGCGCTCCCCCGCTATCATCCCATTGACGTTCGACCTGGAATCCCTCACACAGGATGTTTGCGGCTTAGGGCCCATGTTCGTCTGCAGAGTGATCAGAGAGGGCTGTCCTTGAGACACTGCCAACATCCCGCCCCGACCAGTCTTCCGATTTTCGCCTTCTCCAGCTTCTTCAGCAGGTGTGGGTCAAAGGCACTGCTGCGCTCGCACTCAAAGGTGCCAACGTCCTGGGCAAGTATTTTTCTGTGGCGTTTGTTCCCTGTGTCTCAAATAGGCTATGGACTCCAAACAAGTTCTAGTTGGGGATGCTGCTTCGGCCTATGTTCTGCTAGATATTTCCCGGGAAAACGATCATGTTCCCGAAAAGTTCAAGGGTGCAAGATCCAAGCAAATAGCAGCCAAAATGGTTGGCAAAAGCCCAAACATGCTTCAAACGGAATTGTTGTTGGGGCTGGTTTTCAGCGAATTCAAAGGAGCACCACCCGGGTTGGGGATGCCTCTCCTTGAAGACATGCCCTATCAAGTTACCCATGTCACCTGATGAACGGATGCAGGGTTTACCTTCACTCCGCAATCGAAGTAATCGAAGGGCACTTCATGGCCCTTTCCGTTTCAGAGCCCTGTGAAACTTTGATTCGTCAGGGCGTGTGTCCAAAGCCATGCGCAAAAGGCCGACCTACAATGCAGGCGCGTCTCTTCTCTTTTGGGAGGGTCGAATAAAGGGTCCGTTGCAAAGCTGTGGGACCACCAACATGCGGGCTTCCTTTGGGGAATGGGTTGGATGTGAGGACTTTCCCAAAACGGGTCGATCCAAATGTCGCCAACACCAGCTTGACCCTCAAGGTGCGTGTCGGCCAACAAAATATGCTTAAAGGAATTACCTTTTTAAGGAAGGGGGCCGGTGTAGAACACTCGATCCAAAATGGGTCCCAAAGAGTCATGCAAGGGTTCGATGAAACATCTGAAGCATCGACATTTGTTCGGGCTGCTTCAGAAACCCACCTAGTTGTTCCCATGTTCGACCCTGCGCCCCAGAAAGTCTACCTAGGCTTGCATGCCTTTTTGACATTGTGTTGTATACTATATTGCAAGTAACCTTACCCAAGCCTACGAGAAAGCTCGGAATCCATGAGGTGCATCATTGAAGAGAACATGGAAGCTGCCCCTTCCAGTCTGCCCATTGCCTCTCTTTGGCCGGGCCACCCAATGCTCTCATGCAGTCGTTCTTTACACATACTGTGGATGGACAAAATCCTGCCACACTTTGAAACCAGGGAAACCAGCTTTTCGTGGTGTTTATAGGGGATTCCAGGGTTTCTTGGATAATGCGGAATTTCGTCCATCCATCCACACTAGGAACCCTGCTCAATGATGAATCGATAGCGGGGGAGGGGGGGGGGGTCCATGCCAACCGCGAAGCGGATTCTCCGGGACGAACACCAGGTCAAGAGATGCCAGTCGGCGGAATCTTCGGTGAGTTGACAAGCTTGAAAGTTGGCTACACCAGAAGGAAACCAGCTCCGCCTGTTAATTAGAGGTCAGCGATGGGGCCGCACCACAGGACAACGCTGGTAGCCTGCACATGTCACACTTCGGAGAACCATCGAAGAAGTTGACTTCCCATTCTCTTCACCCATTCTTCTCTCAAGAAACCACCCAAATTCTCCGAAGGTTTTGCACATGTTCCCAAAGAAGGATCCCTGATCAGATCGAGGGCTATACAGCTGCCCAATAGGCCGTCTGAAAACGGACGAAACGCTCGTAGGTGTCCTTTGTAAGCACCGACGCGAAAGTGGACCGCAGCACGCGCCGGGACATGTCCAACCTGACAATGGAACTGACTGGTTCAAACTAAGAACTCTCAAGCCGGGGGGTGGGGCGCAATAAGACAACAAGTGCAAGCATTTGGAATAGGGGAGTGGGAGGTAAGGGTCAAAATTGAAGATGTTGCTGTGGCCGGGATGCATTAAAACAGTGAACAGCGCTCAAAAGCCTTTGACTGCCAGTTCTACTGTTGTATCAACATTCTATGAAGGTATACGTGGCCGGCTCAGTTGTCGATCCGGAAAGAAACAGTTACAACTTTGATGAAAACTCTTTGCCGACAAAAAACACATGATGTGCGTGGCAACTAAACAGCTGGCAATACAGCGAAACGCCTGGGATTCATTCACTTACCGAACGTTCAGGGAAGCTCATGCCCGGCTGAGGTAGCAGACTCATGGAAAAGGGACCATGAGAAGCGACACATTGAGTTTTTGTGTTGGAGTTGGTACTCTTTTTGGGATGCTAAGAAGAAACCAGCCAGCAGGTCGCCGCCTTTTTGAGGCTTCCCTATCCAGACACACGCCCACATCTTCAAAAGCAGCTTGTGACCAAAACCCAATCAAGGGTAAGCACTCTACTTGTGGAGGAACCAAAAGCCCCGCCCCCCGCCCAACATGTTCTTTGCGCCAAGTCTCAGAACGGATTCTTAGAGGGGATCCGCCAAGTAGGCCCCTACTTTCTTGTCCTGAAGTCGTGTCAAAAGTCTGGTCCGGTAGACAAAGCAACTGTAGGATGGTGTGTTGGCCACTTTTCCTGAGGGTACCCCTTTTCTTTGGTTTTCTTGTTTTCCTCATTTGTGTTGCTTGTGTTTTGTTACATATACATATGTATATATATATATAACAATAAACCAGCAAAAAACAACAACGGGACACCCCAAGGGAGCACCACACCCATCTTGGCGGCTTCCCATGAGATACCGCTATAAGAATCGTGATCCCATTTGGAGGTGTCAAGTCGCATGCCTCCAAGCTCCCAGCGCAAGGGAGGTGTTCTATGTCTTGGTTGTCTTCCATTTGAGTTTTCGCCCACGTGGAGAAAACAAATATATATATTATGTATATTTCCAGTAGTGATAGATTCCCTTTAAAACAAGGGGAAAATCAGACATGATCTTAAGCAAATGGATGTTGATTGGTTAGTTAGATGGTTGGTTGGTTGGTTGGTTGGTTGGTTGGTTGGTTGGTTGGGTGATTGGTTGGGTGGTTTCGTTTAGTCCCAGTACCCAGTCAGGGCAGTGGTGGGGAAGCGACAACATGCCGTGGGCTCTTCGGTGTCTGTCTGCTTGTCTTCATGCGGCATATCAGCATACGAGAGGCAGGGAGAGAGGGCTCATCTGAGCAATGCCGAACATCCTTGGTTGCAAGGCGCTTGTGATAAAGGCCTGTGTATCTCTCTCTGCAAATAAATAAATACAATATATATATATATATTACATACATTATCAAGTTGATATGTTGGCTGGAGGAAACCCGGAAATTAGTAGAATGAATGGTTAGTGCTTTATTTGGCCTTCTTCGGCCTGTCCTTAACCAACATGGCAGCGTACACGCACCTTCCAAAAGGGGTCGGCCCCTTCGAAAAGCGGTCGCTAGCCTTCCAAAAGTGATTTGTGCCAAAGCCATGCCCGATGGGAGGGTTCAACCTTACCCCCCAAAATGGGTCATGGCTTTTGGTGGTCCTTTTAAACCAAGCAACTTAAAAGGGTCCCCCCCCCCCCCAATGCCAAAGGTGTCCTTTTCACGCCGAAAACAAGTTGCCGGGTGAACAAATCTTCCACTCAGGCGCGCGCAGTGCGGAGGGCACCACCAGCACCACCAGCTGCTCCCCGTTCGCCAGCATGAGGACCAGCATGGGGCAGACCTCAGCGATAGCCGAGCGATAGCCAAGCCATGGAGGGGTCATGTTGCCTTGTCACCGAAGCTGTGGCAAAGCAAATGTAAGGACCCTCCCCGTCAATTGGTGATGCACTTGACGAAATTCGTGACGATTGGAAGCTAGAGGGGATGGATTCTTTTCAATTTAAGCTCTTTTTCTTGGCATGTAATGACCAGCAAAGGGAAGGATGTGACATGTGAGCGATTCCCAAGGCATCCTGGAATGCCCACCATCCCAAGTCCCAAAGGCACCGTTGATCGACGGCACCCTCGACGTCCTAGTGACATTTGTTGTCTCAGTGGGTCAGTTTCGAGCCCGGCGTGTTTCACCGACCGCTTGTCTCAAGAGAGGGGAGCCCCACGGCCCCATGGCCGAAATTTGTGCGCACAGGTGTCCGCTTCTTGCAAAACGTCTCCCGAAGAGGCTCCCCACTGCCCATGTGACACGGACAACTTCCTTTGTTCGCCAAGAGGGACATGGGAGCCTTGGGCCGACCTCAGGTTTCTGCTGACAAAAATTGGGTTCTCCATCCCTGCTCGCCCTCCCGAAACCCGACAGCTCACGATTACTTAAAACCAACCCAGAGTGTCCATTGCGTGTTCCCGGCCGGGGCTTTTTGGTTATGAGTGACCAAAACTAGACACCAATAGGGGCCTACCCGAAACACCCCAGTAGCATCCGTTGCTCTGGAGGTAACAAAAAAAGGCCACTAGCGAACTCCTGAGTCCAGAACCACTGTGGTCTTCCCCTGCGAGCACTCAGATGGCGGCACTGTGCGCAATTGGCTCCAAACTCCCAAAACCTCTACCAGCCGGAACTTCAGACTACTCATGCCGGATAAAATGATCACCAGACGAAAAAGGGAAGCGAAGCTACGTAAACAGTGTATGGCTCGAAACCGCTGTACGGGAAAAGAAGGTTGCTTCGACCAAAAGCGCAGCTGCATAATGGTGGCATAACGCATGTCTTAATTGACAGTGAGGAAGTCCTTACACCGCTCATGCTGGACGGAACTTACCTGTCAAGGAATTTTGCTACCTTAGGACCTTTCCGTCGCTAACAGCCGCCGTGTGACTGAGGTGACGAAGGAATGCCATCTCTCTACTCCTCACCTCATCATTTCGTTCTTCCCTTCGGACACAGAGATGAAAGGGATGTACACAGCCCGCTCGTTTCACTCCCTTAATTACCTGGCTTTTACCGAAGGGTCCAACATAGCATACTGAATGAGAGAGATAAAAGGCAGGCCATCTTTCCCTGTCACTCCCTTTGTCTCGCGGTCGTTCCACGTCCAGTATGTGTTCACAGCAAATTCGGATACAACAGGGGTACATAAGCCTGTCAAAGGCGCAAAAGGCATCCCTGGTACGTCGAATGAGGGACCAATCGTTATGGGGAGGCGCAGCTCCCAAAGAGAATTTGTGCACAAATCAAAGCCTGATTGTATACGTCCAAAGAGGAGCCCCTGGACATATTGGACCCCTTTGGACGCTGGCTTCCTGCGCATGAGCCAGAACTAACGGTCAATTCACCAATAAACTAGGGGTTCATACCAGGGGTTCACATAATGTATGGACAAACACGTTCAGGCCATGAGCAAAGATACATTGTGGACAATATGCAAAACGCATCCAAAGCAGTAGCCGTGGACCCGAAATAAGCCTCAACTCGCAGGGTCTCATTCAGATTCACTAAGCCTCGTTCGCCCTCAGCCATCTCAATGGGCTCCCTTTTGGGGTGATCCAAATCAGTTGGGGTTGGTGGCTATGAACCTCTCTGCGACCCAGAAACCTCTTAACATCTCACCTGCGGACTGGGATGGCGACATTGCTTGCACCAAAGCAAGCCGTTTTCAAGCCGCGAACAAGGAATCCCCAGCTGGGAACAAGAAACTGTGCGCGTGAAGCCAAGATGAGTTTGTTCTTAACGTGTAAAAGGCGATTCCCGCAAAGAGGGATTTTTGATTTGTTGAAAGACACGTGGAAGATAGCTGCGGACAATTGCGCTGCTTGTGTTTATGTTTTCCGCAGGCGTTCCAGTTTGCGATGCTGTGGCGCTTTGGCTTGGTCAAAGCAAGCCGGAACCAAGTGCGCGTTCCAAAAAGTTCACGTCAACTCGGGAGGGAAGTAAGGCTACATCCAAGTCAGCAAACGCGTCCCTTGCCAATAGTTGCCTTCCTTTTTTGTCTGCCTTTAACCAACAAACCACAGGCACCAAGCATCCCCCAACCCTGCTTCATTCCCTGGGAATGAAGCAGAACCACCTGACAGCCTACCACACTCAAACAGAACATCTAGTGCTGTAAAATCCGTCAGTTTCCAACTTGTTCACAGTTCGCAATACTCCGTCTGTATATATATATATATAGAGATTGACTATTATTTTTTAAATGGGGAGCACCCAGTCGATGGGTGGGTGGACATAAATCCCAGCACACCAAAGACCCCAACCACTTGCCAACTTATACCCTTGTGTATGGCATCTGTCAAGATTGCTCCAAAGATCCGATCGGCACAAGGATAGACATTTAGCAGCTGGTATAGGAAAACCAAAGAACACCGTGGACCAATGTTTCCCCCAACCAGGGTTTCCTTCATTTCCCTTTTTGGAGGTTCCAAAAGTGGCAGTTTCAATGGACACCAGTCAATTGATCAACTTTTGGGGAAGTTCAGTGAGCCCTCATTCATATCAAAGTGAACCATCGACACTGAATCATGAATGACACGACTCTGAGTTCCACAAACCCGTTGGAACATGCCCCAGTCTGAAGACCGTCAACGGGAGTTGAAATGGGTTTGTATTTTTTGAGGATACCGACCAAAAAGGGCTTTAGTTTCCCTGCAAACCATCCCCGGATTAAAAGGGCAGCGACTCACAAAAAGGACACCCCCAAATCTGGGCTGTCCGGTTTTCAGATCCCTTGCTAAAAGTGAATAGCTCGTGGGTTTGCATTTAAACAACTGTTCGACTAAACCAGGTAAAAAGCTAAGAAGCTAAGTTGAAGCGGATGGCTCGGTATGGCTCACAAGACCGGAATTCCAAAATGGGTTGCCCTAAGTCTTAAGTGGAAACATGGACCAAGACCTGCGTAACTGCCTAGCTCTTTAACTTTGAGCCACTGCCTGTGGGTCAAAAATAGGCTAACCCCAAAATGGGCTGCCCTGGTAAATGGAAACAAGGACTAAAACCTGCGGTCCATATGGTGGTTGAATTTTGCCCCATAGCCAAACCTCTCGCTTTGGAGCGGCCGTTCTCGAAGCGCCTGGCCCATGATCATCTGCTTCACCATGGCGCTGCCGCCCTCACCAACCCACCGACGACCCGCGGCCCCCAGAAATGTTTCCCCGCGGGGTAGAAACGCCTTGATTGCTGAAAGATCCCCCGGAGAAATAAAAGTAAAACAAATCTTGACTTTTTGCTGCTGGAAAGGGACATATATGGGTGTGGGTCAAAATTAAAGAGCTAGGGTTACGCAGGTTTTAGTCTTTGGTTCCATTTACCAGTCTAAAAGTTGAATTCAAAATAAGAGTGTAAAATATGAGCAGGACACATGAGGGAATCCAAAAAAATATAAAGTCTAAAGATCCAAGCCAATGGCAGTAGAAACTCAGTCCCTGTACTCTAAGAGGAAAGCGACTTGCCGAGCCTGATGGGGGTGTCTTGAACAAATTGGGGACCCAAAATGGCAAACAAACTCCTTGTGAACCTGCAACCAACATCCCGAAAGGAAGGAACCACACGGAAAAAAATACTCGAGTCATTTTTCCCGCAACAAAGTCCCATGAAAAAGAGAGAGAGAGAGAGAGCTTCATGTTTGGTAGATGGCTCTGGTCTCTCTTCACTATCTGGAGGCCGTACTTGGGTGTTCGGCCGGGAGTGGTCAGCCTGGGCTGCAACCCTTTCAACAGGGTTGACTCGACTTGGGGGGGGTCTAAAAACTAGGTCCAACTTACGAACTTCGCCGAAAACCCGGGCACTCAGAACAATCCCGCTGGAATTGGTTGATGTCCCGGCAAAGAGGTGAACCACTGGTTTGTACGGTCCACCAGGTTCATCTGACGACATCACGTCTGACGTTCCCGCCTCCTTGTTCTCCAAGGTAGAAATAAAGTCCTGCACCAGATTGACCTGTCCGACCCGATGCCAAGACCCACCCGAGAGCCGAGAGTTTGACGATCGCAAGTCTCTGCTAGGGGGGTCGGGGGGATTTTGCCTCTCAACCAATCGGCCAAGACCCAAAGCAAACCAAACAAGCCAGTACGTGAGCAAGCACGTCAGCAAGCAAGAAACAAACAAGCAACCACTTCGGTTCAGGGGTGGGTTTAGGGCTGGTTTCGGGTGTGTTTACGGTTGGTTTAGGGTTGGTATGGGGTTGGTGAGGGTGGATTCAAGGTGGGTTTAGAATGCATTTAGGGTATGGGGTGTGCTTAGAGACTTATTCGGGTTTCGTTGATTCGGAGCCGAGCTATTTGAACGAAGCATCGACCTGTAATCCCCTTGGAACAATCAAACTGTGCCAACCCAACCAACCAACCAACCGGCCAGCCAGCCAACCAGCCAACCCACTTTGACGCACTTCCGATTCAGAAAGGGACCGGGTTCCGTCACGCGGGTTCTACTTAGGGTCTCGAAGGCAAACCCTGTTGCAACCGGTTAAGCTGTTCAACTGTTGCTGTTGGCATGAAAACGGTCTCTCTCTGTCTCTATCTTTGTATATATACATATATGTGTGAGTCCCTTAAGTGTAATCCGTCCCAAAGGAAACTCACCAAACATGTTGGCCCAAGGTGATGCTTAAATTCACAGAGGAAACGTAGATACCTTGGGTAGAGGACAGCCCCGAAGCCTTCGCGGGGCCCCTAACATGCCCCTAACCATAGCTTATCATAGGTTGTCTAATCCTCGTGGTTTATGAATTCGGAGAACACATACAACAGCAGTTGCCGCCCCGCACGCCTCACTTCCCACCTGGACGCACCTCCCAGCTCGTGATTTTCTTCGCGCCTGGTTCTCGCGCAGCAAGAGGTTCCGGGTGAACTCGAAAGCGAGGAACCGGGGGTCGTAGCTGCCCTCTAAGTCGCCGGGCGCATAGGCGCGCTTGGACCGCCTTGGATCGGGTCAGCTAAGCAGAACATGAGCAACGGCAGTAAGCCCAGGTCTCGGTTGCTTTCTGCTCCCCTGCTAGAAGGTTAACTCTCAGTGGTTTAATGGAAAACACATTAGATGGCAAAACGTTAAAGTCCCAACATCCAAGCAAAATGCAACAAAGAGGTGGTATCCCCAACAGAACAACAGAAGCCTCCCGAACCCAAGCTCGGAGCCGCCCGGAGCCTTTCTGGGAAAAGACCTATAGAAATTATGCTGCTGGGGAAAACTACGTGTCTTGGAAATTTTGGTTGCCCCCCCCATGCCGACAGTAGACTAGCAATGTTGTCAGTGACTCAAATCAATTTTCCAGCCCACCACGCCGTGCTCCTTTCCAGGGTATGCCCTTTGTTTTAATTAACATGGACCTAGCATGGGAAAGCAAAGGAAGCTCAGAAGCGTGGAAAGAGACCCTCGTTAAGAGGCCCGCTCGCTCCTTTCGATTTCCCAATGTAGGAGCTTGTGAAACAGAGTGACATGAACCTAGTGCAATCAAAACGGACGGGCAGGGATAAAGAAAAGGGGACCTCCAAAATTGTGGTTTTCCTGTTGGCGTCCCTTTAAAACCACAATACAAAGTACTTAAAGTACCATATAAAAAGACACCACATGGCGAACCGTCGCCATATCCAATTTCCCGACCTAGATCCTCATCAAAACCAAGAAAACACACACCTGTCGGGTGGGGAAAACCCAACAAAAAACGACCCCGCCGACTCGACGGATCCATGCCCAAAAAAAACAGCAAAACAGAAAAGCGCGGGTGTGTCTTTTTTAGGGGAAATCCACAATTGTGGTTGTCCTTCCGGCGTCCCTTTTTCAGGATCCATGCAACAAAATCAGCAAACCCCGCGAGCCCGCCCGACGCCCGGCCCTCGCGATATCCCCGGATGGGTCGACTCGAGGCTACGTCCTCCAGTAGAGAGGTTAGAATAAGATGGTACCAACTTTTTTCTGTAACCAAAAAAAGGGGAGAGAAAGGGCTAGTTCCTTTTCCATGGCTTTCCAGGACTCCTTCTTTGCAGAAAACCATCAACCAGGGGAAACTTTCCTGCTTTTTGGTAAAAATAATGACAGTTGAAAGGATAGAATCAGCTGTCAACTGTTTTCTGTAGTCTTAGGGGAACCCTCCCAACCAAGAAAAAACGGGTGAGAGGTCGGGCACCAATGGCTGGGGCTCGGATCCGAGTCGAAAAATCCGACCAAAAATCGCATCGACGGGGCCCGGGCAGGGTGGCGGCGAGGCTTGCGGAGGCCTGTGCCAGCAGCAGGCGCCGGGACTCCAGCGGCTCGCCCGCCTCGGCGGATCCGAATTTCTCCGCCCGGATCTCAGCCCGGAGCACCGCCCGGTCCCTAAAGTGAAACCACAAGCGCGCCAGCCCAGTGCTCAAAAATGGGAGTCATATCTGGGCCGCCCTGAAATCCCCCGCGAAAAGAGTAACCTTTTCGTGGGGTAAATGGAAACTATGCCGCTAAACGGCTAAAAGGCGAAAAAAAGCTAAGGGGATGGCTGGGAGCCACCAAGATATGTGGAGGCTGAAAGCCGTGTCCTTCCGAGACGAACCGCAAGATACCCCAAGGCTCTCGCCATTGGATAGGATGCAACGGTCTGGAGGGGCTGAAACTCTAAACCAGCCAACCAGCTGGGGCTTTCCATCGTTCATTGACCCCCGAGAAAGGCTATAGGGCGGGCTATCCCTTCTTAAGCCCTTAATAAGGGCTTCTCCCTGGGTGATCCTGGGCTTATCCAGGGATAGCCCCCCCCCGCCCGTAGCCCCCCCGAAGATTCCATGACTCATGCATGGGTCACTTCTGTGGAACCTCTGTGGGAATCGAAGCTGGCAACCAGGGCTTGGGGCTTAAGGGCCTTGGCACAAGGCCTGGACGATTCACTTTTTGTGGGTCCTCTGACCTCGAGAAAAAATCAAGCACAAGTTCAACCAAACAAATTGCGGCCCAAAGATATGTTGCCAAAATAGCCACAAAGTGAAGGGCCCCAACAAAAAGGGGCTGAACATGCCAAACACGGGCGGCGCTCCTGCGAAAAGGGGATTGAACACCAAAAGGGGAGGAGGCTTTAAGCCTAACTAGCCATAATGAGCATAGGTGTCCTTTTAGGGGAAATAGATGGCCTATAGATGATTAAACCACCAGGGAAACCAGGAATCACCATCTATTTCTCTGGCAAAACAGCCGACAAGGACACCTATGACAATGAGGATTCTCCTCGAAACTGACCTTGCCCATTCCGTCTCCCGTGCCCGCCTCGAGCGCTTGCACCTGGCCAGGAGGGGTTGCCTTCAAATCCCCGAGCCTCTGCTCCGATTGTTCCCACGTTCATTCCGTTCGTTCTGGCGTCACTAGAAGCCAACAAGTAGCACCAAAAATGAGCCAGCTGCGGCCAAACAAGGCATACTATATGTTTCTAAAGAAGGTGATGAGAGGCCAAATGATGCCCGAGGCCTATCATAGTGATGTTCAGCTGTTGCCTTCTCCTTTTCACAGATCAGACAAGGGTAACCCTTTGCTCTCAGAAGTTGGCGGGCTAGATATGTTTCGGGGTATCTTTCTCAGCCTAAATGACTTCATAGCTTTGGTTTCACCAAATCCAGAAATTGTTGTAGATGGTGAGGCCACCTAAGACTTTGTCCCAATTGAGAGATAGGCAGGCACGTCGCTGCTGAACAAAATGGTCGAACATGTCTCCAAACTCCAAAGACATAAATGCCAACACATAAAAGTGTATGGCTGGAAACCGCCGGGTCAACAAATATGTATATATATATGTATATATATATATATAGAGAGAAAAAAAGGAGAGAAGAAAACACGCCGGGGCAAATGGGGATACCGCCGGGTCGTAACAAAACCACGGAAAAAAAAAAAAAGAAAAACAAAGGGGGAAAAGAAAAAAAAAAACGGGCGTAGGCGCCTGAACCTGCACGCGGCTCAGCTCCTCCAGGGATCGGCTGAGCAAGCCAAGGCCTCGGCTCGCTTGGCTCACGTAAGAGAGGCGCGAAGCACCGCAGCTTCCCTGTTGGTTTGGATGCTTGGTGCCCGGGATCTTTGTTGGTTCAAGGCAGCTTCCCTCAAAGGGTGGCTAACTTGGAGCCCGGCGGTTTGGGTTTCGAAAGAGGGGTTCCAAAATCTACCTCTTACAACAACCAGGGCTTCAAATCCCAAACCACCAATGAAGCAGTTTATTATTTTTTTCTGGCACCTCAGCTTCCCTCCACAAAACAAATCGCCTGCTTCTGGCCCATGATGAATCCGAGTGGACTCCCAGACACGTCGCCCGACCGGTTCAAGGGCCTGAATCACCCATTTACCCCAAAATTAGCCCACGGGAATAAGAACTCAAGCGAGACTCTTGGCTGTACGTGGCTATAATTGTTCAGCCTTGCTGTAAGCCCCATAAAATGTGGTAGGAATTTAGCTTCTTTATCTCCTCCACTTCTTGTTCTTCTTCTTCTTCTTCCGCTTCTTATTCTTCTTCTTCTAACTGCGGCTTCTGGGTCGTCTACTAAAAGTTGCCAATAAGAGTCGGTTTAGGCAGCTGCTCGGACACCGTCCTAACGAAACCATATTTACATGTATACATATATGTACATATATATATAATATAATACATGCATGATACATGTCTTTTGGAACGGCACCGTTCTCTGAAATGATTCAGAAGGTGTTTCGGCTTCAAATGCTCAAAGACAACATCCCAGATGCAGTGGCCATTGGAAACAAGGGCATCCGTTTGTGGTGCTTGATATTTTGGTGGAATGCCCCAAGAATAAAGCACACGGGAAATCCAGGTACCTGTTTTTGGCAGATTTTGGAGGGCTTCGGGCCCCCAGTCAGGAGGTCTGGGCTCAATTCTTACCACAGATCCCGGTGGATTTCCAATGGCAAAAAAAAAGGTATGATTTTTCGTTGGTTGAGTTGGAAGGGGCGTGTCCCTTCAAAATTCAGTTGAAACAAGGACGGAATCCGGGTTAGGCAGGTGGCTCAAAACCGCATAAAAACTGTCTGTTTACCACTAAAATGGCAACCAAACCCAAAAAGTGAAAGTCCGGGAACTCGATCGAAAGTGAAACAAACTTTTCCGAGCGGCGCGATGCGCGGAGCATCACCAGCACCGCCAGGTCCGACAACAGTTGCAGCTCCTGAAGCCCGCGAGCCAGCGAGGGCGTTGCTATGTCTGGGGAGAAAATCCATGAGAAAACCGGCTGGAAACGCGGAATGCGAAGAAAACACAAAGAAAACACTTGGAACAAAGCACCGAAACAAAAGACAAAGAAAAACACAGCAGGAACTGGGACAAGACTAGGGGAAACAAGGGAACAAAGACGCAAACATACTTTGTTGAGCTGAAGAGGGACAATACAGAAACATGAACAGGTGAACAAATCTCGAAACAACGGAACACGAGGGAATCATCACGGTGCATGTTGCAAACTGAAAAGAATCCACAGGAAGTCTGGCCTTTGCAACGCCCAGTCCAGCCGTTTTGACAAGTCCCTTGTCCAGGATTCCAAGCACTATCCGAATCCCCAACATTGCGCCAGAGAAAATCTTACCTGAATCAAACGTGGCCCAACACATTGGTAGATCACCAAACAAAATCTAGTCCAGGCAAAAATCGACAGTTGCCCTGAACACGTGTAGAACAGAATCTTTCGGGTTTGTTGCTGAACAAAACAAAAAGCATGGCGCGCCCGTGAAAAACCGCTTGTGAACTTGTCGCTAAGCCTTGAGAGCCCCTCTACGCTCTACGGCGCTACGGGGGCTGTTTGGAAGGGGAAAGAAGCAAACAGTTAGACCGCATCTAAGGAGCATCATGTTGCTTTCTGTCTGCTCCTTGCTCCGAAGACCCGGGTAAAAGTGTGTAGAAGTTTGGTTGCCAGGGAAACCAAAGGAACCCCATACTGTGGATGGACGAAATCCGTTCGCACCACTTTGAAGCCATGGTTGAAACCATTGCTTGTTGGTACTTACTTTGGGGAATCGAATCATTCCAGTTTCTTAGGTGGTGCGAAATGGACTTTGCAACCGTTCACGGTAGCAATGGTCTACCCTTGGGTTATCCTTTCAGAACTCATGACGCTTGCTCTTTTCGAAAACCACGTAAAAAACATAACAAATAAACTGAAGCAAGTGGAAGGTGACATGAGTCCAGTCGCCACTGAAAAAACAACCAACAGGTTTAACTGCATCTGGTGTTTAGCAATACAGTATTGTTGTGCAGGCTTTCATGTCAGGACGAGCTTGTTTGGTCATACAATTGTCTACCCATGTTTGGTTATCCTTTAGAGGCTCGGAGCAACAACCCTGCTTGATATAGTTCACCTCCTGCGGGCCTCCTAAAGTACAACTATTCATTCACAAGTCCAGTCGCCACTGCAAAGACAACCATAAGTTTAACTGCTCGAACACGTGGTTTTTAGCGATTAGTATTGGTGCGCAGGATTTCATCTCAGGGCGAGCTTGACAACTCTTGTTGGAAACAAAGACTGGTGCGCATTTGTGTGGTTTGGTGCCCTTCCTTCGGTTTAGAAGAAAACCACTGGGAAACCCTCTGTTTGGGGGTCAGTTGGCCGAATGGCATTTTACCCGCCGCTTTGTGTGTTGGTTTATCAAGTAGGTTGCGAAGAGAAAGACTCCACGCCCAACTGTATCTGGCATCCCTCTTTAAGTAGGTGCAACTTTAACTTCAGTGTGTGTGTGTGTGTGTCTCTCTTCATTTGGTGGTCCCTTTGTTGATTGCTTGGAAGATGGGGATAGGCTGTGTGGGTTTTTGGTTGAAACCACCTGCGGTGCTCCTGGTCGCCCAGGAAGGGGTTCACCGTCTGCCAGTCCTGAAAGAACGGGCCACGGCCCGGTTTCTTCTTCATAACTTGGACGTGTGGAAAAGCACATGGCGATCAACAGCCTCTGGCCTGGTTGTTCCTGTTGTCAAGGGCCCCTTAACAGGGGGACAAATAAGGCCTATTACGGCCTATTACGGGCTAGTAGGGTTCCTTTTCTGGGGGGGGGGGTGGCCCTGTTTGAGGGCCCCTGACAACCATGGGATTCTGCCAGGATAGGCCAAAGTTGATAATGCAAACAATCATGGGATTCTTTAGAACCAATAGCCATCGGATTTTGCCGTCTAGACTCGTAGATTCTGATCAACTATATATATATATATTATCAACCATGATAGTTTCTAAAGTTGATAATATAGGCCAAACTCGAACTCCCACAAGAACAAGGTAGAGGCACCTACTAACATGGCCATGGTTTTAGGCGCTGCTGTGCTTTGCTCACATGCCCAAAGATCCTACAAATCTGCCCGAAGAGCCCTGAGACACAGAGGGGTCTGGGGACCTTCTGTAAGACTTCCCCTAAAGCTCAACTTGCCGAAAGGACGCGAAACACTGTGTCGATCGTTTCGGATCTTGACTCAACCAGAAAAAGTGGTACCAAGTCCAACAATAGGCACACCAATGATGTCCATGGTCGACATGCCTATGAATATTTTCTTGGGACCCTTGCATTGGACATCATAAACTCATATTCATCTATGCATCCACTAACCGCTTTTGGGGCATTTCCAATTGAAAAAGACACACAAACAAACAACATATCACCTCGAGTCTTTGATATGGGCCAGTTCTTCCCATCAAATCAAACACTTGCTTCCACATCATAGCACGGTAGGCACAACCGGGTACCAAAGCATCGTATGTTAGCAACAAATGTACCAACCCCGATGCATCGAGCTACCAGAGTAACCAGGATGTTGACCTCTGGGTCTTATGTCTGACGCTTCCCTTGGTTTCCTATTGTAGGAGAAACTGGAGCCGCTAGGAAAGACTTCGCGAACATAGATCATCGGAAATACCTTGCTTTTCCAAAGTGGATGCCATCCCCACTATGTTTCACTGCAAAGGAAGTACTTTGGCATCACAGAAAGCGGCCCTAAGCTCCTCTAGGTCCTCCAGTAGAGAGGTTAGAATAAGGGTACCCTTTTTTCTGAAGTCTCTTTTATTAGGGGACCCCTCCCCAAAAGAACTACTGGGGGACCTAGTCCTATTGTCCAAAGCTGCAGATCTGCGTAAGCGCAGACAACAAACCTGTTCGAAAAGGTGATCATGTATTTTCTAGAAATTCAAAAGGGTGAACAGGGCAGGGCTCTGGAAAATGACCTCTTCTGTGATACAACACAAAGGGCCTCCCAAAGACTGAGCCCCATTTAAGGGGATTCGCTTGTATCACAGTGGGGATAAGCCGCTTGATTCCACAACCCTGGAACAGGTGAAACGGACATGGCAACATGAACACAATTCGCGGGGCCGAGGGAAAACCCTGGCCGCTCGGTGAGGGGGTGCCCTTGCACTACAGATTTGCCCTGGTTGAAAGGAAACCCTGATCCATGACTCATCAATCAGGGCCCTAGGGGTTTGTTTATGATGGGCTTATGAATCAGGGGTTATCCTCAATCCACCCATGGTGTGGTGCAACCGACCGATGCAGCATCATGTAACTCCCCACCACCTAGTAAAAACATTGGGGCCACCTGCAAAGGGTGCAGGTAAAAGCCCCGTTCCATACATTCCTGTTGCCACCTGCAAAGAGTGCGTGGTTAGCCCTGTTCCATGCATTCCTGAGCCGAGAATCCATCTGAACTTACTATACTTCCCAAACCAGCAACAAGGAAACCTCCCCATGAACGACCTACATCATGCGTGAGCTCGTCTGACCCCGAGGCAAAATCGTTACATGTCATCCAGTGATCACAGTCCTCCTTCTGTTTGCCGGAGAGCAACGTGCCGAAGAGGAATTCGAACCAAACCTGTCGCACCAGCGCGCGACATGGCAAGCGACGACACACAACTTGAATCTCCCAATATAACTTGGTGGTAGAAGTAAACAATCCGTAAAGCGTATGCATCCCCTGCCAATGGACATAGAAACAAAACACAAGCGTCCCCCGGAGCTTCCTCTCAAGCTACAACATTGGGGCAAACAGGACCCCAAGCCCGAGGAGCTACTCTGGCTTGGGAGCCGACCCCTGCTTTTCGAACTTGGCAACACGGGTAGGGGATGAGAGATGACCCGTTTGGGGGTTCCCGGATGAAGGAAACCAGTTGGATGGTTTACAGCGTGCATTCCATTCCGGGACCCCCATCGCACCAGCCAGAACCGGCCCTGTCGTAAGGGAGTTTCGAATGGACCCCAAGGAGCTGCTCTGGCTTCATGGGACCCGGACCGACCTCGTCTTCCATTTGCTTAAGCCCCCTGTTTTTTGTTGTTGTTTTCTTTTTTCATTAAAAAAAAAAAAAAAACAAGTAGTCATCGATTTCCTTTAAAACCAACAGGGGAAAGTAAACAATATTCTTAAGCAAATGGAAGTCATGGCATCCGCCCGCCTCAGGCTCCTGACCACAATACCGCAGCAGCGAGTACCTGAGGCACTCCTGGCGGGCCCAGGACGGGCAGGCCTGTGGGGGCAACCCCCCCCAAAAAAAAACCTTGCCCTGCTTTCAAGGCATACTGGCAACTTGCTCCTTCCAAATTGACTTCTCATGTGCGCCCTATCCATTAGTTCTTGTTGTTGTTTGTGTTGTCTTCTTTTGTGGGGGGGGTGTCTTGGCGGGAACTGACGCATCTCGACCCGGTCCTCGCTGCTGGTCTCCTCCACAGCGCCGGCGGCCTTCAGAAGCCTCGGCTGAGACTTCGGATCAAAACCCAAACCAGTGACCCTTCTTGATATATGATTTGCTTGAGCCCCCAGGAAAAAAGTCGATTAACAGTATGGGTTGTTTAACATGGGTTGATCAATACTCCCTCCGGCCCCGAGCTTTTTCAACCCGAGTGAGGCAAAGCCTCCATTTGCGTAAGCCCCCCGGAAACAAACATATTTCCGGTGGTGATAGATTCCCTAGGGGCAAAAACAACTCTTAAGCAAATGCAAGCTGATATACGGAACACATACGTGTCCAGGAGTCCAGTGGTGATGGATTCCCTTTGAAACCAAGAGGGGAAACTAGAAACAAACATCTTAAGCAAAGGAAGTTCTCGGTATATTAAGGGGTGCCGGAGATTCACTCATCCGTCCTGGTCTCATGCCCGGGCTCTTGCCCAAGTGGAAACAAGCCATCCTTTTGCGACGCAGACATCGGGCAGCCACCACAAAAGCTTCAGCTTCTGAAGGAACCTGCTTCGGCTTCTGATCAAAAAGGTCGGATACCTTCACTCTGGGGTTTAGGGGGTCCCACTGTCCCCCATGAACTCGAGGACCAACACTGGCACACCGAAATGGCAATGGTTTGTCCGCAAAAGTTGGTGGACTCTCCGCAAGTTGTTTTTAGTTTTTTCTTCTTTTTTTTCTTACAGCTCTGCAAGAAAAGTCCCAAAGTGCCAGTTGTTGCAGCGCTGACTCGCAAACCTGGGCCTGACTCGCCCACTGCTTCCAAACTCCCATCTTCCGGTTGGCTCAGTTCAAACCCCCAATCATTTGCGGTAGTTCGGATATCACTCAGGACAAAGTCAAGGCTGAGCAATTACACTGATCCTCGGATAGTAATCGCCTCATTTGGATTTGGAGTCCCCTCGCAACTCCAGCTATTACACATGTTCGCTCATGATACGGATTGCGCTGGATTGGAAGCCCCGCCACCTGGCCATGGGTCAAAAGCCCGTACCCCCAGTGAACATCCCAATCCCCACTAAAATAGACTAAAATGGGTGGTGCACCTACCCCAAAATGGTACCATTGGTTTTGACCCACAGCCACCTAGTGCTTTTCAAAACGGGATGCCCGCCCCCGAAGCTCCCCTCTAAGCCAGTGGCACTGTCAGGGCTTCGCTCACCGCGGCTTCGTCCGACTCCTTGTGCAGCGATATGGGTCCCGTCTTTTGGCGGACTCCTCAAAACGGAAAGGCATCTTTGAGTGAGATGTCACTTTTGCGGGGCAGGTTTCACTTTTCAGCCAGGGGCTTGTCCGGGCCAACTTTAAGAGGGATGTGATCTAAGATTCAAGAGATCGGCGAATCACACCTCCTGGGAATGCGAAGCATGTGACATGAAACATGATGCAATGAGGGCACGCTTTTGGGGGAAACCAAGGGGATGGAATGATGGAACCCAAAGCGCCATGACTTGAAAGTCACACACACACACTTGACGAGAAATATGATCTCCTCTCTGCTCACGATAAAGCCCGGAAGAAGGGGGTACCCTGACCAAAACACATACGTCAGCCTCGCGGATGCTTGGGGGGTAATGCCATTGCACCCCCTCTCCCCAACGGAAAATCGGCGGGGTACATAAGCTTGTCCCCCCACATAGCCGTGCCCAAAGGACCCAGAAAGAAAAGGCGATCACCTTTTGGGGCCACGAAACAATTTATTTCTAAAACCCCCCAAAATTGGACATTACCATGAAACAAAAAAAGGGGGGGGGGCCACTAAGAGGTTGGTATTGAGAAAAAACCATCACATGGGCGAGCAGCGAGGGTCCGAGGGTCTGAGGCACCGAGGGTCCGACCTTTAGGGCGGCCACCTTCTTCTGCAGCTGTGCCAAGGCGTCCAGGGAGGGCCACTGCCCCCCCGTCTGATCCGATCGATCCGGAGCAATCGATGCGAGCGATCGATCTGACGCTCGGCGCGGGGGGGGGGGGGGGAGAAATGCAAACACGTGCCCCCCCGCCCGGTCCCGGGGGGGCGGGGGGGGGGGGAGCCAAGGGAAATTTGATGGTGGTCTCTCACCTTTTGGGACCGGGGGACGAGATATGTTTGCGGAAATGCACTTTCTGAACCAAAATCGGAACAACAAAAGGTCAGATCAGGTCAGAAATGGGAAAACCAGAGGGTCAAATCAGGTCGATTCGCTTTGGGCAACTGAGAATACGGCTTGCCTTGCTGGTGCGATAGGTAGGGAAGGAGTTGGAATGAACTGGTTTTGGGATTTCCTTCGAGAAGGTTGGTTGGGCCAACTCAGGTTGAACGGTTGACCTTTGGGGGGTCCAAAACAAAATCCCACGTGTGATTCAGGCAAGAACCGGCAAGAACACCGCGAGGATTGGCCGACAGGACACGATAGCTGAACTTCTCTCTTGATCTCGCCTAAAACAACATGTTTACCAAAACCTTCATCTTACGATCCGCCCCAACCTTGGATTCCGCATCCAGGAGAACAAACAAGTAATCACTTCCCCCTATTAATAAAGGTCTCCCTAATAATAAATATGTGTTTCGGAAGTCCCAAATCCGGGAATACTACTTTTAGAATAGCCAATACTAAACCAATTCTAAAGTAGATATTTTCCTGCCCGTACTCAAATCCAGCCCCATTAGGGGGACCCGGGGTTTCCTGTAATTACTACGGCTGTACTACAAAGTTGCGACTTTCAGGCCAGAGCTCCGGGAGCACGTTTCCTTTACTACGGCTGTACTACAAAGTTGCGACTTTCGAGCCAGAGCTCCGGGAGCACGTTTCCTTTACTACGGCTGTACTACAAAGTTGCGACTTTCGAGCCTGAGCTCCGGGAGCACGTTTCCTTTACACGGCTGTACTACAAAGTTGCGACTTTCAAGCCAGAGCTCCGGGAGCACGTTTCCTTTACTACGGTTGTACTACAAAGTTGCGACTTTCGAGCCAGAGCTCTCTCTCTCTCTCTCTCTCTCTCTCTCTCTCTCTCTCTCTCTCTCTCTCTCTCTCTCCCTCAATCCAAAAAGGTTCCTTTGAGTGACCCAAAACCCACAACCAAAGACAACAAAACGTGACCTCAACTCCCTACAAATTCCTTACTCAGAAATGTGCGTTTGAAGCGATTTTACGGAACGGAACAGGGGGACCACAGTTGCAAACAAGCCTACACAGAACAAGAAGTACCTCCAAAACCTGCCCTCCAGAACCAGGGGACCCCCAACAATAAAAATTGTTTTGCAGGCCGGGTATTTTTTTTTATTAGGGGGGGGGGAGGGGGGGCGTCGTTTATTATTAGGGGGAAGGGATTAACAGCGCTCCCCAACAGAAAATCACTGAGAACGCATCTGGAGGATCGAATTAGCTGAGTCCTTGAGCCCAAGATTGTGTATTCAATCGGCCTGCCTAAAAGGAGCCACACATCAATATATGATGGTTCCTTCAAAAAAAAGAAAGCGTGTCCTATATATTAACAATACGCACACACGCGAACAAATCAACGACAACACATATCCTTCCAGTCATGACCCTTCCCGCTCCTTCCCTTCTCCAGGCCTTCAGCTTCAGGGAGTACTGCTTGGTGCTGGCCGCGCGGTCCCGGAAGAAGGCCATGTCCTGGCGCCGAGATTGCGTCGAGTCGACGCAAACTCGGCGGTTGCCACGGGCGATCTCAGGTCTCTTCAAAGGGCTGTGGGTCAAAACCGCCGGTACCCCTGGACATCAAAATAGGTGGTACATGGGTGGTGATTCGCTCCAAAATGGAGGCATAGGTTATGACCCGTGGCCAAATGGCTGGGTTTGAAGGGGACCCCAAAAAGGCGGAAAACATCAAGAAGAGGAGCTAATTCCTCCAGTAGAGAGGTTAGAATAAGGGTACCAACTTTTTCTGAAGTCGATGTTAGTAGGGAACCCTCCCCCAAAAAAGGGTAAAAGGGCACTACTCAAAACCTAGTCAAAAAGGGGAGCTAATTTTGGGGAAGTTCAAAGGATGGCATGGGAAGCTGGACCATTTTTTCCCGTATGGCTACAAAGGTCTGTCAAACAAATGGCAAAGGAAGCAGAGAACAAAATACCCTCCCGCCAATTAACACATGGAACGGTTCGACGTTCGGGACCCGGTGCCTTTAAGCCAGGACCCGCCCAGACGTCAGGTTCCATGATCATTGGAGGGTACTCACGCACAAGAAGCGAAACAGAACTCCATCAGGAAACCAGTGGGAAACCAAAAGGAAAGCTAATACACTTCACTAATCAAAATCACTAGCAAAAGGAAAAAAAACACAGACAAATCACACAAGAAGCCAACAGACATTAATACCAACTGCCCAAACTGTCAAAGCAATCTATTTCAGCCGCCCCCCCCCCCCCCCAAACCCCATGCCGTTCACTCACGCGATGCTTTTTCCCCTCCTCGGACCAGCGGCTCAGCGAGCGCTGAGCGTGCGCCACCTTGCAGGTGGGGTGCTTCGACACATCGAAGGGCAGCTCGCCTGCCGGCAGCATAGCCGAGGCCAAAACACGACCCCGGGACCCCATCAGCAAGAAGTGGGAACCCACTACCTGGAGTCTCCATGACCTTTTTGAAATGGGGGTCATTACCCGAAATAATGGGGTCATTGACCCATTTGTAAAGTGGCATGGAGACTCCAGGTAGCCCAAGGGAAATTGGGGCATTTCAAAGAGCCACTCTAGAACGCGGGGACCAAAAAAAACAACCCCCATGCTCCCTGAGTGCTCAACCCACATCCATCTGGGTCAAACGTGTGTTTGTTTGTCGTGTATAAAGGGCCCCAATCACAGAAGTTTGGGCGTCTTCCCTGCCAGAGGCAAACCTGGCTGTTTGAGGGCCCTAAATCGCTCGGGAGCGTCTTGGGCTCAGAAATTCGATCAAGCTCTCGAGCCGCCCAACTCTCGGAGTCACAGGAGCGACTGGCTGGGACTTGGATAGCCCATGGCATGAGTCACCAAACACGCCTAGGGACCTGACTCGGTTCCGTCAACCCAAAGGTGCCAGCAAAAACACATAAACGAATACACCGATGCTGTGCATCGACATCATACCAGTTGGCATGGCTATTCACTGTGTTAACAGGGATTTTTGTTCGCCCGCCAACTGACGTGTGGCGTGGATTTTGTCCCACCACAGTATCAGAGTGAAGTCCAGCTTCTGTCCTTCCATCCCTGCAAGAAATGGGTGTGTCTTCTTAAGGTTGGACCCCCCAAATTGTTGTTTGGTTTTCCCTTTGGCTTCCCTTGTTCACCAAAAAAAGACGGGCACCACCTCCCAAACAACGACGAGACCGCGCCAGTTGTCTCGCTCTCTCTGCCGTGGCACGTTCGGACCAGAACCACCGGCCTGGTGGCAGAGCCTCCCCGCTCAAGGGCGCCTTCTTCTCCAGGACCGCGGCCATCTGACGAATAGGTGGGTTCCGACCGCGGCCATCTGACGGGGTTCCCTCGATTCTCTCTGCTCAATTCAATCCGGCTGTGGGTGAAAAATAGGGTAACCCCCAAATGGGTTGCCCTGGTAAATAGAAAAAAAGACTAAAACCTGCGGTTTTGTGGTGGTTTTATTTTGACCCACGCCCAGTTTATTCTCTCTCCCAGCTCCCGATGTATTTAGGGCCCTCAAACAGCCAGGTTTTGAGACCGGGTCCCAAACACTATTGGGGTGTCTAGTGGAGGGGTCAAGATCAATCCTCAGTTCTCTCTGTTCCTTCTGTTCAACCCTCCAGTTCCATTTGTTTCTTTCTTATGTGCAGGTGCCAAGTCTCGTCTCTTGAGCTTTACGAGGAAAATCTGTGGCTCGTCTGTTTGGAGTTGTGCCGCCGGTTTTGGGTTTTAAGGGAAACGCAAATGAAAGCCCCCCAGCCAGTTCGGGGTTAAACCAAGAACCTTCCTATCACTATTCAGTTTTTGGAAGGGGCCTTGTCCTTTTTTGAGACTACATTTTGCTGGTTTGTTGGCTTCAAACCGAGGAAAAGCCACCTCTGTGAGCTTTTGTTTCTGGTTTCACGAATAAGTGGCGTATTTGGGTGCCCAGACTTGAAGACACGTCTTTTGAGGCCGGAGCCAACGAATCAAATGACGCAGAACCCCATGTCTGGTCCCTTTTCTTGCTGGTGCGATGAACCGGATGGGGACTCCCGAAAGGAAACGTAGGATGGATGGCTTATATAGGGGTCATTCCGTTTCTCATTCCCTGCCTATCGAACCAGCAAGTTTTACGGTGCCCCTGGGCATTTAGTAAGCGTTGTTTGGAAGGGAATTTCGGCTCGTCGCCTGGTTTAGTTGTGGGCTACTTCAGTGAGTCCAGTGTTGTTCATGGGGGAAAACCAACCCTCTGTGATACCAACGGAAGCCATCATGACGACTTTATCACTCAAGGGTTCCAACTGTGTCACACAACAGGTCCTAAACATTCCTAAAGCCAAGCGTTGAGCCTCCGGTGTACCACCATAGAGCTCGCATGGTGCCAAGTGCGGTGGTTGTCCAGGCCATACGCGACGTTCAAATGGAGCGTTGGCCGGACAAATCGTTAAACAACGTGAGGGTAGATGATAGATATCCCACTTCTGAGCTTCATAGCGGGCTGGCGTTGCACGGATCCAGCCGTGATTCTTGACTGTTTGTCCCGGCACAGTGGGAACGGCTTATGGGCTCATTTTAAGTCGCAACCCAAACCTGACAACTCAAACTCGACGTGTGAAAATGGGCATGGGTCAAAATCCCGTACCCCCGGTGAACATCCCAATCCCCACTAAAATAGAGTAAAATGGGTGGTGCACCTACCCCAAAATGGCACCATTGGTTTGACCCACAGCCAAATCGTGCCGCATCCATGTCCAGCATCTATCCGGTGTTGGTTGCGGCTCATGTTGCGCTGCCGAGCCGGCCTAAATTGCGTGTGGTGAGACAGCGACAGTGGTCTCCCAGGCTAAGAAGGATGCCACACAAAAGGATACCCTCCCACCAACTCACATGGGTTTGTGCACAAAGGCCCTTTCCAGGAGGAGTCTGTCGTCTTTCTACAGGGGTCTGTGCACTTCCATGTTAGCTGGAGGGTACAACTAGAACGAAACAAACAAGGGCACTTGAAGAGGAAGCCGAGCAAAAACCAACCTGTTTCTAGACTTCAAGGAGCAAAGAACACAGAAAACCACACAACATGTTGGTGGACCTCACAATGATCCCCGGCGCAGAAGATGTTGGCGGACTTCCAGGAAAGAAAACACAGAGAACCAGTAACCTCAAAAGGAAACACCGACCAAAGAACCACGCTGAGCTTCCACAACCTTCCTTTTTGGACACTGAATCCCTTGAAATAAATGCCGCTGAATGCAGAGGCAAACCAATTGTTGGAGTTCAATCGCATCTCCCCAAACCCGCACAAAAAAGAACAAGAACAAGACAACGACCAACAAAAAAACACAAGCAACTAACAACACCTCGTTTGTGAGGGGGAAGAACACACACAAACAAAAAAGGCGAGTAGGAGTCCAAAGTCGCCTCCGATGGCAGCATCTGCCCCAGAAGCTCCTGAAGGTCTTGACCTCCATTCGAAATCGGAGAAGGGTTGGTTAGGGTTTCCGCCCACGGAACCAAGGAACCTCAAGGAGCCCCAAGGAACTCCACGGAACCCCAAAACGAGAGATACAGGGAATGAGAAATGGAATGACCCCATCATGTTGACCCCAGATGAACTGCGAGAGATGCGAAATGGAATGAATTCCTTGATGCCTTTACCAAAGCCTGGGTTCATTCCCTTCCCGAGCAAGTCATTCTCCAGAACCCGTAGGTTTAAGGCAAGAGAAAAACGTGGAATCCATGTGGGTGGACATCTACTCGGAAAGGGGAAACCAAAGGAAAATGCTTGCCTTGGGGATTGGTGAGGCTGGGAGCAGCCCACCATGGAGCTCCTCGAAAGGCAACGAGTTCACACATGGGTGTGTCTTTTTTAGAGAATCCCCAAAAAACAATAGTGACGTTTCTTTTGGGTTCCCTTCAACACCACAAAAAAAGGGGGCAAGGACACATTCACGTCTTCGACATGAAACATGTTTGCTGGGCTATTCAGCATGGAGGGCTCGCCAACCCGGGAAACATCCGTCGATGGCTGGATGGCTGGACGGCTGGACGGCTGGATGGCTGGGTGGCTTGCGAACAGGCCAAAAAGTTGCACGCACTGGACCACAAGTTGTTGTTTTTGTTTTTGTGCTGTTTTTTTCAAATGAATTGCGCTTGCATTTGGCCACCAGTTGCAATCGTGACACCTGTTGCGCAAGTGGCTGGAAGCGCAGGGGTCGGCAACCACATGCTTTGGGCTCTGGTTATTCGTGACGGTTTTAAGTGCCGATAAAAAAGAAAAAAAATCCAAGGTAGAATGTATGAACTCATGGTACGAATTGTTTGGTTAGCTAACAGTTTTCTATGGCAAAATTCTTGGAAACTAGGCCCCAAAGGCGCTAACATGTCGCCGGGCGTCTCGAGACGCATGGGCCAGTATGACATGGGATGCATCACGACGCTCGCTTCCGATTCCAGGAGCTTTGGTATTCATCACGAATCCAGTCGCACGAAAAGCATATGCGAGCAAATGCAAAGAAGGCAATCAGTGACAGATCGTCACGCACCTGTCTTCTTCAAAATGTACATCTCAACGACGACCTTGAACAGCATCAGAATCAGAACTCAGAACTAGTCCTCTTGCCATGCTGTGCATCACATAGTTGCACAGATTGTGAAATGCATCTGTCAAGCGTATCCCCCTAAACTAGCCTTGCTTTGTTTCAATTACTTTGCATGGAAGATTGAGCTTGCTATTCTGCATTGCTTCACTCTCTCCATGGAATTACGTTCTCTGCGTTGCTCGGTCTTCACATTCAAAGTACCCTTCATGAAAGCAGACACTGGTACCCAGTGCCTCCAGTTGCCACTCTAGTAGGTGAAACTTCAGGGAAACCTCTATCGTCCACCAGCCCCAAGAGCTAGGTGCGTGTTGGTGCCTTGGCACTTGAGGTTCCGGGCTGAAGTTGGCAATGACCCTGGCCACCTCTGCCCACACGCCCACCTCGGATGCATTGGCCAATGGTTGGGACCTGGGCTTTCGTGAGGCAGGGGATGCGCCTCCCCGGTTTGTATGGAATATTGAACAAACCGCGAAAGGAGAAAAATGCATCTGGATTGGCAGGACTGGCGTCTCACCAGAGTGACACATAGTGACAGTGAAGTGATCCTTTGTCGGCAATTCACTCAAAAAGCAAAAGACTCAGGTGAAGTCATGCGCCCAACTTACGTAGTTCAAACTCTTTGGTCCTTCAAGGCGATCAACTCTCAACCTGTTTCGGGGGGTCGGTTGTTTTGGAAGCCCTCAGAAAGACCGGTATCAGTATCATTACTTGCAAGTTGAGGGAACGCAGGACGTCTTCTTCAAGGGAAGTCGTAAGACCCAGGGTTATGGCCCAAAAGAGATGTGGCATAATACATTTTTTGTAATTGTACGGATATAATATTACTTAACATAATATATAATCAAATAATATATAATGAACTAATATACATATATATATATATAACGACATAATACTTGTCATAGGGAGAAAAGGACCCAAAAGGCCAAGTGCCTCCAGGGTGCCAGGTTGCTCGGTGCCGGCTTGGCACGCGCATCCCGCCTGGCGATGTGGGTGAAAACGGTATCCTTTGTCTAACCAGAAGGCCCACCACCCCCACCACCCTCACCACCCACCCCACCACCCCACCACCCACCCCCACCACGCCCACCACCCCCCCACCACACCACGCCCACCACGCCCACCACTCCCACTACCCCCACCACCCCCCACCACCCCCCACCACCCCACCACCCCCCACCACCCCCCACCACCCAAAGATGGGTTCTACAGGGTGCAAACCCCAACAACTTTGCCCATCAGGCTATAGGTGTGGCATGTCCATTTGGGATCCAGGAGCCCCCAGTGAGGTTGCATCCTAGATGCGGGGGGAGTGTCCTTTTTGTCCTGGAAGTGAACAAGAGGCCTTTTAAGGATGGTAGTCTTGCAAAACCCTGTCCACTTCCACAGTTGTTGGAGAGAGGGTCAACTGGTGAACCTTGTATATAGTTCAAAAACCTTACCTTCACAGTTTCGTCAGTGGAGACAAATCGATACCGGGAGCCGCTTAAGCCATCCCTCGTGCCACATGGAACCGTAACATGGAAGATGTCGTCCGAATGTGAATGTCCACGCTGGATCAATGATTATCATACGGTTCCCCGAAAAGTGGGACACCCCTCTGGTTGATTTATCCGTGCATATTGTCCGGAAGAACAAATCGTTTATCCGCTGGGTGCTAAATAGGAGGCCTGGAAAATAGGAACTCTCCATCCCCTTTCAGCTCCATTTCGGGAAAGTGGCCATCTAGCCCGACCTCCCAAAACCGACAACCATAGGAGCCTGGAAAATAAAGAACTCTCCATCCCAAAGTAGGAACCAATCCGAATCATGGGTGTCCTTTTAGGGTAAACAGATGGCCCTGGTAGATGATTCAACCACCAGGTAAACCAGGGTAATCATTTTTTCTACCAAAACCAACCCCAAAAGGACACGTACTGTGGATGGACGAAAATCCTGCACCTCCTAAAACACCCGGAATGATTCGATTCCCGTGCAACTACGAACAAACAATGGGGTTCAACCATGGTTTCATTTCGTGGTACGAAATGGATTTCGCACATCCACAATATGTCTCTCATTGAATCTATTCTGACTCTTGTGTTACATGGCGACACGAATAAATGGCGCTGGTAAATGAAACAAAACCCATCTACATCAGTGCCATCTATGTCTAATCAACCTAAAAAGGAGAACTATGAGTCTATGTTTCCCACCAATGACCTCGAAATGCCAGCAGTTGCTGGAAACTTGTGAAAAAATAAAACAACACACGTATATATGTATATATCCGCCGACATTGCTCGGCGTGTCGGATACTTACTAGAGGATAGAGGATAACCCCCCCCTAACCCCCCCCCCGCCCGACGTCTATTACGTAGGTTTTTTTTGGGTGGGGGGGGGGGGTTCCCCCACGTACCGCGCGGCAATTTGATGACGTTCCACTAAACGTAGTCTTCGGGGAGCCGGTGTCGCAAAACAGGGGTCCCAGGCTCGATTCCCCCTGCCGGCTTTTTTGCTGGCTTGGGCTTCCTGCATCCTTTTGCAGAAAATCTGGAAAAACTCAATGTTTTTGGACGTCCTCTTTGCGAAAACGCTGGAAAAACCGTGCTTTTGCGGGAAATACATACATACATGCATGCATGCATGCATGCATACATACATACATTTCATACATACATTACATACCAACATACTGTGAACTTGCGTAACCCAGGGTTTTGCGCGGTAATTAAGAGAAGGGTGCAGCAATTAAGCCCGAATCATTCCCGAAAAAACTTTTTCACCACCCTGGGACATTTCTGAACAATGGCGACCAACGGAAATAGCGACGACAAACTGTCCAATCCGGCAACACCAATTTGGGCGTTAATTAATGAAGAACGGGCGTCGCGAATGGCAGGGCAGCCAAGCAATTCATCGCGCCTTGCAAGAATGCCCTGAAGAAGGTTACGCGCAACAAAATTTAAATGTAACAGTAAGTATCCAAATTTTGACCGAAACGATGCGAATGCAAAGCATGTAAGGGTTTTTGTGGCGGCAACAACACCCCCCCTCAGCATTCAAGGATATTTCGACCGCCAACAATCCTTAATTGCTGATTCCTTTTGAGCATCCTAGTTGCCGACCTCCGGCCTGCCCCCAACAATTGAGAATGTTTCGGTCCGTTTCCAACAAATTCCTCTGTGGCTGACCCCACCCTACGGAGCAATTAAGGATTTGTTTCGGGCCTTGCTGACCCCGCCCCTTAGCATCTAAGGATTTTGCGGGCGACAGGCATAGTTGCTGATCGGCGCTTCAGGATTTATCAGTTCACAAACATCTTTATTTGGTAGCAGCAGAGCATATGTTTTTGCCAGTTCTCATCTGCGGCCGTCGCTTGAATGAACCCACGCATCACATTTGAAAGTGCGCTGCTGGAATTGCATGTTTCTGCAGGCAAGTACGCATGCACCTCTGCTTCAGCAAATGAGGATTATTTGGGGTCGAATAAATTCTGAAATGTTCAGGGGGGGGTTCAGCAAGTATTGATTTGGTGGGGCCGACAAATCCTGAAATGCTGGGGGGGGGGTCAGCAGTTAAGTTTTTTTGGGTTGACAAACCATTTAAGAATTTGCGGGGGGCCGCGACGGCGGAAATCCTTGACCCCCTCAGCATTTAAGGATTTGCGGCGGGCCGCGAGGGAGAGGGGTCAGCAAAGAAGGATTAAGGGGGGGCCGCGAGGGCCGAAAAATCCTTACTTGCTGAGGGGGGGTCAGCATTTAAGGATTTGCGGGGGGCCGCGAGGGCCAACAAATCCTTAAATGCTGAGGGGGGGTCAGCATTTAAGGATTTGCGGGGGAGCGAAAATTCCTTAAATGCTGAGGGGGGGTCAGCATTTAAGGATTTGCGGGGGGCCGCGAGGGCCGAAAAATCCTTAAATGCTGAGGGGGGGTCAGCATTTAAGGATTTGCGGGGGAGCGAAAATTCCTTAAATGCTGAGGGGGGGTCAGCATTTAAGGATTTGCGGGGGGCCGCGAGGGCCGAAAAATCCTTAAATGCTGAGGGGGGGTCAGCATTTAAGGATTTGCGGGGGAGCGAAAATTCCTTAAATGCTGAGGGGGGGTCAGCATTTAAGGATTTGCGGGGGGCCGCGAGGGCCGAAAAATCCTTAAATGCTGAGGGGGGGTCAGCATTTAAGGATTTGCGGGGGGGCGGAGGGGGGTCAGCATTTAAGGATTTGCGGGGGTCGCGAGGGCCGAAAAGTCCTTAAATGCTGAGGGGGGGTCAGCATTTAAGCTTTTTGCAGGTAGTTTTCAGCGCATTTTGGATTCCCAATAGGTGTTTTACCCGTATTGGGAATCCAAAATGCGCTGAAAACTACCTGCAAAAAGCTTAAATGCTGACCCCCCCCTCAGCATTTAAGGAAATGGTGCAGCAATTAAGATTTTTTAGCGGAATTTTGCTTTACGGCCCTCACGCTGGATTTGTCGGTCCCCTGCAGATCCTCAATCACTGACCCCCCGCTTTGCCCTCCGAAATACTTGCTGACCGCCCCTCAACAACGAATGATTTTCGATCCCAAAATCCTCAATTGCTGAAACCCCCCCCCTCAGCAACTGAGGATTTTCTGGCCCCCCTTCAGCAACTATTTTTTGGCATCACCCCCGCCCCCCCCCCGCCCAGCAAAAAATGCTTTTCCGGCCCCGACACCTGCTCAATTGCTGACGTCCCCCCTCAGCAGCTGAAAAACAATGATTTCTGACCCTAATTGCTGACACCCCCTCAGCATTTAAGGCTTTGTTCAGCCCACACAAATCCTGAATTGCTGACACTCCCCCCCGCCCCAAACAAATTCCTTAACTACTGACCCGTAGTGAACAGCTTGTCGGGAAACAGGGCTTTGTTGGCTAAAAAAGGACAAGGACAAGCAGCTTTATTCAGTGAATAGGATTCTGCAAAGGCAACAACAAGTATCCTGTGTACAATCGTCAGCCCGCCCAACATAGCAATTCACAATTTCTGGCCGACGAGCTCCTTAGTTGCTAAAACTTTGCATTGGATGGACAAACCTGACATTGATGACGGCTGGCAACTTTTTGGCAGACACTCAAGCCATTACCCTTTGCGGATGAGAGGAAGTTTCGGATTTCAAGAGTTTCATCTACCCATTCAGCAATTCTGGAATTGTTGGTCCCAACAATGTTTCTCTCACCCCCTCGCACAGTTAAGGATTTTGTGGGCCTCACACATCCTGACTTTCTGACCCTCGTCGCATTTGAGGATCGTTCTATATCATGAATTGCTGTCCCCTGATTTGTCTACTTCGACCCTCCAAACCGTTGCTTGATTCCAACTTGCTGGAAACTCAGAGTTTGCGACTGGCAGCATGGACTATACACTTAGTGGCTGAGAAGAAGCTATCAAGGATGGTGGTGGCCAAAGAAACTGAAGGACTTCTGCCCCCCCCCCCCACTCAGTTAAGAATATGTTGATCATTCAATATTCACAATGGCCCATCCTCAGCGATTGCTGCAACTGCAAAACAGCAAGCAATTAATAAGGCTTTTTGGGGACTCAACCGTCCTTAATTTCTGAGAGCGACCAGCAACGAAGGACTTGGGAGGGCCGCAAGACTGAATCAGCAATGAACGATTTTTGGGGACCGACGACTCCTGAGCTGCTAGGGCGCCCTTACTGACAGGGGGGTTAGTAATGAAAGATTTATTGGGGCAACTAAATCCTCAATTGCGGGGGGGGGGGGGAGGGGCTGCAATTCAGGATTTGTTGGGCTAAAAAACCCACAATTGTTGATGCTGTTTGTTTCATGTGTTTCAGACCAAAAACTGAAATTTCCCGCTTGGGAACTTTTGCAAGGGCACCGTACCTTAATCGCTGACCCCCCTTGAAACCCAGATGAATTACGCAAGTTCACACAACATACATACATACATACATACATGCATGCATACATACATACATACATACATACATGCATTACATGCATACCTACATACATACATACATACATACATACATACATACATACATACATACATACATACATACATACATACATACATACATACATACATACATTACATACATACATACATACATACATACATACATACATACATACATACATACATACATACATACATACATACATACATACATACATACATACATACATACATACATACATACATACATACATACATACATACATACATACATACATACATACATACATACATACATACATACATACATACATACATACATACATACATACATACATACATACACATACATACATACATACATACATACATACATACATACATACATACATACATACATACATACATACATACATACATACATACATACATACATACATTACATACATACATACATACATACATACATACATACATACATACATACATACATACATACATACATACATACATACATACATACATACATACATACATACATACATACATACATACATACATACATACATACATACATACATACATACATACATACATACATACATACATACATACATACATACATACATACATACATACATACATACATACATACATACATACATACATACATACATACATACATACATACATTACACATACATACATACATACATACATACATACATACATACATACATACATACATACATACATACATACATACATACATACATACATTACATACATACATACATACATACATACATACATACATACATACATACATACATACATACATACATACATACATACATACATACATACATACATACATACATACATACATACATACATACATACATTACATTACATACATTACATTACATTACATTACATTACATTACATTACATTACATTACATTACATTACATTACATTACATTACATTACATTACATTACATTACATTACATTACATTACATTACATTACATACATACATACATACATACATACATACATACATACATACATACATACATACATACATACATACATACATACATACATACATACATACATACATACATACATACATACATACATACATACATACATACATACATACATACATACATACATACATACATACATACATACATACATACATACATACATACATACATACATACATACATACATACATACATACATACATACATACATACATACATTACATACATACATACATACATACATACATACATACATACATACATACATACATTACATACATACATACATACATACATACATACATACATACATACATACATACATACATACATACATACATACATTACATTACATACATTACATTACATTACATACATACATACATACATACATACATACATACATACATACATACATACATACATACATACATACATACACTTATGTACATGCATGCATACATACGAGAGAGGGAGATTGGGGAGAGAGAGGCTTGGGGGGATGGGGAGGATGGGAGCAGAGGGAGGGAGAGAGGACGACAGAACACACAAGGGAGACAAGGAAGAGAGGAAGAAGGAGAAAAGGATGTCGGCGGACTGAGCCGGAGGCTCTAAAGTATATATTACACACATAGGAACAACAAAACATGTCTAACCCAAAACTAACCCAACACGGAGACATATGATCCCAAGGTGGCCCAGTGACAACTCCCAGCTTCCGCCTGGCGCAGGAGTAGTCGCTGGGCTGCGCGGTGCGGCCCGTGCGGGCGAACATGCCGTGGCCTCAAACCGGCGCCGAAAACCGTTCATTACTGCAAATGTTACACGTCCAAACCCTGAAATATGGAATCAGGTATAGAATCTTTACCATGGTGACCTCGTTGTACCCGCGAATCGGTGAGCTCGCCATCCAGGTCCTCCAGCAAAGAGGTGAGAATAAGTTGGTACCAACTTTTTTCTGTTGTCTATTTTAGCAGAACCCTCAAGCAAAAAAAGGGTAAAAGGGCACTACTGGGGACCTAGTTTCATAAAGGGCCCTAAACATTCGGGTCCAAATCCAACGACTAGCCCTACCTTTCCCATTTTCTCCAAGGATCGGCAAGCCACCAAAATGAACATTGTGTGTCTAAGAAGGACCATGAGGAATCAACGCTTCGACTCAAGGGAAACTCCATAATTTCAAGAAAAGGTGCAAAGATCCAACCAAATAGCCCTAAAGAAATGGGACTCCAAATTCGTGTGTGTGTGTGTTGTTGAATTGAGGCTGCCCTTTGCAGGTTGGCTCAAGGTGAAACCAAAGGAACCCAAAACAACCCTCCACCATCTTTTTCTGGGTCCAACCAATCTCTCAGCTTCCGTCTACTAGGTCCTCCAACAAAGACGTCAGAATAAGGGTACCATTTTTTTGTAGTCTATTTTAGTAGGGGAACCTTCCCCCGACAAAGTTGGTAAAAGGGCACTACTGGGCGCTTGGTTGACGCTGGAAGGGGAGCAACAAATTGATTCTAGCAGTTCAGTGGTTGGATTTCAACCACTAAACCACTAAACCACACAAGGCAAAAATGTCAAATGTTTCCCAAAAACAACCATGCATGGATGGATACACACGCATGATGACCTCATATTTTCACTTGCTGCGAGATGCAAGGAATGACAAGAGCCAGGAGAGCCACTCACCCAAATGGTTGGGATGGTCTTCATTGCCAAGCTACCCTGAGGGGTAGTAAGGGGATACATAGCCACTGATGTTGACCAGGAGGCTTGTCAAATAGGCACACCCATTTTCCCCTTGTTCTGGTTGTTTGTCTTTTCGCTGAACAAATTCCCTTGGTTGTCCACTATAGGGTCAGCAGAATCCTAGCATAATTGAAACATGTGAATAGGCATATGATCCAGGTCTGCAGGCCCCGGTATTACTGTGGTACTGATTGATAGTATTGGATTGGCTGCGCTGAGTGAAGATCAGTTTGGGTTCAATCAAAAAGTTGACGTTCGCTGGATTCGGGTGGGTTAGGCTTGGTTTAGGCTGGCTTAGGGATCAGGTTCGCTTAGGGTTGGTTTATGGCTGGTGTAGGTTCGCTGAGGTGGCTGCTTTGAAGATGATTTCGGGCTGGTTTCGAAGGGGTTTAGAAGGATAAAAAAGAAAGAAAGCCCTAAACACCTACAAACCTGAGCCAAATGAAAACCCCAAGCCAAATGGAAACCGTCAAAACCTACACACCGGTCCAATGGAAACCCCCAGCCCTCAAAACCTACAAACCGGTCCAATGAAAACCCCCAAGCCCTGAAAACCTACAAACCGGTCCAATGGAAACCCGCAAGCCCTCAAAAACTTACAAGCCGGTCCAATGAAAACCCCCAAGCCCTGAAAACCTGTAAACCAGGTCAAACGGAAACCCCCAAGCCCTAAAAACCTACAAACCGGTCCCACAACCTACAACCCCCCATGCCCTCAAACATCTGCAAACCGGTCAAATGGAAACCCCCAGGCCGAAAAAACCTACAAACCAAGCCCTCAAGACCTACAAACCGTTCCAATGGAAACCCCCAAGCCCTCAAAACCTACAAGCCGGTCACATGGAAACCCCCAAGCCCTCAAACACCTACAAACCGATCAAATGGAAACCCCCAAGCCCTCAAAACCTACAAACCGGTCCAATGGCTCAAAACCTGCAAACCAGGTGAAACGGAAACCCCCAAGCCCTCAAAACCTACAAGCTAGTCAAATGGAAACCCCCAAGCCCTCAAAACCTACAAACCAGTCAACTGGAAACCCCCAAGCCCTCAAATCCTACAAACAAGTCAAATGAAAACCCCCAAGCCCTCAAAACCTACAAACCAGTCAAGTGGACACCCCCAAGCCCTCAAAACCTACAAACCAGTCAAATGGAAACCCCCCAAGCCCTCAAAACCTACAAACCAGACCCCCAAGCCCTCAAAACCTAAACCAGTCAAATGGAAACCCCCCAAGCCCTCAAAACCTGCAAGCCAGTCAAATCAAAACCTACAAACCAGACCCCCAAGCCCTCAAAACCTACAAACCAGTCAAATGGAAACCCCCCAAGCCCTCAAAACCTACAAACCAGTCAAATGCAAACCCCCAAGCCCTCAAAACCTACAAACCAGACAAATGGAAACCCCCAAGCCCTCAAAACCTACAAACCAGTCAAATGGAAACCCCCAAGCCCCCAAAACCTACAAACCAGACCCCTAAGCCCTCAAAACCTACAAACTAGTCAAATGGAAACCC